ACTCCATATGTTCTTAGAAATGTTAAACATACATTATGCAAGAGCTAAATCTGTCTATTGCAGGCCTTTCTTTAGTCCTGAAATGTTATCTAAATTATTAATTAGACATTAATTAACTTATCAAGACCATAATCAACTCTAGATGGCATCGCTAGCCTGCGATCTTAAGTGGATTGTGAGCTGATTTACTGCATAACTTTCCTTCTCGATTAAAATGATTAAATGGATAATCGAGACTATGCTGTTTATAAATTGTACTGACTTTAGTAATGAGAACCGATGCTAGGCAGAAATTTCATTTGCTTAGTTCTCGGTTCATAGTGGATCAATTTGAATGAAATTTTCAGCAAATGGCCTTTACCTTATCTAGTTTTTAATTATTATAGTGAGAACTGCCAACTCCTTATCGAATCTCCCATAATGTATCTTTAAATTATCCATTTACAAAATGTTCTTATTTGATATTATGAAAGAATATTGTTCATAGTCAGTTCAATATTTATATCCTACCTATGAATTTAAGCATTTTTAAAAAGATCAAAATACTTGAATATATTTTATTGTGAAATTCTTATCTAACAATGAAAGTAGTTTAAATAACGAAGAATGATCTGATGTAATATTCCCATTTTTATTTAAGTCTCCATGTCCCATGTTTTTAATGTTTTTAGACATTTATTTCTAGTCAGAATTTCTAGTCTCTTGTTCCATGTATATTTTGAAGTTTGTCTTTTAGATCGTACAAATGAAAAGTACAGTAAATTAAAGACTTCTCTTTCTTATAATGGTCAATTTCTTTATTTACCAACTTCCAAAATGACTAATCAGACGTGAATCCAAGTGTCTGTTTTAAAGGATGCCTCCTTTCTGATTCTGTTGTTTGATTCTTATTTTGCTATTTTGAAAATGTTTGAAGCCTACAGAATTCTTCTAAGTTATAAACTTATCACCTATGACATTCGTTTGTAATATGAATTTGCACAAATTATGAATATATTTGATTTATGTAATAATGTCCTGTGCATGTATTTTTATTATTTATGTTATATATGATTTCAAGAATCTCAATAGTAGTATGGAGAAGAATATTTTATAAAACAAGTGTTTTTAATTAAAAATTTTCACAATTAGAAAATATATATTTCTAGACATAGTTAATTTCTTTACTGCACCATATTTGATTGTTTACAAAGACTAATTTGTCGATTTAGTTTTTAGATTACTCAAGATTATAGCTTTTGATACTTTGTTTAATGTAACTAGGAAAGATGTACAATAAAAGTATCAAACCAAAGTATAAATGAGTGTCTTTTAGAATAGATATACCATATCGGCAGGACCATTTTATTTTATTCTATGTTTATTTCTACTGGAATAGCTTCTATCCCATACCTCGAAACTAATTGCCAAAATGAACCAAATGATAATTATTTGGATTCCATTAGTCACTACAGAGCTAGATAATTGATAGATTCTGACATTTCACAAGTAGGTCAAAAGTTGTATCATTAGAGAATGTAGGGTACATTGTTACATATTGGTTGTATATATACCAGTTTATCTCTTGGTGATGCACAGGGTGATAATGAGCATTTTCTAATATTATTATATGTTATTCATTTTTTCTTTTTATCCATGGAAAATGTCCTCATTCTCAAGATGTGTTCAGTTTTAACTCTTAATTAAATTGTATTTGGAAAAAATGAGTAATGTTTTAAATTAGAGAAGATATTATACAGCATTATCAAATCAATTACATGTATGCATAATATTAATATTTTAATTTATCTATATTATATTATTTATTTATTAATATTTTAATCTATTTATATTATTTATTATAATTAGATTTGTGTTCTCCTAGTCCCCTATTGTTTTAAGCCTCATTATACATTATCTATACATGTACTGATATGTATTGTTAAATTGTTATATTTATGATATTGATTATGATAGCCTTAGTGTTCTATATAGTATAGTACAAATCATTTCATTCTAGTTGTTATTACATTGTTTGATACTTGAGAGAAAATGACCCAGTAAATTATTATACCAAAAAATAATTCTACACATGTTATTTATGCATGACTGCAGAGTAACCTAGTATATGGGAGTTCATGTCTTTGTAATTTATAACTGTTATATCATTGATCTGTGGTCCAGAATTCCATCATTGCACAATCTAAACCCATATAAAGTTTACATATATTTGGATGCGTTTCTGAAAGTTTGTTTAATCGTCAAGGTGACTTTTATAATAGAAATCAATGAATTCAAAATCTTGATTTGGTTTTGCATGTACAGCTTTGTACTGCATATGTAAAAATAATAATTCCTTGAACATGTATTAATAAAATTTGAATCAAATTTATTCGCCCACTTTTCACTTTGTTGAACCCTGTGAACGATTTTAACGACAAAAGTTATCATGTGTATTTAAATTAGTGAAACGAAGAAGCCCATTGCATTTCAGCAATTTCCGTTAATTATGTCTAGAGTTATTACCCTTGTTTCACTTTGTGGAAACTTGTGAACACTCTAACAACAAAAGTGATCATCCGATCTGTATGAAATTTATATTAATTATTTAACTTAGTGAAACTAAGAAGCCTATTGAATTTCAGCAATTTCCATTTATTACGTCTAGAGTTATGGCCCTTGTTTCACTTTATTGAACATTGTGAACGCTCAATTGACAAAAGTTATCATCTGATCTGTATGAAATTTATATGCATCATGTAAATTAGTGAAACAAAGAAGCCTATTGAATTTCAGCAATCTCTAATAATTACTTCTTGAGAAGTCATCATCTGATCTGTATGAAATTTATATGCATTATTTGAATTAGTAAAACGAAAAATGGTGTTGAATTACAACAATTTTTGTAAATTACTTCCAGAGTTATGGCACTTGTTTCAGTTTGTAGCACCTTGTGAACCCTCAAAGGACGAAAATTATAAGTTGATCTGTATGAAATTGTGTTTTAAATTCCCCCCCCCCCCTGCTATTACCTACAATAGAATAAATATGCAACATCCCTTGTATGTTTTGTTGCCTGGCAACCTATCTTCTTTTTTTTTTTAGAGTGAGAGTATGAAAACCACCTAGTTTTTTTTACCGGATTTGGGATGAAAGAAATTATATTCCAGTGACATTCAGTATTTTCCATACTAATTAATTAATGAAAGTCCCTAATTATTGACCAATCCCTATTAGTTTCTCTATGAATTTTCAGCGCATGTGTTAAAAGTTCTGACAATCTAGTGTTAGGCTAAGTCTCATGTTTATAATGTATTTACAAACACCATAATCTTACTCACAGACTTCTTTCCAGAAATTGTTTAGAATGTAACTAAAGGTAATTTCCTGGTCATACGTATTCAGTTATCATGACATAATCCTATCGATTTGTATGAAAAAAAAGCATGTTGAAGTAATTTAATTAAATTTTTGTAAGGTGGTAATGAAAATCCTATTGTATTAGGTTTACCCACAGCTCTTCAAAGTAACATATGGCGTGTATATCAATACACATCAAATGTTTAATATTGAAGTAAATCAAAGAGGTTCTGGTTTAGGCTGCAACAAAATTAATTGCCGTTTTGAAAACTTAAACATACAAGATTCAGAAATGTATTTTGAAAGATATATGACTCATACTGTTCTGTATATGATTAACAATGTATCAGTCAGTGTGCATGTAATAAACATTGTTTTTAAAAATCATATGTAATTGCATTTCTTTATAAACCAACTTACCGAAATATGCTCATTAGCAACTCAGTTGTTTTAAGTCTCCCAAGTTATTATATTTAATGTCTGTACAGTTTGCACCAAAAGATTATTCCTTTATACCACACAGTGTCCATGAATAATTGTGAAACATTAAACTAATGTCAACACTTTGGTCATATTACCTTAATTTACATCCGGTCTGTAGATAATCTTGTTCTGACAGTTGTACTTAAAGACAGTGATAAACAGGGTACTGACCAACCAGTTATTGTTATAGTTTTGCTCAAGTCAAACCCCAGGAAATTTTGTATGGGTGTGCAAAATTTTGATGTCTCTCCCTTTTTTCTCTATTAGGCTTTTGACAACTTATCAAAATGAAAAGGGAGATTAATCCACAGGTTTCAATGATGCTTTATATAACTTTGGCACAACTGCAGTCATTTTCTATGACAAATAATTACCAACGGTTGCCAGGCAAGAAACGCCCACATTTTACAAGAGATGGATAGAGAACAAGCTAAACGTGGACCGAGGTATTTGGGATATAATGATATATTTTAAGTTTCATCAAAATCGGATAAAAATTGTGACTTCTAGAGGGTCCACTACCTTAGTATTTACTAGTACATACTTTTTACACTATTTGCGTACAAGGAGCGTCCATTTTGTCAGGAAGTTTCAGTCCGATATGCGCAAATATCGAAAGGAACCAAGATCTTTGGGTTATAAACATGCATTTCAAGTTCCATCAAAATCGGATGAAAATTGTTACTTCTAGAGTGTCCACAAGCTAAAAACGTGGTTTTTCGTACAATCAGGGGCCATAATCCATAAAGTTTCGATCCCATACATACCATTATCAAAGGGAACTAGGAACTTTGGAGATAAACCTCTATTTCAAGTTTCGTCAAAATCAGATAAGAATTGTGACCTGTGGCTGTAGAGTGTCCACAAACAAATTGTCGACAGACGTACAGATGCAACGGCATAATACGTCCACATGAAAATCTGGGTGAATAAAAAATTTTGATCTGCACACAGTTAAGTGTATTCAAATGCTTTGCGAAAATCAAAATATTTCCACTAAAATCAGATTTGAAAGTGGCATCAGTTTCGGTACATGCATCAGTTTGAATGATACATCATCTAGTTTGTGGTGAGTGGCCATTTATGCCTCTGTGAATAGTGTAAAAAAACAATGAACTTGAAGCACATTGATTTGGCTTGTCTCCCTTTAAACTGTCTTTCAAATAAATTATCAGCTCAAATATTAATTCACATACTTTATTTTCTTTCAGTTTATAAGCAATTTTTAAATCTTTACAATATTTTTTTCGATTTGTTTTTTTTCTTTTTCTTCTTAAATTTTTGTTGAAAGCACAGCATGACTTGAATTCTGTTATTGTAAAAATGTTAAAATAAAACATATAATGATATAAAAAAAATTGTAAAATATAAAATACCACATGCTAAATGATGAAAAAAACAACATTGGATTTAATCGAGATTGATATTTACATATAAACAGAGTATAATTATTTTATACCTCACTTAAAGATACATTATGTAAGATTTAGATAAAAAGTTGACCATTGTTGCTATAATAGCTCAAAAAAAGATAATGTAAAATAAAAATTTCATTCAAATTGTCACTGGTTGTAGTTTTGACAAAATGTGTGCATTGGGTAACCAGGGCACTGGTATATACGAGACTTAGTTTCGCTACCCCATTTTTAAATTAAATGGCAAACTGTTCTAATATAATTAAAATCTCGAGTATCTGATCTGATGTTTAAAGACTGTAGTGAAAATTACCAAAAACATTTAGTTATTCTTAAAATTATACAGAAAAAAAATCAGGTTTACAACTGGATAGAATGCTACTTTAAAGTGTTGATAAATAAGGCCAATATAATTTAATCTTATTCTACTATAACCAAGGAGGTAAATAAGGCCAATATCTACCATATAAGCTCCTTTGTAATCCTTCAAATTACATGTATTTCGTTCTCCTTTGAAAAACATTTTAAATTTTAATCTGCTTTTTGTGGTTTCTAAACGGCTTATCTCTCTCATAAAAATTACATTACTTGTATATAACAGCAATTTAATGAAGATCATGCCCCATGGTGATTGGCTACCTAAATTCGCTCATGTAGCAATTCGGCTCCTCCAGTTTTGCCAAAAGTAAAATCAACTTTTATCCTTCACAACCAGTGTGTTTCTAAATACCAACTATGTCTTTAACAATGAATTGGATTAAACTTAAACCATATGGAGATCGAAAAGCAGAGGGGGGGAAACGACTTCAAATTGTAGTGAAAGATTCTAATCCCTTCATTTATACTCCTGGCACAAAGGGAAGTTGGTGCCAGCTTACCAGCAGTTATTTGTATTGTATATCTATGCATATAGGTCAAACAATGAGAGAAAACTCAACACAAATGAGCCATGTAGGTAAATAATACCTAAAAAATTATATTAAAAAAAACCCACAGATTTACAAAGCCTAATAATTACATATTTCTTCTCCTTTTTAAGATCATTTTATACGACTTTTTAAGTCTTTATTCATTACAAAAATACAATTGCCCAAAACTTCTTTCTCCTATGCATCAAATCACCTATTCTGGTCTTAAGTTGTACTTGGAATAAAAGACCAAAGTACTGATAAGACTGAAATAATAAAATGGTGTGCAGATGAAGGAAGTTACTCAGAATATGTGAACAGTCAGTGAACACTAGTAATAGAGTCAAACAGTGTTGCACAATTCTACTGCTACTGTCAGTCATGCTTTCATGTTCATGCAATAAGCTGAGTGAGATTCCATTATAAACATGAAAAAGGCAATTCATTTTTTCACAAAACATGGACTTCTGTGAATGAACACAGCCATAAAGTGATAAAGCACTTACAAATATTAAGGCACAATGTAGCTTTTGTACAGTCCAAAATAAAATTTTAAAAATTCAACAATACTATTATGTTGTTCAAGGAACAATCCAATAAAACTGTTATTCATCTAATTTTTATGCCGTATATGATAATATGGTTTCTAAAACTTTCACAATCAAGAAAATTTTACACTTTATATGATAAACTGGTTTCTTGTATTTTTCATCAAGATAGTATTGAATTTTACGGAAAGAAATACAGAATGTTTCCTTTGAAACAGTTCTCATTTATACTGGAGACATCACATTATAAAATTACAAAAAATTGCACAATATATATTTGTCCTTAGTCTATGACAGTACTCAATAACCATTTTATAATTAAGTACTGTTTGTCTTATGTTTTAAAATATTGCATTACAGCATCTAGTGAAGTGTGATAGCTGGACCTGAATTCAAATAACAACCTTAATATGGTGAAAGTTTAGGAGATTGTTCCCCTTCAAGTAAGGTACTTCCCTAACCTTAAGGTTGTCCCTTGAATTCTGACCTTGGTTACTTTGATATAATAGTTAAATCACAATCTCTAAAATTTCATTCAAAATATATGACATTATTATATATACAGTTATATACCTTTTTCAATATAAATTATTTTTGTGAATATCAAAACAAATGATAGTAAATAGGGGCCTACCATCCCACCAAATTACATATAAATCTACTCACATCAAACTGCACTTACTGTAATATATCCCCAAAATAACTATACTAAGTTTGTCAGTGTTGTAAAGATTGACTTAAGATATTTGGATATGATTGTACCTGAAAAATCGATTGCACCACCATCACCACCAAGTTTGGTAGTACGACAACTAGAGTATTCACAAGATTGCCCTCCATGCACCTCCATAGTACCAGTATATGTGCAGCATTAGAGATACCAAAGAACAATTTATTTTATATCAGTATTATGCTCAAGTATCATTATTCTAGGGTTATAGTATTTTTACCGAGCGATTAATGTACAATATAGATACAAAATCCAAATCTAAACATATAACAAATATTACTATGATACATTGTGTATAAAATAAATAATAAAGTATATATATACAATTATATATAAATAATACCAAATGTCATTTATATAGTGTTGGCTAATACTTATGGGTATAGATTCTTTTTTTGCTTTTTATTTTTCATATAAATATAACAGAAGAATAACATTGGACTTAGACGACCATTATAAAAAATATCTACAAAAAGGAATCTCAAAAGATACATTGATTGAATATATAATAATGGTCACACAGTCTCTATTTAACATGTTTGAATTAAAACAGATTTAGAGTACATCAATCCTTATTATCCATACTTTAATTTTCCCTGAAATACAGTGACATTAAGCTTCTGGATATTCAGGGAAAAAAAGGTTTGACTGTAGATCTGTCATATTATTCTTGGATTTTATCCTTAACATAAGAAAATGAAAATTGTGTGATCCTTGAATAATTGATAATCCGGAAGAAAATCGGAGCATTACACCACCTGTAGTATAGCAACATATCAACTATAGGGGTTTGTTCGAAATTGTTGAATGCTGATTAATACCATATTAACAAGATATTTATTTCAGATCTAGGGCCATAACTCCACAAGCAGTTGGGCTGAGAATACTACAGTGTAGTATTATACTTTGTACAAAAGTGACCTGAATGTCTCTAACCATGGCCATATTATATAACCTGTCATCTTTAATCCAATTAGAAAAGATGCATCGAAAAACAAAGTATACCAATTTTGAATAAAATTGAATAATTGTGGAGATTGGAGAAGCATTTTAAGCTGAAAGATATTGTGGAATTTTCGAAAATTTATCCTCCACAATATCTAACGTCGAAGACTAGTTTAACACTATAAGGTAAGCACAGTTTCACTTTTCACAATTTTTTACAAGGCAATTTCAAACAAAAGGCAAGAATTGCAATTATATTACATTACAACCTAAGCAATGAACACAGTGAATTGCTAGTAATGTTTACAACACCTGAAATTAGGAACCATGGACTGAATGATATATACACGTACAGAATGTATTACAATATCTATATATAAATAAGCCACAACAATCCAAATTATTATTAAACTTGCAGTATATTGTACACAAGTTTTGTGTAGACGACTGACATACCACCATCCACTCTAAAATATTACACCTATCTTCTCTACCACAGCCTGTATAATAAAACAATACATATGCTTGAATTGTCTGATTAGTTGTGTTTTAGAGAAAGTATGCAAAGACTTCTGTGAGTTATTGAGTGTTTGAGAACAAAACAAAAAAACCCAAATAATCTGTATCATTCAGTCAAAGTTCACCTGCATGACCTCATAATCTCAAACACTAAATTTATTTCATGTGTGGCTGCTAGACATGGGAGTATCAAAGATGGTGTTTAAAAATCTAGGGTTTGTATATATATATATATATAGCACCTAAAGTATTGTGGAAGACACAACTATATGTCATGACTGACTCTGAACACCAAGCAAAGATCTTTACCTTACTACAAGAGGGTGTGAGTGCAAGAGCTACTGGAAGCAGCAAGAAAAGAGAAGGGTCCCAAGGCAGCTATACAGGTTTATCCATGCAGCGATGTTGCATGGTTTGTGTGGTGGCAAGAGGTAGACACACAAGTTACTGACTTTTGATCTTTTTTATTTTTACCCCTCGAGCCTAGATTTCACTGTACGGTACATTTTTTTTGGGGGGTGGGGGGCTCTGTGGGCCAATTTTGTTGTTGGTAAACGTCCAACCAAAAGTCATGCCCCAAATCACATTTCAGCTGCATTATGTTTCGCAAGCACTTCCATTCAAATCAGTGGTGTGTTTTCCATGCTTGGAAATATAATTTTTATGTTAATAAGATATGTTAATAAGATATAAAGATTACCCAAATCACATTCAACTATCAACAGCCAATGTTGTTGGTCCTGTGTTTATGGCCGATTCCTGTTCTTCAGATAATGATACAGAATTCTTAGATGTTGTTTCAAGTTCAGCTGATAATGATACAGGCTGGTTTTTAGGTGCTGCTTTCAGTTCTGAAGCCAAGGTTTTCGATGTTTTGGATTCTGCCTTGAGTTCATCAGACAATATTACAGAATTGTTGGATGCTGCTTCGGGTTCTGCTTTCAATGGTTCAGAATTTTTCGATTCTGCACAGATTTCTTCAGACACTGGTAGAGCATTCTTGGATGCTGCTTCTAATTCTGCTGACAATGATTCTGTCTTTTTGGATGCTGTTTCCAATTCTGCAAATAATGATTCTGTATTATTAGGTTCCGTCTTGTGTCCTGAAGACACCGGCTCAGAATTCTTGGATGTTGCTTCAAGTTCTGCTGACAATGATTCTGTTTTTTTTGATGCCGCCTTCAATTCTGAAAATAATGATTCAGAATTATTTGTTTCTACCTTGTGCCCTGAAGACACCGGCACAGAATTCTTGGATGCAGCTTCAATTTCTGGCTTCTTGACTGCGGCATCCAATTCTGAAAAAACAGATTCAGAATTCTTGGACACTGCTTTAATCTCTAAAGACAATAGTTCTGAGTTGTCAGAAGTTGCTGTGACTTCAGATTTCTTGGCGACAGCCGCATTTTGTGAAGATAATGGCTCATCATCTTTGTTCAAAGATTCTATTGGCACTGGTTCCTTTTTGGACAGATTCTCATTGAGGTCTGTTGTATTGAGGACGGCCTCAACTAAAGGGGATCCTGCTTTGATAAAATTCTCAGTTTGGCTTTCCACAGGTACAGTTTGTGGCTCTGATTTGGTATTAATCACATGTTTTGCTTCAGTTTCACAAGAAGTATTACCAACTGGCAAATCAACAAGTTTTTGTTTGTTATCTGGTGAAAAAGTCAATTCTTTCTTAACATTTCCAGTGGAAGAGTGTTCAGTTTTGCTGACATTACTTGAGGGGTTTTTCTTTTCAGATGATTGTGGAGTATTACTTGAAGTAGGTGATAATGGACTTAAATTGGCAGTGACATCAGCCACCCAGTCTACAACTTTGACATGACCAGGTGGAGTTTTCATAATCTCAGGAGAGGTTGGTAAAAATGCTGGAGCATCAGGATTTAATTTACAGTTTAATTTTAAGGGGTCTTTTTCATCCTCATCAGAAAATAACTGGCGGTTTTGTTGACCTGATTTTAAGCCATTAGAAAGGTAATCAGATGAACCACTAACTATGTCTTTTTTATCATCAGGGTCCATAAGATAGATGTCGACTGGATCCTTTGAAGGTTCGAAACCACCAAGTTCATCCTCCCATGATAACTCTGATGGAGACTTTGCTGAGCAAGTGCTATTGGAAGCAGAATTTATTTTAGGGCGCTGTATTGGATTTTGATCGTCATCTTGATATTCTACCTCTACCAGGTGTTCACTAGGTTTACTATTATCTATCTTCACAGTTAAACTATCCCGTTGGCATTCAACATGTCGACCTTCACTATCTGGTGAAAAGGCTTTAGATTTGGATTTTTCTGGACTGTGTCCTTTTCCTCGTCCCCGACCTCTTCCTCTCCCTCTCCCCCTACCTCGTGGAGGTGGAGGACCATCATGATCTATTTGTACTCCTGAAACATATTATAAATATGTTGTAAGTGCTGTGTTTTATTCACTTTTAAGTCATTTAATTGTAATACAGCACCCAGAGAGAAATGTGGTTTTACACCCTACTCAACAATTACTTGGTCATTTCAGAACTAACATTGCTATATTTTTATAGGTTTACATAACGACCTGTGAAACTTTTTGATTTTCAGGAATTTGGGAATTTTTATTAGTACCATGAAAAAACAACCACGTCATATAATAGAGGACTAGCTTTGCTATTTGCATACCAAAAATCATTTAATTTGGATCAGGCAAGATTGTTAATTTTGTTGATTTATTACGAAAATTGACCATTTTTAAGCTGATTATAAAAGTAGATATCTTTATAAGACAATATTAGTGTTTTATTCATTCTTTTTTCATTTTCTCTTATCTAGTACAGTCAATTCTTTTTATGAATTGTCAGACAACCTTTCACAGTCTCATATAACAACTTTTGGTCTTTGAAGGAATTTTCAGTGAGCAGAAATTTGGCCGTGTATCTTGTTATCGCTCGTTACTTCAGTCAGTTATGTAGAAAGATACATGTAACTCTTGTTTTACATATTTTATGTCACTTGCGTTTCTTCAAATCTTCGTTACACATCTATTGTTGCAATGTGTTTAACCAGTTTTATCACATATGTGATAATGGCTGACCCTAATATTGTCCTTCAAAACCACAAGAGATAAGTGCCCAAACTTTGGCTTAAATCGAAGCTTCAGATGTCTTATTTAAAGATCATACCAAATTTATGTGGAACAGAGTTTGAAAGATAGGTTGCCAGGCAACAAAACATACGCCCACAGCAGCTAAATCGTCCAAACGGTCTACAAGGGTTGTCGCATATTTATTTCTTTGTAGGTAATTGGGTGGCCTTTACAAGACAGTTCCAAACAGATCAGATTATAATTTTTGCTGCTTGAGGGTTCACAAGGCTCTACAAATTGAAACAAGGGTCTCAACTCTGGAAGTTATATACAGAAATTGTTGAAATCTGACAGGCTTTTTCATTTAAATGATGCATATAAATTTCATACAGATTAAGTGATAACTTTTGTCGTTCAAGCATATTGGATGATAACTTTCATCAATCGAGCATTAACAAGGTTGAACAAAGTGAAACAAGGGCAATAACACACAGAAATACACAGAAATTGCCGAAATTCAATAGGCTTCTTCGTTTCACTAATTTAAATAATGCATATAAATTTCAGAAAGATAGGATGATAACTTTTGGCGTTGGAGCGTTCACAAGAAATTGTGGCCGATGTATGGGGGCGACGGCAAAATACGTCCACATTTCAAATTAATTGCAAGTTACCACAGGTCAGGCCTGGTAACACGATATAAATTGCTTCATTTAAATAACACAAACATTCATTTTTCATATTTCGAGGCACATAAAGTTGCTTTGCTTTTAAATACTTGTTTTAAAGATCTTTATCAATTTAATCATAATTTTAGGCCTTATAATTATTTTCAGTGTACTTACCACGTGGATGGGGGGGTGGGGTATCAATTTTCGGTCTATCTTCATGTCTATCAAATCGTCCACTGCCAATTCGACCAGCTTAAAGTAAATAAATAGCTCAAACAAAATTCTGTTTTTTGTAAGTTTATTCATATTAAAATATAAATCAAGATGTGAAAGGAACCATACTTCAAAATTTAGTTTTACAGATCTTGATTATAAATAATAATTTTCATTTTATAAAAAAAATCATATTTATCATAAAATATTACCTGGACGTTTTGCTGGTTCCATTTTTCTAGGTGCATTTGGCCCATCAATTCTAAAAAAGAAACTTCAATATTAAAGTTCAAGTTGGAAGTCTTGGTTTAGTGTGGTTAATTAGCTACTACCTACAGTAAAATTTTACTAACTTACTGAATAGCCCAACTGAGTGAACACTGACAATAAATTTCCAATCAATTAGTAGTAATGAATATCCAAGGCAGAGATTAATACAGTCTGAAAACTGATGTGCATGAGAATGAAAAAAAAACCCTAAGAGCTGACTTTCTCTATAGATATAAATGCAACTTTTATCATAGTCTGGCTATCCTGTCTGAAATCTCCATGAAATGTATTTTCATTCAAGAGAAAAACTGACAATATAAATTGTATAAACAAATTATTGCACTATATTTAAATATCATTATAATATTATAGTCCTACTCTTGTTGCATTTTTTCACAATCCCAAGATCTTCTCCAATCTCCAGAAGCAGTCTTTTGTCTATTTATTCGAGCTTTATCAACTCTATCTCTTTCACTTTTCCATTCTTGATACTGTCGTCTCTCTTTACCAGTCATAGTTGCTGTCATTTCTACTTTGGATTTTGCCATTGGAGGTTGTCTATCACCATCCTATACCAAGACAAAATCAACAACACAATAAACACACTAAAATAATATAACTGTGTTACAAGTGGAATTTCTTAGCAAAACTTAGGATTCCTTGACATGTAAACATCTTTTGCTTAATTCTAAGCAGATTGGATTATAAACTTTTCTGCAAGACTGTAAACAAGGCAGTAAGTCTAGAAGTCATTTAAATTTGTGAAACAGAGGTCTATTGAATTTCAGCAATTTCCGTCAATAATTTCTAGAGTTATGACGGTTGTGAACCTTGTGACAAAAGTGGTCATCTAATCTGTATGAAATTTATATGCATTATTTAAATTAGTAAAACAAAAAAGCCTGTCAAATTTCAACAATTTCTGTAGATTACTTCCCGAGTTGAGACCCTTGTTTCAGTTTGTAGAACCTTGTGAACTCTCAAGGGGCAAAAATTATAATCTGATCTGTATGGAACTGTCTTGTAAAGGTCCCCAATTACCTACAAAGGAATAAATATGCGACAACCCTTGTCGACCGCTCAGACGATTTAGCTGCTGTGGAATGTGGATATATTCATGTGTCAATCCGATCTGTTTGTCTGTCCTCCACGATTTCTTTTGAACACTAGACAGCATTTATAGTTCGATCTTAATAAGATTTGCACATGTTGTTTACATCAGTGAGATTAAGTCACAAATTAAATTTTAATTATTGCTCATGATCACTTAGTAAAATCTTGTGAACACTCTAGCGTCAAATGTTATTGTCCGATCTGCTTGAAATTTTTGTTTCCTGTTAAAGTTAGTGAAACAATAAATCATTCATGTTTTACCAATAAATCATATTCATGTAATGAACAGAAATTATTGAAATTAAATAGGCCTCTTCGTTTCACTAATTTAAATCATGCATATCAATTTCACAAAGATTGGGTGATAACTTTTGATGTTAGAGCGTTCACAAGGTTCAATAAAGTGAAACAAGGGCCATAACTCTAGACGTAATAAACGGAAATTGCTGAAATTCAATAGGCTTCTTCGTTTCACTAATTTAAATAATGCATATAAATTTCAAAAAGATAGGATGATAAATTATGGCATTAGAGCATTCACAAGGTTCAACAAAGTGAAACAAGGGCCATAACTCTAGACGTAATTGACGGAAATTGCTGACATTCAATAGGCTTCTTCATTTCACTAATTTAAATGATGCATATGAATTCCATACAGATTAAGTGATAACTTTTGTCGTTCAAGTGTTCAGAAGATTCAACAAAGCTAAACAAGGGCCATAACTCTAGATGTAATCAACGAAAATTTGCTGAAACTCAATAGGCTTGTTTGTTTCTCTAATTTAAACGATACATATAAATTTCATACAGATAGGATAATAACTTTTGTCGTTAGAGCATTCACAAGGTACAACAAAGTGAAACAAGGGCCATAACTCATGGTGTAATTAATGGAAATTGCTAAAATTCAATAGGCTTCTTCGTTGCACTAATTTAAATGATGCATATCAATTTCAAACAGATCGGATGATAACAGTTGTATAGAGTGTTCAACAAAGCGAAACAAGGGCCATAACTCTAGATGTAATTAATGGAAATGGCTGAAATTCAATAGGCTTCTTTGTTTTACTAATTTAAATGATGCATATAAATTTCATACACATCGGCTAATAGCTTTTGTTGCTAGAGCATTCACAGAGTACAACAAAGTGAAACAAGGGCCATAACTCCCGGCTTAATTAACGGAAATTGCTGAAAATCAATAGGCTTCTTCTTTTTACTAATTTAAATGATTCATATCAATTTCAAACAGATCGGATGATAACTGTTGTCATAAGAGCGTTCACAAGATTCAACAAAGTGAAACAAGGGCCATAACTCTAGATGTAATTAACAGAAATTGCTGAAATTGAATAGGCTTCTTTGTTTTACTAATTTAAATGATGCATATAGATCTGTTGATAACTTTTGTCGTTAGAGCGTTCACAAGGTGCAACAAAGTGAAACAAGGGCCATAACTCTAGATGTAATTAACGGAAATTGCTGAAATTCAATTAAATAGGCTTCTTTGTTTTACTAATTTAAATGATGCATATAAATTTCAGAAAGATCGGTTGATAATGCATATAAATTTCAGAAAGATAGGATAATAAATTATGGCATTAGAGCATTCACAAGGTGCAACAAAGTGAAACAAGGGCCATAACTCCAGAAGAAATTAACGGAAGTTATTGAAATTAAATAGGCTTCTTCATTTCACTAATGCAAACAACATATATCAATTTCAAAACAATCAGATGATAAATGTAGTCTGTAGAGTGTTCACAAGAAATTGTGGACGATGGACGGACAGAGGCGACAGCAATATACGACCACATTTCTATGTGGACTATAAAAATGGATGAAAATAAAAAAATAATGACTTTGGAATTTGTAACTTTGGAAAATATGAAGCAAATATACCATTCAGCACTGTGCAGCTACAGGGTAAACAACTCAACATGGGAAATCACAAAGTCTCCCAGAGATACCTGAATATATACACTACAACCATCAAGACTTCAAATTTTGAAAACTATCTTTGTTTTAGCACACCACGTCCATAAAATGAATCTTTTATTTTTCAAATATCCTCCATTTTTTTCAAGAAACTACTTTCGGACTTTTTGTATTGAGTACCATCATAAACATCATTTGGATTAAATGTTTCGGGTCTGTATGAAATATTGTAATTACTGTATCACAATTTCTTTGAAACTGCTTTTGGTTTTCAGCAATTTTTTATAATGAATACACATTGTTATCATTTGTACTACTTCTTAATTTACCCCTTGAAACGTTGTGCCAGAAAGCATAAAGATGCACTGATTGAACATTTTTACTAAGTTTTACAGTAAAATAATTTGTTATAAATTTTATTCAATATTTATTCACACTCAACACATTGTTTAATCTTAGAATGTACACAAATAGTCAACTATTGAATGTGGAAAGGTCCAGCTGAATGATTGATTGGAAAATATGATGTGTTTCAAATGGTGCTCCATAGAAATGAATTTGCCCTACAAAAATTATATCTAGGTAACAAATTTTATATCAGACCCGCAAAATGATTATTATTCTAACATAAATGAATAATAATCTATCCAAAATTTAGAAACAAGCCTTTTTGCTAACATTTACCAACACTTGACAATGGCAGCCATGATAGCTTAGTTTTTCACAGTTCTGTTTTCATCAATTTACAGAACGGTCCATATGAATAATGTTGATATTAAAAGATGTGACAGTTCTTGCAAATGAAGCTCAATAGTCTATAATATTACGATTTACCACCTGATGTAAGGATAATTGTGATAGTATAAGTCAAAAAGTAGTTACTGCATTTTTATTTACCTTCCTGTGTTGAATTACAGCTCAAAGGAAGTGTTGCTCGCATCAATGAGTTCATGCATGACTTATTTTTTTTAAATTATCAAATCCCGTAAATGACACCTCATTTGCATTTTGATATGAATTAATCGTATTCCGCAATGGTTTAAATTAAAAAATTAAAAATTTGTATTTAAAATTAACACTTTGCTCATTGGTATTAGCATAAGGTCAAGGACATAACAGATGTCAGTTTAACGATTATTCGCATCACTCAGCTGAAGATAAGAAGGGTCATTTTCAAGAGTGAAAAAGAAAATGGAAATCTCACACTACAAGGAAATAGGAAAGCAACTCGAAAATCTAAGACTCAACTACTGTACTACATAGATCAGAGTATAAATAAAGAGTTAATAGCTATCCCCAAGTTTTATCGTTTTGTCTGTAGGTGTAGCCGCGATTGGGCAAGAAAGTGATGAAACTGAAATATTCGTTTACGTGATAACACACGAATGTACGAATTAAAGGGGTATTGACAGTGAAATAGTGTATTGTGAGTAATAGTGTTTATTTTGGACGTTTGTATCCAAGGGCCAATATTCTGTGTTGGGATATAATATCTTCAGCCTTGTTGGTGTTGAGACTACTATGCAACAAGATGGTGTCACTTTACCTTAACTCAGTTTATATTAACTAATATTATATTAATATGTAGGTTTTCATAGATAAGCTCTTTAATAAAAAAAACTTACATGTTTTTCTCTTTTTTGTGCCATATGCGTTTTAATATTACCAAAATCATCACCTCCATAGTTTTTATGGTGACGTCTTGATTCATCGTGCGGAGAAAGTGGTCCCTCTCTCCTTTGATCCGATAAAAAATTATATGATGGCTCTCCTGGAAAATTCTGTGGAAAACAAATACACATAATGAAGTTTAGAATTAAAGCTAATAAATGGAATGGAATATGATTTTAATGTCGACACCAAACCTCTGTTATCTTCATGTGTTCTGAACAGACAGGGGGATCACGCGGCTAAGTGGGTAAGGCGCTGGCTCGCTAGCCTGGATGTCAGGTGTTCGATCCCTGCATTGGCTGAAAAAGTTCATCCAGATTTTCCGGCTTGGTTCCCCCTTGTCAGTGATGCAGGACAGAGGGCCTGACAAGGACAGCTTTCTAGTCCTTCGGATGACACGGAAAACCGAGGTCCCGTGTATACATTGGAATGCACGGAAAAGATCCCTTGGCAGTTGGAATTCGATATAAGAGTAGGCGATAGTGCCGCTGCCTGGGCAAAATTTCCCTCATAGCACACTGTATGGCGTATGCCCGTCTTCATTAGCCCAGCATAGGAGCAGAACAGTAGGACTTTAAACCCCATTTCATTTCATTTCATTTCTGAACAGACAGAAGATGTTACATCTCCAATTAGATCTTTTTTCTTCAATTCATCATTTATCCAATCACCAAGAGCATCGACAATATGAAATAGCCTACTTTTTAATGGTCTATCATAAACTGATAAAATATAATATATCCTGTATCTTTGCCTAATTTTTTTACAAAATGTTGTGTTTAAGGGCCATTAGAACAAGTGGTTGCCCTGCACGATACGCCCATATTTTGAAAGAGAGGGACAGAGAACAACCTAAATAAGAAAGCAATTTTTCATACAATCAGGTAGTTACAGTCCAATATACGCGAATATCGAATGGAGCGGATATTTTTGGGTTATAACCGTACATTTTAAATTTCCTCAAAATAGGATAAAGATAGGTTGCCAGGCAACGAAACATACACCCACAGCAGCTAAATCGTCCGGGCAGTCAACAAGAGTTGTTGCACATTTTTACTTTTGTCGGTAATGAAACATTTATAATATACTAAAATCTGATTTTAGAGTAACGACTCTCATTTAGTAATTATCAGAAAATCATTAGAATTTATTTGGCCCATTCTAATGTTTAGTATACAGAACATTTAATACCATGGATTTAGCTGTTCAAAGTATCAAAAACATGTGTATCAATCCAAAGTCAATCGAAACGAATATATATAGGCGTAAACATGGTGTATAAATATAAAATCAATCAGATGATAACTATGGTTATAAAGCATCCTCAAGGTTTTACAAAATGATCAAGGGCTATAACTCTGGCAGAAATAATCAGAATCGTTGAAAATGAAAAGGCTTCTTCGTCTGATTACCTTAAACACTGTATATAAATTTAAAGTCAATCAGATATTAATTTTAGCCTCTAGAGCATCCACAAGATTTTTCAAAGTGATCAAGGGCCATAACTCTGGTAGTAACTATCGGAATCATTGAAAATCACTGGGCTTCTTTGTCTCATGCGCATAAACACAGTGCATAAATTTAAAGTCAATCGGATATTAACTTTAGCCTCTAGAGCGTCCACAAGATATTTCAAAGTGATCAAGGGCCATATCTCTGGTAGTAATTATCGGATATTGTTGAAAATCAATAGGATTTTTTGTCTCATGACCTTAAAAACTGGGTGTAAATTTAAAGTCAATCGGATATTAACTTCACATTTCAATGTAGGCGTATAGAAATTATGACCTGTAGAGTGTGTGCGCATAAAAAGGGTCAATTTAAAGAGTATGGGGTAGCGTCACATAGTTTCCCCTCATAGCACACAGCATGGCAAATACCTGTCTTCATTAGCATCTAGTTGTTTGGATGGGATGAAAAACCAAGGTTCCTTGTCCACATTGGCATGCATGTAAAATAAAAACCTTGAAATAGTTGGAATTCTCTCCTTAACCTCAAACAATAGGGGATAGCATTAATGTTACCTGTCCTCCACGACGTGTTTTAACAGGATTACTATCTGCATGATGTGATGATGACGATTGGTGTGATCTGTCTTTTTTAGGAGCAGGAAATTTATAGCATCCATTTTTTACAGCAGTTTTCTTATCAGCTTCTATTTCCTGAAATGAATTAAAACTGTGTCAGACAATAATATAAATTATCAATTTCAATACAAAACAACAAATATTCATTAATTTATACCAAAGTATTCATCTCTTCACATATTAAAATGTACATATTTGTATTTAGATTGTGCTTTTTAGAATGAAATATTCTCATCATGAAATATTCAACACATAAAAATTCATTGTATTGCATGATAACCTTTCATCATTAATTTAAATTCAGAATTTAAAAATTTAATTCCACTTATTTATAAAGGCCCATCAGACCTAAAGAGAAAATTTGTTTGGTTCAGGTTTTCATTTTCCTATTGATTGAAGATTATTTCGAGTTGTGCTGATATCATATAATCTTATGAATCGACCCATCAAAGGCAAATACCTATACCGTAATTGCATCAAAAATTGGCATAGTCACCGAAATTTGCTATATGAACAAAAATTCGTTGCCACAAATCTCTGATATAAATCCTGTAAATTTGTCAGTTCAGCAACAAATTAATACTATTTTGTCTGCCCTTGTTTTACGAAAGAATTCATGTTAAAAGAAAATTGTCAAAATTTTCCAGTGATTTTTAGGGGAAAAAAAACATGTAATCTTTATATAGAGAGAGTACTTAGCACTGTTTATCAACACAGCAGCAATAGAAAATAGGTACACTAGTAGTGCTGGGTATTGCGAATGTAGTTACGATACAATATGTATTGCGATTCGGGTACTACAATACGATTTGTATCACGATTCATAACCAGGTCAATTTTTACCAAGACAACAGGATAAATTAATAATTGATATTTTTATGGCGCGAATTTTTAGTCCTGCTGAAGTCAAAGAAAAAAAACTGTTTTATATCACGATATTCATATGGATCAAAATAAGGACCAAAACAATTTAAGTGTGTTTAATTAAGTGTGACAGGTCAGCTACTGAAGCGACAAAACATAAGAAAAAAGAATAGTAAAAAAATTGATTCAGAGGCTTGTGATTCAGAGAAAACCCACAAGGTTGTCACGTACAACCGGGGAATTGAAACCACACCATTTGACTCAATGACAGACCTTATGATACAACGACCATGCGCTGTCAATTGGCAAAGGCGATAATAATAACTGTCAATTAACCGTCAAACATATTTTCTATGTCCGAAGACAATATTTTACATAGTCCTACATGTGCAGATCTTCTTCAAAATTTATTTTCCTCATAGCACACTGTGTGGTGTAATCCCATCTTCATTAGCCCAGTTGGGGCAGAACAGTAGTAAGACTTTAAATCCTATTTCATTTTTCACATATTATTAAAATAAATCAGATGTAAGTTTGGGCCATTTAAATTAAACATCATTTTCTACACCTTGAATTACTCGTCATTGTCAATCGATGTATGAATGCTAACTTTTTCTATCCATAAACATCTAGGTTCTAGATTACTACCTGTAGAACACATTTCATACCTTAAATTTTAAACAAGCTAACAGTGAGGCTGATGTCCCCTGCCGAAATCCCAAAATAAATAGATGACACATATTCATTAATCACACATTTATTTTTTTCCAAAAGAATCAAGCAATCAAACAGATTATCTTATCTCTAAGCATCGACAAATAAAATTGCTTAGCTCTGCTTAGCTTTAGCTCAAAATGTTAATCATTGAACTCAGTCAAGTTTGAACATTCTAGCTAAATTAGAAGGAGGGATATTGTATTCTAAAGTCTCGGCCAATCAAATTGCTTATCACTCTGCTTACCCTGAGCAGAAAAGGCTCATTATCGAACTTAGTCAAGGTATTGATGTAATGAAACTATACACCAAGTTTCATCACTCTCACTTAATTAAAACTAAAGTTATCGTGTCCCAAAGCATCAACCAATCAAATTGCTTACCCAAAGCAGAAAATGCTCATCTTCGAATTCCATCAGGGCATTGACCTAATAAACCTCTAGGAGAAAATGACCATCTTTGAACTCCATCAAGGCATTGACCTAATAAACACCTACACCAAGTTTGAACATTCTAGCTCAATTAGAAAGAGAGTTATTGTGTCCCAAAAAGTGTGACGGACAGACAGACAGACGGATGGACAGACAGACAGACAATGTAATAAAACTATACACCAAGTTTCATCACTCTCACTTAATTAGAACTAAAGTTATCGTGTCCCAAAGCATCAACCAATCAAATTGCTTATCTCTGCTTACCCTATGCAGAAAATACTCATCTTCGAACTACATCAAGGCATTGACCTAATAAACACCTACAACAAGTTTGAACATTCTAGCTCAATTAGAAAGAGAGTTATTGTGTTCCAAAAGGTGTGATGGACAGACAGACAGAAGGACTGACGGACAGACAGATGGACGAATCCATTTTAATAGTCCCCTGCTTTCTTCGAAAGGCGGGGGACAGACAGACAGACAATGTAATGAAACTATACCCCTAGTTTCATCACTCTCACTTAATTATAACCTTAAGTTAACGTGTCCCAAAGCATTAACCAATCAAATTGCTTATCTCTGCTTACCCTAAGCAGAAAATGCTCATCTTCGAACTCCATCAAGGCATTGACCTAATAAACACCTACAACAAGTTTGAACATTCTAGCTCAATTAGAAAGAGAGTTACTGTGTTCCAAAAAGTGTGACGGACAGACAGACAGACGGACTGGCAGACAGACAGATGGACGAATCCATTTTAATAGTCCCCTGCTTTCTTCGTAAGGCGGGGGACAATAAGGAAAATGTATTGCATCTCTAATCTATACAATAAGTTAGTTAAATTTTACTCCACCTCATGGCGTTTTCTGATGGCATCGTTTTTCTTCCTTATTTCTTCCATTTTCTTTGTAAGGAGGGCTTCCTTCTCCTCCTTTGTAAGAATATCCAAGAATAACTCTGAGTTGAGGTCGACATGTTGTACCTAATATAGAACAGTAAGAAGATAAAAGTTTTTGATAAATTATAAGAAGACTATAGCCATGCAATTATGAATATATTCAAACACATGCATATTATTATTAGAATTCCATCCATGTTCTATTTAGGTAAAGCTGTATTAATAGAAATTTGGTCACTGTAACCTTTACATGTAGCTCAGTATAACTTTAATATGGCAAGTTCTCTTTGTTGCAGTAAATGACTCATTGACATGAAAAATGAAAATAACATTTCATCTTTGTTTACAAATTATTGAATATCAATAGAATATCACACATTGATGAAGGGTAATATAAGTGTGATAAAGGTAAAGGGAGATAAAAACATTACTGCAATGATGGCACAATAAATTGATGTTATGAACACATTTCAAATGTGTTTATCAAATCAAACAAGAATGCATGTTAGATCTTCATTATAACATTAAGAAATTTCTATTATTTTTCTGACAAAGAAGCTAATAATTTGTTTATCATAGTGGTATATAAGATTTCTCCAACACCATGCTATAATAATCTAGATTGTGTTTTGTTTTTTATCACAACTATTTCTTTTTTATTATTTCTATGTGTTTTATGGTAGAGGTGGTTCTATGCCAGAGCACCAGGACAGTGGTATATACAGTATTCACCATTTCAGTGGTTTCAACATTCCGTACAAGAAATAATAGTAGTATTATCCTAAACATATCTGTGAGTCATATAAGACAGTAATCATAAAGAATATATTAATTATTAATCAAAGATTAATTATGTTTAAAAGGAAATATATACAGAATGGAGTGTTTTTCTCAAATTTTCTAAATATATTTCTCAAATTAGGGAAAAGGTATACTGTTTATAAAAATAATTTGTTTTTGAAAATATTTGTAATAGGGATTCCATTAAGTAAATGGTCATACTGAATATCTGATACACAAAAATTGTATTGTGATATATCAATTAATATTGCTATACATTGATATTTCAGTATATTGTTACAGCAGCTTGAGCAATTAGGCAAGTGCCATAAACTGTTTCATTAAACTAAAACATTAAATCTAATATCACATAGTAAAAACTGAATAAATCCAGGTAATTGATCATTTTGTTTCGTGATTATTACATTTTAGTTATGTAAGGTAATATGCTTGTCATGTGAACGTAGCATTTTACAACAAAATTTGAGACAAAGGAATTTAACTTGCATCATTTAAGAAAATGATCGGGAGCTACTGTTAAGTTTGAAACTATACATAAACAATGTACATGTTCTGGTAATGGGCAGTATTATTCTGGGATCTTAATGTATATATAGTGCTAATTCTCATTTTTAACTCATGGACTCACTCTAAATTTTTGCTCTAGCTCACTGAAAACCAGCATGTTTGTTTTGCTACAGTGGTTAGTTAGTGTAGCACTAATTGGGAGACACAGAGTTACGATTTTATTGCTTAATAAGACACAAATGCAAGGCTTCAATCACAGGTTTCATCATGGAAGCATATATTTTGATTTTGTTCAGGTGGCGGAAACACTATACCAGTACTTCGAAAATTACTGTAGGTGGAAGTAGTCTCTTTCCCTAGCCTTTATGATGGCCATTGTGATGGATGGCAGCTATGTTAGAGTCAGAAATGTAAGGCTGTTTTGCCATCTTTCACAACAATTCTGCACTGTACATTACATTCTAATCAAGACATTTAATTTTACCACTGAAAATTGAAAGCCTGGTAAAAAATAACAAAAGACAGGACCTTATCTTTCTGACTTGCTGTCATTTATCACAAATTAATAACTATCAAAATGACAAGGGAAAGAGTCTGGCACTTTGGACTACAGTTAAAAGACACACAATGTCAACACTCTTTCAAGGTGGGGGGGGGGGGGTAATTTGCGAGCAATAAATTAGCAAGAGAGTTTATGAATTTGCATCAATGTTGGTTTTGTTTTTTCTTCAAATCACTGTAAGAAATAGGTTTGTAACCTTTCAAGTTGTCAATTTATGTCCATGTATATATATTAAATAGTACAAATATGTAAGATATTTCAACACAAACTGAATATTCAAATTAACAGTAGATACCAACACCATTAAAAAGCCAAAAGAGTGAACACTAATACACACATTGCCCATAGCTAATAAATAATATACATATTTATATAAATAAACAAAACGAAACAAAATAAAAAAAAGATTTCTACCAAAGTCTCAATTGATGGCTCCAACATTTCTGCCCCAGTTGCCCCGATCTGACTGCCCAACTACAGATAAAATAAATATGATATGTATTTGCAGATGCAGAAGTAGGGTTAATACACACATGTGTCATCATCCCAACAACAATATATAGCTATATATACATCATAATAGCAGAAATCAGTGGGGTATACTTAATACAATGGGGTGTTCTAAATGATATTCAACATTTAATTCTCAGTATATATTGGATAGCATTTATAAAGCATGCATTACATTAATACAATATCACAATATCGAAACAACGAAGTATTAAAGTTCAAAGCTCCTTGCAGACATATCGATAGCATATAGCACCAGACACCCTTAATCAGAGACCAGTGCTTCTGTGTGTGAAGTATAACAAAGTTAGTATAATTGTGCCGAAGTTGTCAGCTTGAAATTCAGTCTATATAGACGTTTTGTGGCTAACTTGCTTAGTGCATGGCCAAATTATATAATAACGTAAAGCAACTACAACTTAAAATCACCAAAAGAAAGATACGTCAAAACATAAAACATAAAGAATCCCAAGAATTTCACAACTCACCTGCGACTGCTCCTTCGCCATATTCAGGATCACTCGGAACACGCGTGTGGATTTTAATCGAGCCCCGAGAGCATCTCGGCGAATGGCGAGTGGATTGGCATACTGCCCATCACGGCTTCGTAAAATACGGAAGCAAAATAGGGATATCTAAACAGTTTCTTTGTATTTAGCTTCTTAAAGGGTTTAGCTATAGCCCCAGGGTGATGTCATACATTCTTCAGTTTTGATCATAGGCACTGAACTGAACCAAGACAAACACTGAATAATTATTATCTACGACTTTATAAACCTAAAAGATATTCCTCAATTATTGTTTTAAGTTAAACAATTTGAACACCGAAGTTTACTTTTATCCTGGAATCTATATAGGCCTATAGCTTTTGTTACAAAGAGATGATTTACACAGATAGGTTACGATTACTCACCATATTTACATAAAAAAAAAAACGTATGCTCAATTTGAAAGAAAATGGCACCATAAAAGCGATCGGAAGTTGGGTGCCGCCATGGACATTTTTTGTCTCTACTATACTTAAAACAGAAATATAAATGCTTGGTATTCACGCATTCTTTCTTTGGCAGTCGTAAAGTATAAATATACAAGGTTACACGGGCGTTGCCATTTCGAATCAAACTGTCAATCAAAATTGTATCAAATCAAGGCAATTGTCAGATAAATTCATCACTAAATTGTGTCAACTTTTGTTCGTGGCTATGATCAATGCACACACCTTGTCAAAACTACAACCATTGATAACTTCGCTCAAAATAAAGCAAGTTGAATAAATCTTCAATATATTCATTTTGAACTCTCTATTTTTGAAAGATTATAGCGAGAACGGCCAGTTCTTTATCTAAATCTTACATAACGCTCATGTAAGTTTGTTTTATCAAAAGAGCTACACGTACGGGATTATGTGGTGTGGAGTCGAGCCGGAGGTTTACGAAAGCTTGCACAAGTAAACAACAACAAAAAAAACTCGAAGAGCAAAGTAACGGAAAAGAAAGAAGGAAAATTTAATCAAAAAATAAAATTTGAACATATTTTATTTTTTCTTTCGTCCGAATGAAATAAGTGTAGTAGGTCTTCGTGTTTTTTGCACGAAGATGTGTTTGATTATATATCTTATTTATCCGACGAACAAACGTTCATGTGCCTCTAAAGAAATCGCAAATTGATTTGAATTATAAAATATACGGAGCAGCGTCTCCATCATATTATTCTAACGGTGAATCAATTCTGTCAGCCATGGTCCGAATCAGTCATGGTCCAATTCAGTTTGGTTTCATGTGGCACAGATTGAATACGCTCGTGGAAATAACCGTTTTCGCAGGTTCAATCTTTGACATACTACATTAAAAGAAATAGATCTACAGTATTATTTATTAATTTATTACTTCTTCGCACGATTTTGTAATATTATTCCTGAAATTTTTTGTGCTTGTCGACACAAATAGATCAGATTGATCTAAATTATAAAAATATAATGGATAATGTATGAATAAAAATAAATGCATTATCTTAACTAAACTTGCGAATATAATGGTGCTTTCTGTTAGACGATATGTGTCTCAGAAATGTAACTTTATTACCATACGTGTTCAATTAACAGCCATTGAAACTAAATTATGATCATTTATCAATTTTCAACGTCTCATCCTTCACCCGGCACGTGCCATTCACTAGGCAGCATAAATAAATTTCAGTCAGGCGAGGAGAAACTTAAATACTGGATTATAATTGAAACAGTATACGCCGCGGTTGCGATTCTGTCCGCTTTTATTTTCATTTTTAAAACATTCAGGTACATTATTATCTTTAATTTGTGATTTATATGGCTGTCAGCGTAACTACTAATATGCATTGCAAAGTGAAAATAAAGAGAGACTGGCCTTCCGTACAAAGTATTTTTCATTGATTGTCAACTGACTCAACCCGAGTAAACGAAACAGGTATACGGAGAAAGCCGATATAAAATTGTCGGTTAGACTGCGACAGGTAACTCTTGTCAACACAAGTGGGACGAACTTCAGATAGACGAACTTCAAATAGACGAAGACAAGATCCATATATCTACAAAATGGTACGTATAATATTATATGTATTTTTCTAGTCCGTTTCAAAACGGCATAGGTGTAGTATAGAATTACCAACATAAATACTATTGAGTTTGGGTTTGCAGTAGTAGTTTATGATGGCGAATTATATACTGATTACGATGGCGAAATCACCACGATCATATTGTTGTGCTTCTTTAGGGTGTGGTCTGCCTTCAGATAATAATTTTAGTTATATATATATAGACTAGAATCATAATTACATATGCAACGAAGTAACACTCCAAAATAAATAAAATGAATCATAGTCTATTGATATCGTTAAAGGAAAAGAAAAGTTCGAAGCCTACATCTAATGCGCTTTGGATAGGTTGAAATGCAACTTTATCATAGATTTAAAGTAGCTAAGTCTCTAACTCAATATTATCCAAAGTCTTCGACATTGAAAACACAATTTATTTGTCAATTATAAATTAACATTGATGTTGTGATCTTACCAGGAAAGATTATCTTCTGATATCCGATATTTAAGACAAAATTCTTGTCTCATAATATGTTTTAGCGCCATTTAGCGCCATGGTGATGGCATATTCTTATCTGGAGAGCATGCTCAATAAATACTATCGGTGTAAACTGGAATAACCAGAAGCTAGCGATTGCCATCAAATTGAGACCTCTGACATATTTTGCCGAACACAACTGATTTGAAATTAGAGTAAAAACGGAAATGATTGAATGTAAATCAGTTTATATACAATCATATTACATTATTATATGTGTTGCAAACCATTTGTGTCAATTTCTAGGTCCCAAATATTAGCGATTTAGCTCATTTAATGGAGCTAAATCTGTATTATTTGGCAACTAGAAATGGACAAAAATATGGGTCTCAAAAATAAAAATTCAAAAATAAAAACCTGACGAAGATCTGTTGATATACCGGGATATGGGCAATCTGAGTTTATTTTTTGTCCCATCTGTAAAACACTTCCTGTTTGTCAAAAATGACCCAATTTATATTTAATAAATAGATTCAGGGAGGTCAACCACATCTACGTTGGCAGAATGTTTGCACCATTTACAGTTTTGGCTGCACAAACTGACTAAATTCCCCCCCCCCCAAAAAAAAATAAATAATAAAAACACTTACAGAAACAATACATGTTTTGACTGAAGGTTCGAAACACGTAATTAAACGTTAAATATTCGTGTCAGGAGTTTCACAAGTATATATTAAGAAATTGCAGATTATTAGAAGCCGTGAAGTCAAACAAAAAGTAAATTCATTAAACTATCTTGAGTCAATGTGCATTCAGGAGAAAATCACAAGTTATCAGTCAGAGTATTTCAGTACCATATTTCTTGTCTCTGATTGCTTCAAGATTTCAAAAAATTTGAGGGGGGAGACCTGCCCCCCAATCGCAGTCTCTCGCTTACGGCATTCGGGGCGAGCAGAGCCGCAGAAAATAAGAGGGATTTTGAGCAACATATATTTTTTCTGATCAAGCAAAGGTGGTCACCCTAATCATTAGATATTAATCATTCTTTATAGAAAGATGAAAATCATACTTTATTGTATTTGATATATTATTTAAATGTTAAACAGACCTGCTCTCATCAATATTGTCTGAATTTGATTGAGCCATTTACATTTATTGTTATTATTTATATTTTTCAGTCGGGTTTGAATAAAGACAAAAGAGAAGGTAAGTTTTGATTTTCGCAGCCTTGTTCTCAAAATCACTATCATAATATGAAAAGTACACATATCTCCCACCTCTTTCTAGTACCAGTGCTCATCTACATCACTATTCACTATGACGGTATATTATATTCAAAATTCTAAGATGCTTTTGTCGAATTTCTAACTTTTATTCATGTCATTTCTAACCTCTATTCATGTTATTTCTAAATTAAGACAATGTATAATTCAACTTCTTGATTTGTTCAGCCTAAATTTTAATTCTGTTTCATCTTATTTCTATTATTAAGACGAAAAATGTCTACTTCATCGTTGCTTTGCATGTTAAGCATGATCGTCAAACAAATTAAGAATTTTGATACTTCTACCTAGAAAGCATGTTTGGTGTCGCCACCATGTGTTCAGTTTGGTGATTGAGCACCAGATCGGGACCATTATTTTGTGTGGTTGAATGGTTTGGCGGAGTGTTAAAATTGAAAACAACATCAAACGTTTTATGCTTTGCAAATACTATTTCAAATATAAGCTAAACAGCATTTGTTCAGTTATTTTGAATAGAAGTGCAGGATTTGGAGAATTTTATTTGACTTTTTTTTTTTTACAGTTGACCAGTTAATATTTACATGTATATACGGTTGGTCAATATTCAATTACTGTTCTGAAAAATGTCTTTTTACACTAGCCACTGCCCGTGCCAGACACCCCGTCTTGTATCAATCAAGGGAGGCAGAACCACACCGGAAGATATCAGTTATATCATAGATATATATATCTATGGGTTATATAATATCGCCAAAACTATGCTTTATAATATTTCTGATATTATTAGTTACGCCCCCCCCCCCCCAATGATTTGCAGAGGCTGCCGTTATTGTAGGCAGGGGCAGTGTCTATAGTCGTCCGGATCGGATGAAAACCCTTGGCAACTGTAATTCTAATAAAAGTAGACCATAGAACAGCTGTCCAGGATAAATTTCCCCCATGGCACACTATATGGTGTAAATCTGTCTTCATTAGCCAAGTTGGTGTAGAAAAGTAGGACGATAAACCCCCATTTCATTTTGGTTTATTTTTGTCAAGAATACCGCTATCTATGAAATTCTGTATCACTTTATACAACTTGAATAACATTTTGATGGAACAAAAACTACCATAAAGTTAGTCAGGTCGGTTTAATGAAGGCATCAGAAAAAAAAAACTTTATCGCTATCCACATGAACAGATTATCCCAGTCTCCTTTAAAGGCTGTTACATCCGGTCAATATGAGGTTTCTAAATTTATATCTTTGAACCCTTTCAAGAAAAAGTTTATCATTATAAAGTGATATTTTTGTTAAAGCAATAATAGAAAACAGATTAACAGTATATAGATATTAATATTGACTTAATTGTAAAAAAAAAATAAAAAAATATTCTCCATATTCTTCACTTGTCTTCAAAAAAAGAAAAATTAACAAATTATGTTGTTTAGCTTATATTTGAAATAGTATTTGCCAACCATGTCACGTTTAATGTTATTTTCAATTTCAGCATCATTTTGGCGATTGTTCGTGACAAGGAGTAGGGTCGCCTGTCCAACCTCGTGGGTTTTCTCTGGGGTTTAACGTCCACTCGACACAAACTAGGTCATTTCAAGACTAACACATGGTTCAATTCTATTTCAATAATTTGCTTGCGCGTAGGGGTCTTTAGCAGTGGGAGGAAACTGGAGGACCCGGAGAAAACCGACAAGGTTGGACAGGCGACCCTACTCCTTGTCATGTACAACCGGGGAATCGAAACCACGACAGTTGACTCAGTGACAGACCTTATAATACAGCGCACATGTGCTAACCATCCAACCCCCCTCACCAAATGAGCACCAGTGGTGACACCAAATACTTCATAATGATGGTTGCTAGGCAGAAGTGTAAAAATTCTAAACCTTGTTAGTGAGCAGATATTCGCCCGTGTAACTGTTATCACTCGTCACTTCAGTCTGTTATATAGAAGGATGACTCGTGTTTTCCTTTTGTGTTCGTCACTTCCTTTTGTAGAAACCTTCATTACGCACCTATCGTAGCAATGATCTCTGTGTTAAAATTATATTTGGAACGTGTTAAACCAGTTCTATCACATATGTGATAATGACTGACACCAATATTGTCCTTTAGCTTTTAATATTTTTCGATAATCTTTTACAGAGCTACAAGAAGCTTTCACAATGCATTGTCAGGCAGATAATAAAGTAGCTTTAAATCAATTGGGTATGGTTATTAGATCTATTGGATGTAGTCCAACACAGACAGAATTAAACCAAATTATGAAAGATTTGGAGGGTCGAGGTTAGTAAGTTAGATATGTTGATGAAGGTGGTTTGATTCATTTTGAATTACCGGTAATGAATCTGTGTTTTTATGATTATGGTTTTGGTTGCAATAACTGATCAATTCTGTTTACTCTATATGAGAAATTTCATCTGTACTTTGCTGATGCTATGGCTATGACAAAAGTCACATTACACACGTGACATCACCTTTAGTTTCATCCAAACAAGTAGAAATGAATAAATTTTTGGTTTTGTTAATCTGTATGTACATATTATGTCTGTGCCCAGGGCCATGAAATAATTAATAAATTGTATCATTAATAAATGACAACATGGACAATGCTATTTCGCTCCAAGGACAACGTTCATGTGAACTCAACATTTATGATTATTCATTCTAATATTTGCCACATGAACAACACAGAATGCAGACATCTATTATTAGCTATGTTTGGCTGTGTTACTATTAAACTCCCAAATCTGTTAATACAATAAGACTACGATTTCTGCCATACAGAACAGAATTTGATCTCAAGGGATGAAATTGGAAAGATCTTTGGCAGCCTTAACTTAATTACTAGCATTATAACGTCTTGTTTTACAGTATGTTTTGATAAAATTTAAAAATTATTTTTAGGTATGAGAAGTTTAGAATTTAAACAAGTAGAAAGTATTGTTGAAAAACACACCTTCCCTAGTGAAACATCCGAAAGTTTAAAAGATGCCTTCCGAATATTTGATAAAGACGGTAATGGTTTTATTAATGCAGCGGAACTGCGACATGTTTTATGTAATTTGGGTGAAAAATTAACCGATGAAGAAGTAGATGAAATGATACGCGAGGCAGATTTAACAGGTGATGGACAAGTTAATTATGATGGTATGTTTATATTTTAGTTTATAATTCCAATACCCTTTATCAGAATTTGTGTGGGGCTGGGTGGTAGAGTGGTCAAGTGTGTGTGCTTTTGATCATAAGGTCTGTCATTGATTCAAGTGGCATGGTTTGATCCCAAGCTTGAACGTGACGAGGAGTAGGGTCACCTGCCCAACCTCTTGTGTTTCCTACAGGGCTTCCATTTCACAATTTTCACTTCCTTCCACTTCTAAAGACCCCTACCTGCAAAAGAATTATTGGAATGAAATTTGTATATGTTAGTTTGCGAAATTTAGACTACTCCTTAATTTTAACAATAATGTATGACCAATTATTTGCTTAAAGGTGTTGCTATGGTTATTATTGTCCCTTCCTTAAAATGGGTCTGTCTGTCCTGTCTGTCCATCACACTTTTTGGGACAGGATAATTCTACTTCTAATTGAGCTAAACTCGTTGTAGGTGTTTATTAGGCAAACACCTTGATAGAGTTTGAAGATGAGCATTTTCTGCTTAGGGTAAGCAGAGATAAGCAATTTGATTGGTTGATACTTTGGGACATGATAACTTTAGTTCTAATTAAGTGAGAGTGATGAAACTTGGTGTATAGTTTCATTACATCAATACCTTGACTAAGTTCGATAATGAGCATTTTCTGCTCAGGGCAAGCAGAGCGATAAGCAGTTTGATTGGTCGAGACTTTGAAACACAATAACACTCCTTCTAATTGAGCTAGGATGTTCAAACTTTAGGTGAATACATTGAAGGAGTTCGAAGATGAGCATTTTCTACTTAGGAAAAGCAGAAATAAGCAATTTGATTGGTTGGTACTTTTGGACAAGTAACTTTTGTTCTAATTAAGTGAGAGTGATGAAACTTGATGTATAGTTTCATCTTATCAATACCTTGACTTAGTTTGATAATGAGCATTTTGGCTCAGGGTAAGCAGAGTGATAAGCAATTTGATTGGTCAAGACTTTGGAGCTCGACAAATTTGATTCTAATTGAATTGTAGTGGTGAATATAATACCATCATTACATCAATACCAATGTGGCAAAGTAGAGACCTCAATCTGATTGATCGAGACTTTGGTACACAATGACTCTCCTTCTAATTGAGGTAGAATGTTCAAACTTGGTGTAGGTGTCTTATTAGGTGAATGCCTTGACAGAGGTCTATCATGCGCATTTTTCGCTAAGGCTAAACAGAGATAAGCAATTTGATTGGTTGAGACTTTGGTTCTAATTGGGTGAGAGCGATGAAACTCTGAGTATAGATTCATTATATCAATACCTTGAGTAAGTTCAATGATGAGAATTTTTTGCATGGGCTAAGTAGAATAAGCAATTTGATTGGTCAAGAGTCAATACTTTGGAACATAACAACTCTGCTTTTAATCGAGGTAGAATGTTTAAACTTGATGTAGATGTTCATTAGGTGAATGTCTTGATTAACATTTCCCGCTAAAGCTAAGCATTTTCATTGGTCGATGCTTTGGGACAAGATAACTTTTATTCTAACTTATGGAGAGTGATGAAACTTAATGTAGAATTTCACTACCAGGTACTTCCAAACCTTGACTGAGTTTGATGCTTAGATTAAGTATAAATAATCAGTTTGATTGCTGGATACTTTTGAAAAAGATAAATGTGCAATTAATTAATATGTGTCATATATTTATTTTGGGATTTCGGTGGGGGACATCAGATTTCTTTTGATTTATTTTTAAATGAAAAGAGAGGCTTTGTTTAGCTAGATATAAATATATATCTCAAATTTAAGCATCAAAGAAGTAAGTTAACTATCTTTAACACAAATACATTTTATTGGAATTTAAAAAAAAGAAGATTTAAATCTATTTTAGAAACACATGACAAGAGAACATTACAATTTTATTTTATTACTTTTTATTTAGTGACCCTTTATGAACATACAAACTTAAACAAAGAGGCTTTCCAAATAGATGTAGCTTGTAATCAAATATGAGTGCAAATTTAGCATTTAATCATTCAATAAATCAGTTAGATTAAAAGAAAATTAGACAATCCTGTTACACATTAATCTTAATCTCCAGGCGACAAGTGGCAAACCAAACAATGGCCTTCAAGTATCTCATCATTTTATGGTTACATAAAAAAAATATATATTTTGTTTTACAGTCCTCCCAGTTATACAATGTTTATAGACAACTATATGGATTGATTAAGAATTGTATATATTACTTGAAATCATTTGCAGTTATAACTATACTTTGAATTCATTTCTCAAAGTCATACAGTTAGAACTATTTTTTTTCATGTGATATTTTATAGAAATAACAATTCACACAGAAAACTCTTGTCATAGCGAATCAAAGAAAGATTATTTTGAATGCGATTTTGTATGTGCTACACGACAGAAAAATGAGGTTGTCTTTTTAATGTCTATAAATAAAATGATTTGATTTATATAGTCATAAAGTAATGGGTAATGGTAATTGATTACTTTCATTGTAATGGTAATGAATTAATTACATTACTAAAAATGAGAAAGTAATTGTAATGATTACATTTATAAAGTAATGACCCGAGCCCTGCAGCCAATACTAGGTTAGGTTTCCCTCACCCAGTTTCTCCATATAACTGTATGACAAAAATTCAAATTTTAAATATTTCTAGGAAAATAACTATTGAATATTTGAAGTATTTATTTTAGATTTAATGTTTTTTTCATGCATACATCAAAATTAAATAAAATATTATATGACACAAAGTTACTGTGAATGACAGACATGGCAACACCCTTAAATACAAATAAGACATAAGCTGCTTAAGGGTGGTATTTTTGTTTGAATTATTTAAGGTGACAAAGTTAGAACCACGAATAGAAGCAGAATAAAGCCAATAAAGTTGAATAGAATATTATATTATTGCAATTTTTGTTTCAGAGTTTGTTAAAGTACTTCTTGGTGGTTTTTAAGTCAATGTTCCATGGTCAAAGACAGATGTAAATGGTATTGAAATCTTTATATATAGATGTTTGTCATCCACTCATTCCTGCCTCTATATTTTGTAATATTGTCTTTTTAACAAATGGCTGTGTAATATACCTAATCACTTTTTTGAACATTATTTGTACTAAATATATTATGTTCTCAGATTTCTCTATAATAAACTGGTTTTCACCAAGCACCAAATATTCGTACATAATCACCCAATATGCTGTTCATAAAATTAGAACCATGTCTAAATATAGCCTTAATTCATGTTGTTGTATTATATGGTCACAGAAAATTATTGATGGGAATGCTTAAAACGGAATTATAAATAAGAATATTGATCAGCAGATTAGGAGGCATACCCTGACTTTTGCACAGCACCCCACTAATACTTATAAAAAAACTAGACTAATATCACATAATATATGTCATTAAAATTTAGAAAATTAATTCAATTCTTTGAGAAGTAGATTACACCTGATTCCTATTTGGTGCATCACCTATTAATTGTCTTAAACTGTTGCTGTACATTTCCATTAGACGAACAAGTGGTATGATTAAACACCATCTCAGGGATAAACAGCTGAGGTAGCCTCTAGAAATTTGGTAGCTTTCTATTGTGATTGTTAATTGAAAGTTAGAGGACAGAGTTTTGTTTGTTATTGCCATTACTTCTTGACAATCTGTGACTATCAATATTTGAATGATATTAATTCAATATTTTAGCAATTTGAATAAAATGAACTTAATCTTAACAACGATCAGTTATCTCAAAATTCATTTCATAAATGTCTTGTATTTCATTTGTGTCACATTCCAAAGATAAATTAAAATCCATTCTTAAATTGTTTGTGCATGGAATATTTCCATTATTTTGTTCTCATTTGATGATAATTCACCTACACACTTAGAAACTAGGTAGCTTTTGTTATTGTACATTGTACATTGGGCAGATATAAATCAGAATTGTTAGTTTGGGGATAGAAATTGGTTATTGACATATAATGAAGTATGGTATTAAAAATATAAATATTTTCATTTTCGTCTTTGGTTATTTACTTTCTAGAATAGTGTGGGTTATATAATGGATTGCCATGATTATGTAATATGAGTAATGTTACAAACTACTCGACCAAGGAATACCAGCTGTCTATTTTCTTTCATAATATATACTATTGGCTCTTCACTATAGCCACTTGTTTTACAGACATTTCTTCCATTCATACTGGAGCAATCTCAAAAGTTTAAACTGCTCCTTTTATATTATTTGATCATAAATTGCCGTCTACAAACTACATTTATCATCTGATGTTTTTGAAATTCATACATCTTATTTACATTAGTGAGACAAAGAATCCTGTTGAATTTCAGCAATAACATTCCAAGTTATTACCCTTGATAACTTTGTAGAATCTTGTTAATGACAAACGTCATTTAATCTGCTTGACATTAAGTATGAAAAACAAATCCTATCAAAGTTAGGGAGCCATGGTAGCTCATTGAAAAAGAATTGGCTCACTAACCTGGAAGTCCCTTGTTCCATCCTGGTGTTGAAAGAGAAAATTCGGAGGGATTTCCCGGCTTGGTTCCACATTGTCAGTGGTGCTGTATAGTCATTCGGGTGGGACGAAAAACCAAGGTCCTGTGAATCACTTCTAGAGTTACGGCCCATGCTCACTTTGTAGAAACATGTGAACGCTTTAACACTGAAAATCATGTTGATCTTAGGAATCCTTTTCATGTTAAGCCGAAAAGTCCCACAATAGTAAAACATATTAAATAATGACTGAAATATTCAATACACACACATAATGAATGGGCTATTTGCAGTCCAGGTTGAACTTAATTCTTTCCAGATGACAGTGAAGAAAACGCATTTATCAACTATCTGATTAAAATATAATTTTTAGAAGAAAATAAAAATGCTGATACACATATATGTTGTTGCCCTTAATAATATTGTTAATTTTCCTTTTGTTTACCTAAAGATGTCAAATACAAGAAGCTTTATGAATGGATCTGATGACTAAGCTGTTTCCTTGCCTAGCTACCTGTATATGACTAGTATACCCACCTTTAATCTGTAAATAACCCTAGTAACAGAAATATATGGTGATCTTAACATAATTCTAGGAAAGTGTTTATAGAATTTTAAACTCCATTATATTGAAATTGTTCAGATTGCGAAGAGAAATGTAGTTTAACATTTGCTGAACAGCATGCAAAGATAGGTAGTTTATTTTTCAAGGGAGGTAAATCTTCAATCACTGAACTTACATTCCAAGTAAACCAGATGAATTTATGTTTGTAACTCAAGTTATTCATGACTAGCCGAATACCAGGCTTTGCCCAGGGCCCAAATTCGATGGCCTGAAAATTTCACGTGGCTATGCTGGTTCATTTCAAAGCACATGTGAGGGTGGAGTGTGGTGTTATATATTTTGTCAGGGCAGTGGGTATTGTCATTTGATGAAAGGTCAGATTGTCATTCAAACAAAAACTCAACAAATGCAAGCAGCTGATAATGAATTTTCTTCACACCCTCATACTGAAAAAAAACTACAGCCCATTCAGGATTTATTATGCGATGTACTGCATATTGCTGGCATTCGATCAATGTTGTACTTTCACCAATTGACATGGATCAAGGGATTGTGTGGCCTGGCCAAGCATTTATTCAGAATGGTCCAATTTTTTTTCATTTGAGGCTTTTGATCCCAGTATCAATCCCAAAATTGAGGACACCCATTATTTGCACATTTATCTTTTTTGTAAAACATCAACCAATCAATGTGCTTATGAAAGATGCTCAGTATTGAAACTTAGTCACAGTATTAATTGCTGCAATGAAACTATACACCAAGTTTCATCACTCTTTACTCAATTAGAATCTGGGCAAATCAAATTGCTCGTCTATGCCTGGCCTCAGAGAAAAATGCTCATTATCAAGGAAAGATATTCACACAAGGAACATCTACACCAAAGGCAGGGGACAACTAAAACAATAGACAAGCCAGAAGAACTGAAAAAGATTCCCCTAATGTTTAGCATTGCAGATTATGCCAGGTCCCAAAGTTGACAATCCTGGTTTGGATTGTGCCGATCTTGCAGGACTAACAAGAAATCTGTATCATTTTTCTCAAACATGACTACATGTATGTTAAAAGAACCCCAACTTAAACATTATAAATTTGGCATGTAATTATCAAGATGGGATTATTAAAAAAAAATAATAATACAAATTCGAGATATCACATTAAGATTTTATTTCATCTGAAGAGAAGTGATTATGGATGTAAGCAAGTATACATGTAGAATAATATAGAATATTACATCAATAAGATATAGAAACCCACATCAACTCTTCTCAACATCAATACAAGTTTCTCTCATGGCTTGCCACACAATATCACCGTATCCCACAGTAACATTACCACTTTTCATACAATTGTTCATCTTTGGAAAATCTACACTTTGGAATCGGTAAACATAATCTTATAACCCCATTATCAATTTAGAAAAAAAAGACGATATTTGGTTTTTAAGTAGTAAGTTTGTGTTTTTGCCCATAGAAATGTAATTCCATGTTATTTTCTTCAGTTAAATAATACAATGTAATTTTCTTCAGTTGATTCAAGTTATTATGCTTCAAAAATGCCTTGTATAACACATTATGCAAAGGGCTCCTCATTCAATTATGTTAGATTGACAAGAATAATGAAACTGCGTAGATTTATTTAAGTAGCGTAACATAATTATCTAAACTGCTGGATTCTATATCCTTTAATGAAACAAGATGTGTCTAAAAATTTTCTTTGACTTGAACAATACCAAATAGATTGTGATGAAAATAGAATAAAATCTGTATTATTCTCCACAAATTTGCATACTAAGCATAGATATATCCACATTGGGAAGTTAATGTTGATTAAATAATAAATGATTTAAGAAATGTAGAACTTCATTTAATGCATATGCCATGGTATTTATATACACTTGATAAAGACATATTTAGATGGACAAACATATAAAATTGTTTAAAATGGATTTTCTGGTAGAAGTTTTAACAAAACATTACAAATGAAAAAAAATAAACACATTATCATTATACCTTTGAAAGACATCCTTGTTGCGAGTATCTGATATGTGTCAACAATGGATGTTTAAATTTATTTTTGACTTCATATTTAGAATCTACTAAGATAGATAAAACTAATTTTATCGAATCTGACCACAGATACATGAACAACAGAATTTAGAAACATCACGATAGGAATAGTGAAGTAAGAAAGTATCAAGAGGAGTGGAGGGGGGAAAAAGTGATTTTCATTTAGTTAGAAACATTCAAGATAAATGATGGGTATAAGATGTTTCATAAACAAATCATGACAGTCTTTTTAGAATGCCAAGTTGAAAAGACAATGTTAAAATAACAAGAATTATGTACATAGACAGACATACAACTTCATTGGCAAAGTTAATTTACAAAGGATGAAAAAACATACTGTACGACAGATGTTAACATAAGACAGCTACTTTGAGGTCATCATTGTCACGAATTCTGGAAAATAAAATAAAATTATGAAGCATGTTTGAAATCAAAGTTATGTGGGCAGAAACAAATACGGTAATAATGTCTGATCTCTGAGTAAGATAAACCTAACAAAAGCTGTACATCTGCCTTAGATAAACCCCTGCTAGATTTTTCTGGATTTTTCTTTTTCATCTTAATAAGTGACCCCTTTTTCAACAATATTTTTATCTTCCCAGGAGGTTTATATATTAAATAGGGTAATTAGAATTTATGAGAAACAATATCTAGGGTTTTAGTGTGATTGCATATACATTCAGTTTGAGGTGTGGACTGTAAAGGATTACTCAGGCAAGACAGATAGTGGATTTATTCTATGCTTAATCAATGTTGCTGATTGAAATGTTCATCTGCTGTGACATGATGAAAGGGATTTGTAGAATAAATTCCATCAACTTAACAGTCACACTATACAATATTCATGACGTAATAGATATAGTTAGTTGATACAAGTTATTTGATCTCAAGTATTTCGTGGACTTCTTTTACATATATAAATTATCAATGACCTACTCACTGATCCCTCACAGAATCCAAATATGGATATTGGGTTTTTCTCAGATCACAGTCACTAAACTCGAACAGATTCTCATTCAAGTCCATCAAATATTTTGACATTTCAGCACCAATTGTAAGGATTGACTTGAATTGGGTTAAGTTTAAAATCAAGACTTTGCTACTAGGTCACACAAAGTCTACAAGGAGTTCTATTGTATGCAGACTAACATTCTTTGTCAAGTTAGGAAAAAAGACCTTGTTCTACATGTACTTATTAGTACTAAGATGTATGGGCTTTTTATGACCCCTTCTGTATGATACCAGTTTGGTTCAGCCAACTGCAATATGAAACCTACATTCTGCCCTTGCACATATATTGCAAATGTCAACATATTCAAAATAACTTATTTCAAACCGAGTGGGAATTCCTGAAGCAAAGGTTACAAGCATTTTCAGCTCATCAACCATTGCTAGACCAACCATTATTAGGTTTTGGATAAGTTGTATCGAATATCTTGATTAGTTGGCCAGTGAACTTAGTAGACCAACTGCTATTAAGTGTGAAAGTTAGCGAACTGATAATGCTCGTTACGACTGCTTTTTGTACATGCAGAAATCAGTTTTTGACCCAACATTTTTCTAATTGTTCGTGAAAACATTGTTAAAATCAAATATTGAATATACCTTCATAATTAACTTGTCCATCACCATCTATATCAGCCTCTCGGATCATTTCATCAACTTCTTCATCAGTCAATTTTTCACCTAAATTTGTCATCACATGCCTTAATTCAGCTGCACTGATAAAACCATTACCATCTTTATCAAAAACCCTGAATGCTTCTCGAATTTCCTCCTCACTGTCTGTATCTTTCATTTTTCTAGCCATCATTGTTAAAAATTCAGGAAAATCAATGGTACCATTTCCTGGAACAGACAGTTATAATATAGGTGTCAATATCGGGTTCACAATCACAATTACCATGCCGAGAGCTAGACTATACAATATTAGACATATCTATTGATTATTGGATTGATATACGAGTTTTTATTAATTAACACAGTTAGACACTTATTAAACCAATAAGTCATTGACACAAAAGAATCAATTACTCTTTCATAAAGTGAAAATGGGTGTAAATGAAATCAATGCCATAGAATACCAGTAGAAAAGGGAAAAAACACAATTTTGTCTGTGATATATAAAACAGTTCACTATAATATTTTGTTTGCATCTAATAATGGCTGGTTTATAGAGTTTCTTAGACCATTACGGTATTATGCAATAACATTTTTAGTAGTTTGCATATGGGAAACATCTGCTATACATTACAAATAACTGTTAAATAAAAAATCAGAACTATACAGCCATGCAATAATGCATATGCCTCCAATTTCAATATTACTACAATGTAATAAATTGTGTCAGCTAATTTTGATATAGAGCAATGTGTCCGGCCAATTTAAAAGATAGGTTGCCAGGCATTGAAACATACGCCAACAGTAGCTAAATCCTCCAGGCGGTTGACAAGGGTTGTCGCATATTTATTCTTTTGTAGTAATTGGGAACAGATCAGATTATAATTTTTGTCATTTCATGGTTCACAAGGTTCTACAAACTTACTAATTTAAATAATGCATATAAATTTCATACAGATCGGATGATAACTTTTGTCATTCAAACGTTCACAAGGTTCACAAAGTAAAACAAGGACCATAACTCTAGAAATAATTGACGGAAATTGCTGAAATTCAATAGACCTCCGTTTCACAAATTTAAATGATGCATATAAATTTCATACATATAGGATGATAACTTTCATCAATCGAACATTAACAAGGTTGAACCAAGTGAAACAAGGGCCATAACTCTAGAAGTAATTATTGTAAATTGCTGAAATTCAATATGCTTCTTTGTTTTACTAATCTACATGTAAATGATGCATATAAATTTCATACAGATCAAAGTGAAACAAGGGCCATAACTCTTGACGTAATAAATGGAAATTGCTGAAATTAAATAAGATTCTTCTTTTTACTAATTTAAATGATGCATATAAATTTCATACAGATCGGCAGATAAATTTAGATGTTAGAGCATTCACAAGGTGCAACAAAGTAAAACAAGGGCCATAACTCTAGAAGTAATTAAGGGACATAGCTGAAATTCAGTAGGCTTCTTCGTTTCACTAATTTAAATATATGCATTATGTTACAGTCAATGTCTACAATCAGGCAATGTGTACAATGCCTTTGTAACCCTAACCCCCACCCCAAAATAACCCTAAACCTAACCCGGCAATGTACACATTGACTGGTATATTTCAGGCATTGTACACATTGCCTGATTGTAGACATTGACTGTCACACATAAATTTCAGAAAGATCGGATGATAACTTTTGGCGTTAGAGCGTTCACAAGGTTCAATAAAGTGAAACAAGGGCAATTACTCTAGAAGTAATAATGTAGACAACATAATAGCAATTTGAAAACAATTGGATGATAACTTTTGACTTTCGAGTCTTCACAAGAAATTGTGGACGACAGACGGGGGCGAAGGCTATATACGTCCACATTTCCATGTGGGCGTATAAAAATGGTTGATCTCTACATGTACACCAATTTTTCAAAAACTATAAAATATATTTGTGGATTGGAAAGGTAACTACATACCATCAGCATCAACTTCATTAATCATATCTTGTAATTCTGCTTCAGTTGGATTTTGCCCTAAAGATCTCATGACTGTACCTAATTCTTTAGTTGTAATAGTTCCATCACCATCTTTATCAAAAAGACTGAAAGCCTCTTTAAATTCTGAAAAAAGATAGTCATAGACATCACAGACAAGACCCAGATTTATTTGAGTCATTAATTACAATAAGAAATATGATATACCTGGTCAAACATGAACATGTTTAAACCTGGAGTTCTAAAATAAAAGAAATCGGATCTGTTTATTTGAATCATGTCAATACATGACGCACATAGACTTCGTCATAAGAAATCACAGTTTCTACAACTGTAAGCAGTAGACTGTATTCTACAGTCAATTTAACTCAATGATTGACATTAATTAAACTTTTTAGATATTAAAAAAGGTGAAACTCTTATTTCCCAAAGCGAACAATTAATAATTTAAAGAAAGGAAAATTTGGGCCTAACTAATTCAAAGTTATAACAGTCTCCTACTCCAAAGAAAATTCATGAACATTTCGAAATAAATACCTGCGATCTGTTCTTCTGTAAGTTGATCAGCCTGAAAGATAAATAGATACATTGAGTGTACAGATACATATATATAGGTTGTATAGGTAGAAGTAGAGCAGTATAATAATAAGAGTGGTATACATAGAGTCTAGTAGGCTAATTAAACCCAGCAGCTGTTCTATTACACAGGCTATGTTTTCGTTTATAATAAATGGAATGTTAACTTTATTGATTAGAGATGAAAACTTGTTTATTATAAGCTGATTTTATATGATAAATTATGAAAACTAGATTTAACATCTTCGACCTAACCTGTTATCATGTTCTTCTGAAAATTTGATGATGAAACACTTAAAAAAAACTTTTATATTATAGATGAAATGTTTAAAATGATCAAAATTCATGTGTGCGACCCCAGTATTTCACTACTGGTATGTACAGGACCATAATTAGCTTATATCATTTAGATGACTACGTTAAAATTGCTGGCGGGAAATGCGGAGAAGTAACTTTGTAGGCAAAATAACCCAGTCCAAAACATGGTGGATTTAAAACTGGCAGCAACATCTACATTTAAACCAGCACTTTTTAAACACACTGTATATTTGTCATCCTTTTTTTATTTACATGTGTGCAAATATTTGTAGTTGACTCTAAAATATGCTGAGAGCCCTACTGGTAAAGTTTGGTCTTTGTATCTGTTTAGTGTTATTGTTGTGGGTGTGGGGTTTTCCTGCAATTACTACTTTTTGACAATTTAAAATATGTGGATATTCATTATTTACAAGTTGTGATATATTAGATCAAGTAATTGTTTATAAAATTGCTAAAATCTAAAAAATAATTTTCAAAAAGAAATAAAATGGATATGTATAACCTTAAAGTTCAGCAGATTTTCAAGTGCACTGACGATTAATAAACGAAGATAAAATAGTTTGTAACTTTACTTGACAAATTAAATGACCCCAGAAGTTGTAGACTTTTGTTATCAGTTGGGTAGGCCCATAAACTTTTATACACCCTTGTACTTTTCATATCTGATTAGAAACAGACAAGTTTTATATGACTCACAAAATAAACTGAAAATATCAAATAGCTGTATTTAAGTTGTGTAATATATGCCTAACATTCATTAATATGGAATGTTAGGTATGAATGCAATAACTTACAGTTTATTGAAAATAAAATATGTATTTCATACAATGTAGGCCTACATAACAGTCTCTACCAGATAATACAATGTATGTCTATAATTATACCAAGTCAACCATAAAATACAGCATAATTGTAATAAAAGAATATTCATATTGTACTAGCACGCATTCAATATTTGCTATGTAATATATGGTTACCTAACTACTGTATTTATGAATAACAAATCAGTTAGCAACAATGTGTATTAATGGCCACTTGAAATATTTGAATTCTTGCCTGGCGACTACATGTAATGGCAGGTTATAAATCGGTTAATACGAACCATTTTGACATTTCTTAAATGTTACTTTTTTTAATTAGCCAAAATATGTTCTCAATAATGTTCATCAGCAATGGAACTTAACGGCATCGCGTGCTTTAAAAAAATGTTATTAGTCTAATAATTCAACCATTCGTATACGTAACAAGTTATCAGTTCTTTGATAACATTGACTCCATCATCATCACATGCATACTCTATCCTCTAGCCCATTCATGTAATTTATTGGAAGGAGCAAATCGCTTTACGGAAATATACGGAAAAGGTCGACGTTGTAATACTAATTGTCTAAAAAGTACGACGGCTACTTTGGATTCGTCATAGATAATATTCTATTATAGCTGAATAACCCAAAATGAATATAATTATATATTATAACCGGTATGAAAAGTTTGAATCCCCAGCATAATTTACCCCTAATTACACAATATGGATAGCCGACGGTAACATTTTTATCAGGTTTGGTCTATAACCCCCGAACACAAAATTACTTCACGTGTTCAACATAAAATCACCCCCAGCATCCATACAAACTAAAATCAGAAAATAAAAGATAGATTTGAATATCATTTCACTCACCATTTTAGATTGCTCTATTCAATTAAATTAACTCTTTTAACAAAATTCCTTTTCACCAACCAATCGCGCTTCTAAAGGCACGATTTTCTAAAGTAATATGGGATGACTGGTAACGGGTTTCAAAACTAGTGTTGACTTGGTTTAATTTTTCAAATAAAGAATAAACACCAAAAATTCTCCACGTTATTGTACCACCATGAACAATCTATATAGCCTACTATCAAGCTCGGAATCCCTCAGATCAGCTTGACTTACTATACAAGAGCCGGGCGCCAATTATTTTAACAGGAAATTTTGAAACGAATATTCTGATTGGCTGACGGGCACCTGCAATGCGACAGCTAGCAATGCGGCAAGACTAATGGTGGTCACAGTAGTGACTGGCGCGTTCATGGAAGCAGTACCAAGTTTTATCGATTGATTTGTTTATTACAATTTGCATTAGAGAACGCGACGAAGTCGACAATAAGAGCACATCGAGTAATTTCAATCAGTGAGCAGGATAACATTAGTCTAAGACCGGATTTGTGTTGGGCATTAAACTTCTATCTGTAGGTATTATTAAACTACGAGCAAGGCGTTGGACTGCGGGAGAGATAATACAGTAGGTTGAGCACGCTAAATCTAGCTGGGTTAACCTGTACACGTCAACCTATCCTATTTCGTCTTGTGTCAACAAATTTTTACTCTAGTACGCACATGTGGGATGGTTGTCATTGTGTGGCGCATGAGAATGTTTCAGACAAGCGAAACTTGGCCTAAAAAAATATTAAAACTGGCTGCGTAAAACCCGACCATATATATAACAATAAATTGAATTAAAACTAGAATAATTTAAGATTGTTGTGCCTCTTAACCACTTGCAGAAATATATGACACCAATTTTGATTTTCTTTCTCGAAGTGAAATTTAACTACACGTTTAGGCCACCCACCTATTTGGGCTGGTTGCTTTTTGTCACCAATAGCACATTATGAATTATGAACGTGTTACACGTGTCACATTAGCCATATCCATAATGTATCTCATACGACCCCTTCTCTAATAATTCCCTATGAAATATTCCGTAATGCACACCACCCCTTCTGTAACCGACCTCATTAAAATTTGACCAGAAGGTTTGAATATAATGTCAGATGCAGTGGCGTCGTGCCTGCCCCCCCCCCCCCCAAATTCTCAGTGAAATAAAAATATTTTTATTGATATTAAGACCTGTCCGTCTATTTTAGTCATCACATGGTCTCCAGGAATTGTATAATTTGTCATTATCCGTGTTTAGTTTATTGCACTTTAGTTTAGATATCATTTGTTAAGGCCTCGCCATAGAGCTATATTTCTATATAAATCGCTTCGTACACTCTATCATTTACCCTCGATCTAAAATTTTCTGGAGTATGACGTCAACGTAACGGTTAATCTCCGCTCACGTCGCCATTTAAAAATTTAATCAATCAATGAAATCCTGTTTAAATCCAAGCCGAATCCAAGCCATCCGGGGGTTTACGTACAGAGTTGATTTTGTGCTTGTTGTGTAAATCCCTATTTATGATTATATGTTGTATTTGATAAAATATCCATATACGGGTGTCAAAAATAAAGACTGAAAGTATTTTTTATTAAAATACAAATACATCTAAATACGTATTTGACCATGCATGAAGTTGTTCGAAATGTCCATTCAATAATTAAATCGAAGTTGAGATTAATAAAATATAATTCAGTTTTCGAGTGATAAATTACAATTATCACTAAAAAAAACGACCATTTTTCAATCATAACTTTATTGTCTCTAATCCATCGAAATGGCGTTTCCCGGCTTCTAATTTTAAAAAGTTTCCGGGGTAGCCCCCCCCCCCGTAACCCCCTTGCATGCTCATGCCTACTGCATTCGATGTGGGCGGCGTTACCGCCAACACTCTCCGCAGCCAGTAAATTTAATTTACCATGAACACACTTGCAGAAAGTTGGGCCCTCCTAAAAAAAATTTTTGCACGACGCCCCTGGTCAGATGATTACCAGAAAGGACAGTGAGAGACCTACCAGTCCAGAACAGTTTGGCCAAACGAACGAGGTACAAATATCTGAGTACAGAAACATTTAATGTGTAACCTAATATTCAGATAAGGATATCTGCCTGGAACCCGCTGTAGTGTGTGACCCAAAGAGTCTCCAAAATGGGTTGAATCAAACATTGGGGGTACCACATGAAACGTCTGTAATTTTTATAAAACGACGAACGGGATTCCTGTAACAATCTCCCAAACTGAGTTGTCTTCCCTAGCAGTTCACTGGATAGTGAAATGAAATGAATGAAATGGAGTTTAACGTCCTACTGTTCTACTACGACCTGGGCTAAGGAAGACGGGCATTCGCCAGCAGTGTGGTATGAGGGAAATTTTGCACGGACAGCGGCACTACGGCCTACTCTTAATATCGAATTCCAACTATCAATGTGTACACGGGACAAGGGGGAACCACGACGGAAAAATCTGGATGAACGTTCTCGGCCAATGCAGGGATAATAAAAAAAAGTCCTTGTAAATAAAAAAGTCCGCTTAAAACACACTTATAAATTTGCTGTCATGAGAAGAGAGGGCAGGTCATCTTCTCACTTTGTTAGAATCAAAACAAGTTAAAACAGGAGAGTTGACTGATGTTTGGCGTCATCAGTGCGGATAGAAAAAAAAACAACTCGCGAGGAAAAAGAATCCGCTGGCTTTATGTAGAAAAGCGAAATGCTCGCAGTAAAAAACCACATAGCTGGATTATCATAGTCCAATAAGTTCCACATAGTTAAAAGTTAGTTAAAAGTTCTTTAATGTGGTTCACAAATTCAGCGTTTGAGAGTTATAGACATTCCATTAGGGTTGCGTATGACTCTCCCCAGATAAAAGTTACCTGAAAATTAAAAGAAGAGCCAGCAGCAACACAGCACAACACAATTAAAACATTTATAAAAATAACACATGGCATTACTATTTTTTAAAAAGAAAAACAACACAAATTAAATCAAATTGATTGATATGCACTACCATTATTAATGATGGTTGTGTAGGTTCCTGTTCCTTTTGTCATTATTATTCCCTAATATTATTATAACAGTAGACTGAAGGGCCATTCTTTGTAACTAGATCTAGTTCTCTATCTTAATGACTATTGATTATGATATTATTAAAAATTAAAACAACCAGATGGCTTAGCCGCCAACCTGGTCTACACAAACACAACCAGCAGTAGTTATCTTTCCATGATTAGTGCTCTTTCTTCGCAACTAACTTAACAAATAATTCCCGATTCTGCTATGAATTTTGAAATCGCTTCATAAATTTTATATGACATATTCCGAGGGGGAAAGGGTACATTTTGGAGGGTATATTGAAGTTTGGCATCTTCCATTTAACTTCTTACACGGAGCCTTTTCTCTTCTATGATCAACGGTCAAAATGTGGCCGCATTCGCACTTCACTGGTTTATATTTCTGGTCGGTAATTACATCCTTAGTTTTCAGTCATGCGATTAATCCACAAATTGACTGACTCCCGTCTTTAAAACCAGATCGTTATATAATTTGAATCTAAAAGTATTTGCTCTGGCCAACTCAGTTTTCCATTACAATGCTATTAAATTCCTGAACGCTATATGTTAAGTCTTCGGAATATTTGCCTACTATGTCAACATGGGATGGTATCCATGTAAATTCTACCCTAAAAAGATGAAATTTGATTGGTATTATCAACGAAAAATGTTGATATATGCATGTTGTTGTAAGTGATTCCACCTAAATACGAAAAATCCTTAGAACAATGACTGCACAAATCATCAATGGTCCCCTGAAGGCCGACTATTTGAATTAGTGAGTTGTATTTACACAGGCCGCTATAGTGATTAAGAAAGGCTGGATTTGAACTAAGTGCATTGAATTTCAATAAAAGCAGCCCTGAAAAGCAAATAAGGCCAATTATTAATTATGAGCGGGATAAATATCTTCTTGGTTACTGACCAACGGATCGCATATATTCTTTGGATATGCTTCAGATACCAATTCACATTGTAAATCTCGGTTCTGTTCGATATTGGCATGTATCGAATAGTAAATTCGGGGATTATGACTCGCTAGCCTGGACGTCGCGGGTAAATTCTTTTGATGGGTCCCTTTAATCCGACTGAATCCAGGATATTATCAACCCTTGGTATGAAAATTAGATATTGCCCCAAAATGGAAGTAACAATCAGCGGTTTTAAAGATGCATTATGTAAGATTCAGATAAAGGGCTGGTCGTTTTTTGCTATAGATCCAATAATTCAAAAATAGATAATAAAAAGTGAATACATTGAAAATTACTTTATTCTGAACGAAGTTCTGAATGTTTGACAAGATCTAGTGTAAATCGTTCGGTATAGTAGCAACGGTATTTGACAATCGAGAGTATGTCTGGATTATCCATTTTATCGTTAAAAGTTTTAAAGACGTTGGCTAACCTGGGGGTCCCAGTGTTGGCCAAGAAAGTCCATCGTCTTCTTCCTGCGGTGGATCATGGTGTCTAAGTGGGTAAGACGCTGGCTCGCTAGCCTGGAGGTCGGGTATTCGATCCCTGCATTGGCCGAGAAAGTTTATCCAGAATTTCCAGCGTGGTTCCCCCTTGTCAGTGATACAGGCCGGAGAGCCTGACAAGGACAGCTGTCTAGTGGTTCGGGTGGGACGAAAACCCAAGGTCTCGTGTTCACATTGACGTGCACATAAAAGATCCCTTGACAGTTGGAATTCAATATAAGTGTAGGCCGTAGTGCCGATCTCCGGGCAGAATTTCCCCCATAGCACACTGTTTGGCGTATGCCGTCTTCATTAGCCCAGTTCGGAGCCGAAGAGTAGGACGTTATACCCCATTTCATTCATTCATTCATTGTTTTTCTGGAACATTTCTTCATTAGGCTATTCGGTGCAGAACAGTAGGAGGTAAATCCCCATTTCATTTTATCAACTGACATATATCTGTATGTTTGTGTAGGATCGTCTTATAATATTGATTTTGACACAGATCACAGTCAGTTGTTGACTCCAGGGATGCCAGAACAATGGATTTTTGTTCGCATTAACCAATTAATGACTCTCGGGCATTGGAGATGCCGGGAAAGCTCGTGTCCTATTTTTGAAATAAGGCGTATCTCAGATTGACCATTCAACAGATTCAGAGAGGTTGTCACTTTAGATACGTGGTGATAATCAATAAATACTATATCTAACACGATCTCTTCGACCAAGTTGACCTGCCAAGCTTCCCGTTAACCAAGATATATTCTCTGTAATCTACAGGACTTGTCTAGGTTCACGCGCCGTCAACGATCTTCTAGACTATATAGATTTCTCTACACCATATTATGTATTCTTTTCTAATGCGAATTTAACGACGCTATAATAGTCCATTTTTACCATATTTATGTGAATGGATTTTATTTTGGAACGACATCCACATCCTGGTATAGCACGAAACCTAATCAACAGCTATTGTTATGATAATTAAACGTCTACTTTATCCGGAATGATTGCCACACAAGCCGTCCAATTGCATTTAAAACAAATTAAAATAAAAACAATTAAGAAAACGAAAAGATAATTAACTAACAAAAACAGGGTGATGATGACGTGGTAGAAGCGCTGGGTTTCTAAATTGGCTCGAATGGTAACACTACATGAATATGTATGGAGACTGGATATATAGCACAAGTGGGTGAATTAAACAACCATATTCAGTTTCCTTAGGTTTTTGTGTTCATTTGTCTGATGGTCATTTCTGATTAGTGCAAGCAACTGAATGCTCATGGAGCTTCTGGATTTAACATCCAATGAAGATGCTGATCAAATCCCAATGTACTCTTATAATACCCCACAAATGAATATTTGTAGAGGTCTTTAAATTAGTTGCCTTAAAATATATAAGCTAACACACATAACCCTTAACTGGCATTAGATTAAGTATTTAATAGGCAATGATTGTAGAAATTGTTTTTATAGATAACACAAAAGGAAACTGCATGTTTTGTCCCATCTTGTATTAAAATTAATTTATACCCTTTGACAATGTATACACTCACATCTTTTCAAAATGTAAATGAGAGAGATAGAAGGGGTTTAATGTCCACTTGACACAAACTAGCAATTTGTGGACTAACACGGTACAATTTCATGACAGTGGGATGAAACTGGGGGACCCAGGGATTACCCATAAGGTTGGGAAGGTGATGTTTTCCTTATCATGTACAAGCAGGGGATTAAGATTGCTTCACTTGACTCAATGACTGACCTTACGATCTAAAGCATAAAGCTTGAACTGTTACCCCCCCCCCCCCAATAAATGTGGCATAATTGGCATTAGGGTCACATAAGGTGAACTGGTTATAGAGCAGAGTTGACCATGGGTCCATATAACTTCCTTTAAAAAAAATAATATAGCAGTTATCTTTTAAACCTAATGTTATTTAAAGTGGTCCAGAGTCCATGTGTTGGATGGTTGATTGTAATGACTTTTGTGGTGGCCAGAATAAGTTTATAGCTATAAGATAGGTCATGGTGTCTTGACCTTATCCAGAACAACCAGATTATGCAGCTGAGCAGAAGCACAGACGTGATTGCAAATAGAAATCATTCAGCGATGAAATCACCTAACAAATCTATTTTCATTATATTAGCTACTGAACATTTCTTTATTTTTATAAACGAGAGAGAGAGAGAGAGAGAGAGAGAGAGGGGGGTTTAATATCCACTTGACACAAACTAGGTCATTTCGGGACTAACAAATGGTTCAATTTTATTTGAATAATTTGCTTGCGTGTAGGGGTCTTTAGCAGTAGGAGGAAACCGGAGGACCTTGAGAAAACCCAAGAGGTTGGACAGAATTGAAACTGCCCCAGTTGACTTAATGACAGACCTTATGATGCAGACCTCATGACCTTAAACACTTTGTATAAATCTAAAGTCAATCGGATATTAACTTTAGCCTCGTGGACACCGAACTGACAGACAGACAGACGCGAGCGACGACATTAAAAAAAAACACATTTCAATGTGGGGGTATAAAAAGTATTCAAAAATGCAATTTTTTTTTTTTCAATGAACCATAAATATTAACAATATATACACATATTATTAAATAAAATAAATATATGCATATTATATATTTAGCTTGACTGCTTTTCTTAATTTGTTGGGTGGAGTTCTGATATGTCATCACTGTCATCATCTTCTGTAATAGGATCAACTGTTGGCACTGTCACTGACATTCGATATGGAATACTATTTTCTGCTGTATTTAAATCTTTATCATCTTCATAAGAATATACAGAGCCGTCTGAATCAGCTGATAATCGCACTCTGTACTGATTATATTCAACATCAGAAGTAGATTGTTCCAAATGGCTGTTTCTTAGTGATGCATCAGACACAGAAAATGCTGAAAATAGACAGAGATACTAAAGATGCAACATGACAAAATACCAATAAAAGTTCTTGTTATTTACATTAAAGGGTCAATCTCGATTATATTTTGGAGAATAAAATTGCTTAATTTTGTGTTAAACCCATCAGTATTCATCTGGAAATGGAGACCAGTGTCTGGATAAAACCAGTCTTTTATTTTATAAAAATAACGTGTAGGTGAAATTTACCTTTCGTTATCAAGTACAGCATGTGGGTCAAGAACTGTATAGATTCCGTAAGGAACAGCAATAGATTATCAGGTCACCCAATCAAAAAATTGACCCGAAATCTTAAAAAGGTTATGTGTCCAGATAAGCTGTTTGGATGTTCACGTCTAAACGACTCAGTATTTTGAGATAAGGTCAATACACCATTCCTCTATATTTTGGCGCTTAAATTTCATACGTACCACACTTTTATTTCTGAGACTGTTAAAATCGGAATGGTCACTTTAAAGAACAGTAATTCCTAAAGTCTATTATAATGATAAGACAAAAAATCAATTGTCTGGATCATCAAAACGAATCATATGGGGTTTAATGTCCTCCTACTGACCAAATAATCAAATAAAACGAATGAAGGAAATGTAAAACGTATCACAGTTTCAAATTATCTTCACAATGGTATGACATTGTATAAAGATAGGTTGCTAGGCAACAAAATATATACCTACAACAACTAATTCGCCTGTGCAGTCTGCAAGGCAAAATCTTTAGACAGTATGATATATCATAGTTGAAATTCAATAGGCTTCATCATTTCACTTATTTGAATAATGGACACTATTCAGTCTCAAAAACACATAAGAACTGAAAAGTGTTATCTAGATAATGTCTTAACTTAAATGCTAAGAAATGTAAACTATTTATCCTTCTACTTAGTGGCAAAAACTGATCAAGGGCAAAAGGTCTGAAAGTTACTATTGGCTTCTCCGTCTCTTAGTATCAATTTCAAGTAAATCAGATGAAAACTTTAACTTTGGAAAATCCACAATATTTGTCAAATTAATCAAGGACCACAACTCTGACAGTAATTATATTAAATCATTGAAAATTAATACGCTTCATCGTCTCAGGAACATAATGGTTGTGTATAAAGTCCAATTGGATAACTATAGCCTCTTGATGTGATGTTTCAATGTGGGTACCAGGTATATACTTACTAGAACTTCTTGGCTTCACTTTTATTGGAGCTTTCCATTGCTGATTTCTCTTACTAAAGTCAAGCTCTTCTAAATTCATAGTAGAATCAGGAGTGTCATCAAATTCTAAAGAATTATAGGGGAAAAAGCAGTAAATGTTAGTGAAGGTAAGAGTAGATGTTTAGCAAGATGATCAGTCCCTATAAATATTAGAAAAGTTAAAGGGACATATCTAGTTTAAATTAATACCCCGAACAATTGGTCATTTAATCTCAATAAATAAATAGCATCATTTTTACTATGTTTTATACTCACTTTGTAATCCAGCAAATCATCTACGGATATATATTTTTATACAGATGATATTACACTATAACAATGTCCATTAATAACATCAATATTTGATTACAGGACCAAATTACAAATAAATCTTTGATTTTTAATATCTGCTGATCCACAATTTTTTGTGAACACTCTACGAGTCCAAGTTCTTGACAGATTTTTTTAAATATGCAGGGATTGTTCATTTGGTCTACGAGTCCAAGTTCTTGACAGATTTTTTTAAATATGCAGGGATTGTTCATTTGGTCAAAAGAAAGTATTTATATCATCAAAATTCTGAGTTTTTAATTATCACAATATTTTGATACAGGCTAAAGATCTTTACAAAACTTTGTGGGACAGTCATAAGTGTATAACTATATCGAAAAACAATATATATCTAATTTCAATACACACCATAATTCTCAATGAAATGTATTAAAATATTTGCAAAGTTATTTCTCCAAGCATGTTAGATTTTTAAGCTTGAGAAAGTGCATTGCAGAATTTATTGACAATGATTTTTAGAAGTAGCTGCTGGTGGGTGCATTTAGGGGTCTGGCAAAACTCATGTCTATGTTTTGACATTAGATAAGAAACCCTTATAAGAGACTACAGAAGAATCAAAACAAAATTTGATTACCTTGAGGATAATTCTGGACCTTTCTTGGTGATTCTTTGCTTGGTTTAGTAATACCAATACTGGGTCTGGGTGCATCCTGACCAACCTGAATAATTCTAGAATTAGAAACTTGACCTATACTCAAATCTGTATGTCTTTCCTCATCGTGGTTAGGATATGTATTTATAATGTGTGTATTGGGTAAGTTCATCACATTCTGTCTATATGACTGTTCTTGTATATCTAGAATTCTTGCCATATCTCTCTCTACTGGTACCGATGAATAATGTAAAAATTCACCTTCACTTTTTAATAATTCATTATCATCCTGAAATTAAACATATTATTATCTATAGTAGGTAGATTTTACAAATATTAATATTTTGAGTCATATTTGATTCAATTCAAATGATCAATTGAGGGATCGTTTATGATGAGTTTTTCAGATCTCAAGCTTTAATCAAATTTCTCTTATTTTGTAATATTTGATCTCATTGGACTAAGAAGAAAATAACTGAATCAAATTCCATTGACATCAGATACAAAAAACAATCTGATGCAACAGATCTGAGAAACTATTTAAATGTGAATACTTGAGTGAGCACTGGTGTATCAGAGACGACTTATTAAGTTTTAAAGTGTTCATTATGCATATCAATACACTTGAAATTAAAGTACAGTAAGACTCAGCCCTTTAATTACCGGGTAAGCATCAGCAACAAACTGCTTTCCTTTTAAAATTAACTCTCTGTTGGTGTTATAATAAAAATACTTACAAGATCTAATTCATCAGTATCTTTAAGTGTACTGGCAGTACTAATATCAATCTGATTAAAATTACTATTTGGTAATAAACCTGGTAATAGAATAAAAAAACATATTTAGATTAAAGGTATATTCCCTCCAGATTTTATTAGGTCATCTATTCAACCCACAAGTAAGATATTTCTAATGACCAGGAAGAATTAAATTATTGACCAAAGTTCCTTACATAATTGGCTCAAAATCAATTGAAAAAGTTAAAATAACTAGATTTTTTTGATTTGGGTCAAAGCTAAATTGTCCACTTCATTGTATTTTGTGTGTTGATTTGTTTTGTGTGATAACAATCTACCTATAGGTCAGGGTCTATATATAAAGTTAGTCCCTGTAAACCCAGCACTATATTGTTTACATGTGAACACTCAAACTCCTGCCATTAAAAATTATTGAAAGAGACGTAATGTCATAATAATTATAGTACATATAATTATAGGAAACTGTTGAAAATCAATACGATGTTTCATCTCAGGAACATAAGCACAGTGCATAGACAATATATAACCACATTTCAATGTGGATGTATAATGATGTAATTGCATAGAACTTATCTCATTACTTTAATTTGACCGAAATCAAAGAGGTTTAGTTCCTTTGAAGTATGCGTTGCAAAAGTCTCCAATTAAATTTGATATTTCTCATGACAACCCTGTCAGAAATTTATGATTGTTTTATTGTATGTTCCAGTATTGCAAGAGCTATCGTTCTTCAAAGTGAAGGTAAAAACAGTCATATAACATGACCGGTAAGCAATCATTACTTAAAGATACCCCATTTGTTGTCTTTTTCTAAAAAAAAGGGAGGGATCATCGACTGTGGGTGGGAATAAACATGCTAAGATTCCAGCTTAACTTCAATTATGCCCCTCATCCTTCACATAATGCTTGGATGAGGGGTCATTATTTCCCGTAAAGCCTTTATCTTTTCATGAATATTCAACACCTTTAAAGAAAAACAACACCACTACCACTAAACATTTTATGATCGTACAGTTGACCTATTTGTCGCCAAACACAGCTCTGGAGTAATCTGATGTGTTCTGTTCATCATCCCTCAAATAAAATTTCTTAAAGTTTTTCGCAGATGACCAATCAGCAGTTCTCAGAATTTCCTGCAAAGTACATCCATGCATAAAAGCAGCAGACACTGATGCAGATCTAAATGAATGGGCCTTAAATTTATCATCAATACCAGATACAGCTAAGACATCTTTCAACCACCTAGCAACAGTGCTATTTGTAACAGTCTTATATGTACAGTGTGAAATCAAAAGCTGATCTGACAGATGATTATTCTCAGTTTTATTTACATAAAACAATAAAGTGTGCATAACACACACTCTCATCTTCAAAATGAGACAGAACCAACTTAAATTTAATATCTCGACTAGTTTTCAACAAATTGGTAAACATAAATTCAACTTTACCTTTTAGAATATTCACGTTAGAAAGTTTCAATGCAACAAGAGTTTGTGATCTTGGAGCATTCGATAAAGCTAGTAAAGCCACAAGTTTATAAGTTAATAATTTTAATCCCAAACTTTCAAGAAGCATTAAAGCCGACAAATATTTCAATACTACGGAAACATCCCATGTAAAATTACCAGAATCGTATTTTGCTTAGGTGAACATTTATTTAAAAAAAACCTTCATTAATCTAGCTATAAACCTGGGGTTTGCACATCAAGAGTTATTGAATAATTTGAGTGTTTGAATCAACATAGATTTATGTGTATTAATCACACTATAAGACAATTTAGAAGGTATATTCTTTGATACCTCAGTAGGTGGTAAAAAACTAAACAACTCAGAATCAGCTTCTGGGTTGCGAATAGATCGGACATTATCCATATCGGTAGCAATTTGTAAGAATTTAACTGCATTCAATCAGTAAAAGACGAGTGAAAACTTAAAAGTATGGAGCGAAAGTCCACACTAGCTAAAAGTAAAAACAAAAATCGAAAAATATCAATAGATTACAAAATCTACATTGGATTTTACTATCCATGCAATCGCTAGAATAATAATGATTGCTGGAAAAATACTATTGTTTGGTCATGTGATATAACTGCTTTTGCCTTCACTTTGAAGAGTCGTAACTCTTGCAATACTAGAATAGCATGCTGAATATACATGAAATAATGAAATATATGACATCATCATGAAATAATATAATAGTACACAACATGTCACAATGATAATAGGCTGTCACTTCTCATTAATAGTATAATTAGCACATCTTCTCTTATTAACTGGAGAATCATCAATTAACAGTGTATTAATACTAACCAGGATCTAGTGGTATATCAGCTATCTGACCTTCACTTCTATTAAGTAACCATTGTCCCTCAGATATACATTCGTTGATAGTATCGGTTAGACTTGACGATGTTTTAGGTTCTGGACTAGCAACAGGACTTAAACTCGACTCCATGGTTCTTGTTGGCGATTTTATACTTCTTACTGGTTGAGGTGGATGTTCCGGAAATTTCTTTGTCTCTTCTAAACTCTCATCAATTGGACGAGATTGTACTCTACCAAAATATATAAAGCAAAATAAAAATGATAACTCAAAACTTTCAAAACACCTTTATAGTAAATAACAAATGATATTTTCCTACAGAACATAAGCTGCTTATTGTATATCGGCCATCCAGATTTTATTCTTATCCATAGGCTGTGGCCAATAAAATAAGATCTCTTGTTAATCACTGTTAAAATCGTTGCATAATAACAAACTCATGGCACAATAAATAGTGCTGATTTGAATTTATTATGGACCCCATGCAATGACTTACATGATAGTTGTTGTGCGAGTCTTGATATCTTTATTACTATAATCATCTATAGAATTCTGTGTCTTGTTAAACTGTAATGATGTTCCTGTAGCACCAAGACTAGGCTGTGTTCTATCTAAATCATCTCTATCTGTCATGGTGGCTGCTGGTGAACGTTCTGGTAGAGTATCAAAGGGAGGAGGTGAAGAGGTAAAGTTGGGTAAAGTATATAATGCTGCTGGGGATGGGGAGTATATCGGAGGGGTAATAGAAGGAGTTTCTATATCATGTAATGATGCTAATAATCCATCTCTTTCATCGCCTGGTTTAACTGGAATTATATACAAAGAAATAAAATGTCTGGAATTTAACATCTTAGCAACTGAGAATGATACAAGATAATTTGTAAATGTTATCCATTACGGTAATAAAATATGATTTGCTAGAAAGTGGCATTAGTTATTACTATAATTTTCAGGAAAAACTAAAATAATAAATATTAGTTAGTCATCAGACATAAAGCATCAAGGGGGCTAACTCCACTTTATCATAAAGAACAGTCGGCTCTACTACTATTGAAACTGAACAAATGCATTGCCATCAAAAATATGCTGTATTTTAATGGGTATAAGTCGACATGGAGTATAAGTTAAATTGTCATATTTTACTGTTTTTCTGACCTCCATCGATATATCATTCAAAGCTGTTTTTCAACTCCACCGTACATGAATTTTATTCTAGTCTAATAATACAAGTACTGTGCTGATGTACATCAAAAAATGATCCATAATATTAATCAATGTAAAATAATTGGTTTATAATTATCCAAGTTTTGTTTTTGGTTCACTTGAACCAGTTTTTATTTCAATATATACGATAAATACTAGACAATACATACGATGTTTGTGATCGCACTTTTCAGCTTTGAACTTACAGGCAAATCTTCGTAATTCTTGTGATATATCATATGATTCAGACTGTTCACTCTCTGATGATTCAGGATATGGTTGTCGTACAGGTTCAACTGGTAGGAAGGAATTATATAAAGCTGAATCATTTGCTGCTTCAGAAACTTTAGTTACCATGAGATCTTTCTTTATTTCTGATTGTTTCACAACTTCAGGTGATGGAGATCGTCTACGGATGGGAGAATCACTGAGACTAGACATTGGTGTTAGATCTGGTGTAGGTATCTGCTTAACTGATAACTGTTCAAAATATGTAAAAATATAAATGATGATTAATTTCAAACCCCATTGATCGAATGATTTTTAAAAGATTCTACAAAGCAATTATGTTCAATTAATATAGTCCAGGTGCTTTTATGGAATGGTGGTCAGGTGATTTAATAATAACTTTATTCTACCTCTGGTGAATCACTTTCAAAATCATCATCATATTCATCTTTATTTACTTCAGTGTCTTCTATTCCTGTTTTTCTATCAATCTGATCTACAATAGGTCTATTATCATGTGCCTGTCCTAAGAAAGATGTAACTCTCTCTCGTAATGCTTCTCTTACTAAAGTTGATATCAATTGTTGATTTATAGGTTGACCAGCATCTATAAAAACTTTCCTTAATTCATCATTATGTTCATCTAAAATAAAACAAGATAAAATTCCAAAAAGAGAACTGTTCAGTTTATCCAAACTTTACATCCACTTCCACATAGGTGATATTGCAGACAAATGTCTCCTAGGAAATTTGCTGGAAAAGCCAGTCGTGAAATGTGCGGCTAGTCCAGAACAAAAGATAAATTTCTTTGTGTTTCTTTTGTCCATCTATGCAGCTAATCTATTTAGCCAAAAGGCTTTTTTCCAATAATATCTGAAATTTTAAGATCAGAGTTCCAAACCTTTGTAAGACAACTTATTCGTACCTTGATGTGATCTTGAACTGGCGTTACTTTTGTCTGACAATTGAGAATCTTCGTCAGTCTCATCCTGAACTTCATCTTCCTGTTCTATATTTAGATCAGTATATTTATACTGATGATCTTCACATAAAGACGCCTCCCTTCTCATACTTTGATCAGTTGATACTTTAGACATAACAATACCCATCAATTCATTCTGTAACCTATAATGAGAGAGAGAGAGAAATGGGGTTTAACACCCACTCAACACAAACTAGGTAATTTTGCGACTAACACATGGTTCAATTCTATTTCAATTGTGCGTAGGGGTCTTTAGCAGTGAGAGAGAGAGAGAGAGTAAAACATCCACTCAACCCAAACTAGGTTCTCTAGGGGACTAACACATGATACAATTTTATTTCAATAACTTGCTTGTGCATAGGGATCTTTAGCAGTGGGAGGAAACCGGAGGACCTGGAGAACACCCAAGAACGACTCTACTCTGTCAGTACAGGCTTGGGGTCAAAAGCATGCTACTTTAACCCATTGACAGACCTAATGGTCTAAAGTGCATTTGTTTTACCCCCCCCCCCCACTACCCACATACACACACACGCACACACACTTACACTTCATATTGGTACCGAACGACACATGTGTTACAGCCACAGGCAAATAGGTCCACATAGCTAAATGAGAAATATTTACCATTCAAAAGCTTTATTTTCTAAAATATTTTGTCTGTGCATATCTGTTGCTATGACATCTGATGATGGATTTTGACTGTAAGATTCTAAAATTGGTGGTTTGGAAGCAATTTTCGATGGTGGTGATTTTGGTCTCTGTATTGGTTCTCTCTGGTAACCTGGTAAGGCTATACCTGTACCAAACTGATCATCATCTTGCTGGAAGCTATCGTAGTCATCAGCTGATACCTGGCTCATAGCTGGTGATAACACCTTTAAAATAACAATCAAAATATGTTATTATATTTCTATATAAATATATTGTTATACAGAACATTATGTCTCACTCAAAAAAAAAACTTATTTCCTCAGTGTATAGTATTTTCCATAATAGAACTGAAATAAAAATCTTTGAAATATTGTGTTTTTTTCAGTTGAAAAAGAGTGAATTACGTTTTTTCTTTTTAGAAGGTAATCAAGGTCCTATGTGCAAATCTTATAGTCAGCCACCATTTGAAGGTTTCACAAATGGCAGCAGTGAAACAAGGATGTCAGACAAAGCATTCAAGATCTCATGGATGCCACATAGCAGGTTTCATTAAAATCAACATCAATTTCTTCACGAATAACTTGCAAATCTCATTCAAAATCAGATTATTCTGAGATATCTGGATATGAAACTACTAATCAAATTTTGCTAATTCAATGGATATAATTATGTGATTAATTGACAAATCTTGTTCGAGATAGGAAGATACATTACCAAGTTTTATCTAAAATAATTGAAAAATATAGATATAATATGCCAATACTTTGGTAGGCTAATTTTTGACCTAATTTTGTTATGTTATGGATGATAACTCTGCAAATAATTGATAAAAATGAAATGAAATGGAGTTTAACGTCCTACTGTTCTGCTCCTAACCTGGGCTAATGAAGACGGGCATACACCATACAGTGTGCTATGAGGGAAATTTTGCCAGGACAGCGGCACTACGGCCTACTCTTATATCGAATTCCAACTGCCAAGGGATCTTTTAAGTGCACGCCAATGTGTACACGGGACCTCGGTTTTTCGTCCCATCCGAACGACTAGACAGCTTTCCTTGTCAGCCCCTCCGTCCTGCATCACTGACAAGGGAGAACCACGCCGGAAAATCTGGATGAACTTTCTCGGCCAATGCAGGGATCGAACACCCGACCTCCAGGCTAGCGAGCTAGCGTCTTACCCACTTAGCCACGTGATCCCCCAAAATAATTGATAAACCTCTGTTAAATTTCAATTTGTGGAAATAAAGTCACATACCAATTTTAATTAAAATTGTATAAAAAAATGTAGACTTCAAGCCATTCACAAGCAATTGCAGATGAACCATCCGACAGGGGTGACAACAATATACATTCACAGTGAATTTGGGCAAATAAAAGGCATTGATGATGATTGATCCCCCTCCCCACCCCCCACACACAAGTCATGATTTTCAGAAGGTATCACTAAGAGAGATTTTATCAGTATAATATACTAATAGCTAACATGAACTTTGTTCAAATCATAATTCACATGTTGTCATAATGATTGAATTAAGGACATATTTTGGTTGTCAGGAATATAATAAATAACTTGTCTGTTTTAAATGGATGAATTCATTACTGGGCAACGTAAATATGCTATGCTTTATTTGGATGATCTCATACTACTGCAACAGATTACTACAAATGTCAAATACTGTTTTGTACAGCCTAGTTCATTAATTGTTTGAAATAAATAAATTGTCGTAAGTAAAGTTTTAACAAAGCTTAATATTGTAAAAAACAGCATCCGTTTTAAAGGCTCAAACCTATGGAATTCATTACCATCATACTTAAAACTGACCACTAACCTAAATTCTTTCAAGAAACAACTTTTTAAATATTTTACTGTTAAAGAATAATACTGGTACCCTGTACATGTATGCCCATATATAAAATAATGTATTTTTATGCCTTTTGCTATTGTTAGTGATATGTGTTTTTTTTTGTTTTTTTTTGTTTTGTTTTGTTTTGGGTTTTTTTTTTGGGGGGGGGGGGGTATGTGTTATTATATCTGTCTTCTTTGGTGCTGTCATCTTTTGTATTATAATTTCATTCTGATTATTTTATACTCCTATTCATCCATCTCCTTTATTTGTTATGCAATCATCTATTGTATTATATTTTTCATGAAGGGCAGGATGGTAGAAAGGCTCCCACAGCCTAATCCTTTACCCTTCTTAAATAAAGATATTATTATTATTATAACATGTTGGATCCAGATTTTCTTGTGAGTAAATGGTAACACCCAGCTTATAGGCTGATATGTTATGCAAACATTTTGGCATGGATAACTATTTTCTATGTATTACCCTGGTCTTGGGACACAAAACATACTGGTACAGTGTTGGTACATTAATCAACTCTAGCTCATCCTGCAAGCTTCCAATCAATTACAGGCAAATAGACTGGACAACCATATGTCTACTTTAAGGGTACTAATAAGCTAAGACTAGGTAGTTGTTCATTACAGCACAGAGATGTTACCCAATCATAAGTTTAAACCATGGGCCTATTTAGTACCAAGTTTAATATAAGTTTATTGTAATTGAATCATTAAAGAATATTTCATACTAGCAGGTTACCCTGCTTCATCCAGGACCCAAATTTAACAGGGGCCTAAATTCAATAGCCTAAAACATTCACGGCTAATGTTGGTTGATTTGATACCACATGTGGGGGTGGAGCGCGGCGACAAAGCCTTTGTCGCTCCGGGCCCAAATTTCTTGGTCTAAAACATTCACAGGGTCATGCTGGTTAATTTGCTACCACATATGTGGAGGTGACGAAGCATGATGTCAAACGTACATACATACATACACACAGGCATCTTTGGTTCTATTTATATAGATTTACCTTTTGATTGAACTCTGACATGGTATTTTCGGCAACAATGGACCTATTTGCCACAGGTGACATCATGGTTCTAGTAGACGGTGAACTACTGGCGAGAGGTTCACATGATAAAACTCCAGTCTGGGTTCGTCCTTGTAGAAATCTTGGATTACAAAGTGGAACTGCCATTGGAATAACATGACTTGAAGGAGAAGCTATCAAAACATAAAAAATATACGGCAGATGAAATATACTCCAAAAACAGAATTCTAATATTACAGAATATTGCTTTTATCATTAATAAAAATATTATTTCAAGATAAAATAGCAATTACATGTAGATATCACTTCTTAAAACAAGTACAAATATTACTATGCAATTATATTGTCTACATTATAATATCATCAGAAAAATAATAACAATTTTCTAAACATAAATTTTGGAATATATTTAGCTGCTACGTAGAAAAAATATTGAATTACCACTTCTTGGAGGACTTGATCGTCTAGCATGGGTCGAGTATTGTTTATGTATACGTGTCTGAATATTAGATGTTTGTGTTGTAGTTCTAGTTCCTGGCTGTGGTGGTACTCTTACTTTACTACCTGGCAGCACATTCTGCAAATAAAATAAATAATAAAGCGAATTTCAGAATATATGGCCATGATGTCAATGCACTCAACATCTGGGGATCTCAAAGGTACATAAAGGTCAATACATTGATATTTACATTGTTCAGGGATCTCTTGCTTACACTAAGATTGCTCTATTGGACTGTGCACTGAAAAAAACTTATAATAAATTGTGCCTTGGTAGTGCTCAGATTTTCGGATGTGAAGTCACAGTATCTTTTCTGATAACATCTATATTGTATCTCAAATGCTTATTTTTTGTGTTTTAGTTTTTAAATCTAAGTGCAATTCTCATGGTGATAAACAAACTATAGGCTTGAATAAAGAATTGAAAAATACACCTTTTCCCAGGGTTTGTATGAAGCTAGCTGGTTTTCTTTTCCATTAACTGCAGTAGTTCTTTCTCTTTTTCTAGAAACAGTTGGTGGCACTCTTCGAACTGTTGGTTTTTTCCCAACATCCTTATTATTTTTTTCTACATTTGCTTTCTGTTTCTGAAGCTCAGCATTCAATAATTCTGCCTGTACTTTTCCCTACAATATTGTAAATTTAAGACATTTTATGTATTAAAGAGTCCATACCATATAGTTCTTTAGGCGAGTTCTGTAAAAATTTCCAACTCGATTCCATCCAAACATATAATAAAGTTATAAAGAATACAATTTAATAAATATTTTAAAATTTCATAAATTATTTAATTAGTGAATCATATTTACCTCAATCACTTTCTTCTGAGATCGAATATATTTATCCACCATTGATGTAATCTTTGATCTTTGTATGTCATCACTTTAAAACAAAAATAAATGTCTCTTAGCTGTGACCCATTCATCTGCTAAATCATACATGGTTGCCATATTTGTGTTGGAAATAATATCATTTAATAACAAATATATCTTGGATATTGCAAGAAGACTGCTAATATACCATTAACACTTGTGCCTTATCCTTTTGAATTAAAGATCACAGACATTATAAAAAGATAAACTTAATCAGAGAAAGGAAATGAATAACAAATATTTCTTCATTTCGAAATTAATATATATGTTGGTTTTTTTTATTTTTTATTTATGATGTGCAAAGCTAGGTAGAGAATTGTGCCTGGACAGGTAAGTTTCCACCTACCATTTTTCTAAAACCTACTGTTGTGGGTTCATTTATATAAACATTTACATCCCATCACTACGAAAGATCGGGCAAACTTGTCTTGTACACCCTGCAGGCACTAGTGGGAACGAGGCCCAGAGCAGGATCCGAGTTTAGATTCCAGCATTTTAACCGCTCTATTACCATGGTTCACATTGTTCAAAGACAACACAATGATAATTACCCTTCCTGTGATAAAACTTTAGCTAAGCAGGTTATTTCATCTTCTTGTCTAGTTCTTGTAACATGTTTTAAGTTGGATTCTAACAGTGAAATTTTTTTATTAACTGTATTTAATACTTTCTTCACATCACCATAATTATTAAACACTGGTGCATTAACATGCAGTGTCTGCTGTTCTAGTATATCTAATACAGGTGTTTTCTGAAAAAAAAAAACAAATATTTTTTATGAAAATAAACACTATCAGAAACAGATAGGATATCTTTCTGCCTCTATCTTTAACTTTATCATTTGTCAAAATTATCTTTAAAAGGAGAAGTCTGAGATTTGTTTAGTCAATAAAACTGGTTAATTCTAGCAAACCTTCATAATAGTCTTGTGCAACTATCTGAAATGCTTTGTGGGCAATTTGAGACTGACCACAAGTCCTAAAATTCCACTTTGGGTACATGCCTACATGTGTGTGTGAAACAGCTTTATTTAACGTCTGCTTCCACCAAAGTGATATCACTGACAATAACCATATCTATATTATATAGACATATACTTATAATGTTAAATGATTATCAAGTTACTAATACAAAACTAGTTATTATTTTGATTTGAATTTTTCAGATGATAATTATAATTTTAAACTATTTTGTCATAGTTTTGTGTTTGACTCACATATTCTTACCTACTTTAAATTACTATGTCCTTTCAAATTTGGGACTATGTGTAATACTTTTGATTTTTAAAGATGACCTATTTTCAATGTTACAGATCAAGGATTTATTTTGTATGTCTATAATAAATAATGCTAATATTTCACTAATAATATGTAAGGTTTTATATGTAATATTACCAGGTAAGGATCTAGAGGGTATGGTCCATTCTTATACTGTGGATCATGTGTTGTCTGAAACAGAAAAACAGATCACATTAAAGCAAACATTTTCAGTGTCACCCAATATCAGTTAATTCATGCACACTGTTAATTCATCCAATCTTAAGCACAATGTAGATTACAAGCAATCAAACAGACTCTCATATCTGAACTTCACAAATTCCTACATTGTGATAAAAAGTTACTAAAAGACTTTTATTAGAATTTTAAAAAGATGATCTGTCTACAATAGCATGGCATTAAACTGATTTATTCTGGCAACAAAGTAGGCTAACATAGTCAAGGTATTTGACATATGAATGTAATACTGCCACCAGGACACTATGTAATGTTGACATTGGATTTATGGCTAAAATACCAGTAGGGTAGATAAATTTGCATTAACTACATATTGATAACTCATTCAAATAAATGAGAGTATTTTGATAACTTACATCAACAACTCGACCAACTTGATGTTTTAAATCTATCATTTTATCTAATAATCTAGAAGCTTGATCCACTGGTTTTTCTTCATCATAATCATACCTTTAAAAAATAAAATATAGGCTTACATTACATATAATTATACCTTAAAAATATATCAAGATACCTAAAAACCTAATTAGTACAAAAATACATAATTAATACAACACTTGCTGAAGTTGCCATCTACCAATTATATATGAGAGTGTGAGAAATGGGGTTTAACGTCCACTCCACACAAGCTAGGTCTTTTCAGGACTAACACATGGTTCAATTTTTTTATTTCAATAATTCACTTGTACATAGTTGGACAGCAACCCTATTCCTTGTTACGTACAAGCGAAGAATTAAAACCAAGCCACTTGACTCAATGCTAGACCTTCTGATCTAAAGCACACATGTTCAATTATTCAGTCACCCAGCCCCCTTAGTTTTACATGCGATAGAATATGTAATTTTAAAATACCAGTAAAGGTTTTTGTGAAACATTGTTATTTATTGTAATAGTAAGTGGTGACAGATACTCAGCCAAATACAAGTTGTTATAAGATGCGACACTGAGAGGCTATCAGTTCAAAACTGATACATATGTCCACACCAAGAACTACTTGCCCCCCGTATTTGCGTCACATCTGTCAAAATTTTATAGCTAAGACAATTATGAGAAAGATGAAGCCTCTTTAAAGCTTTCTACTATTGCATACCAAGTATTTGAGCCCGGAAAATATTTGTGTATTATTTATACATACATTTTTCTGGCATGAACAAATGCATTCAGAATGTTTAATTATATTCTAAATTACAATAAATGTCTATAACAAATGGTACGTTGTTCTAGTTTGGTAGCAAGAATAAATTTAAGGCAGATCTTCAAATACATTTGCCTATGGATGTAATAACAAACAATCAAACTGGCATTAAAAGGAACTATAGTTCATTGCGTTGGCAATGGATGAGTATACATGTAATTGGATTATGTTACATTTGACAATGGTATTGCATTATGCCAAACAAAACAAAATTTCAACCTCACATGAACAAACAAGATTTCGAAATACATTTTATTGTCTTGGTTTAAGCTCAGCAATAATGATGCAGTCAAGCTTGAGAGAGCAAAAAAAAAACCTTCCATATCTCTGAATCAATTTCCATTTTTAAATATCTTTCAGGTCACACTGGATTTGGGTGAATATGCATCATTCAATTGATTACTTTCGTCAATAAATAAGTGTTTATAAGAACCTAAATCATCCAAGTAGTCCACAAAAGTTGTCATAATTTATTCTTTTGTAGGTAATTGGACCATTTGAAATGAAATTGCTTTAACGTCCTACTGTTCTGCACCGACAGGGCTAATGAAGACAGGGATATGCCATACAGTGTGCTATTAGTTTAAGGGACATTTTGCCCAGACAGTGGCACAATGACTTACTCTTATTTTGAATTCCAACTTTCAAGGGTTCTTTTATGTGCACACCAATGTATACACGGGACTTCAGATTATCACACCATCCCTGCGACTAGACATTGCCAGGAACTCCGTCCTGCACCACTGACAAGGGGGAACCATACCAGAAAATCCCAATGAACTTTCTCAGCTAATAATTGACTGCCTTGCGTCATGAACATATACACTGTGTATAAATTTCAAGTCGATCAGATGATAACTTCGGACAACAAAGTGATGAATAAATAGGATGACAACAATATCTGACCACATTACATAGTGAACAGCAACGAACAATCCCACACCATCAAGTTTATCCTGCATGATGTTCAAAAGGTATCATGAATTTGAAGGCAAATAGAGTGATAACTCTAAAATCTACCATTAACATTTTATTGTGCTCCTATTTACAATCCCACAAAGTGAGAAATATTTCTTTTATTGTGTTAACAAACTTTAACATTCAAAATGTTAAGAAATGCATTAACTCTAAAATGATTACTCTAAAATCTACCATTAACATTTTATTGTGCTCCTATTTACAATCCCACAAAGTGAGAAATATTTCTTTTATTGTGTTTACAAACTTTAACATTCAAAATGTTAAGAAATGCATTAAGTCATGAAGGTCATATTGTTTGCCCTATCATAAAGTGAAGGGGATATGGACCCGGTGTTCTTGCTATTGACACCAATAGTACAAATAGCTCATGTGTATATTTACATATTAAATGTGATATACTTTTGAGTGTGACCAGAATAACTTTAAGGCTTAATCAATATCAACCGATCAATGAGTTGATATATAACTAGGTTCTTATCAATACATGTACCCTTTATACATACTTCAATCTTATTACACCTAGACAACCAACTTATCAAATTTCATCTCACGTACAAGCTCATGTTGTAGCACAGACAGAATCTTAATTTACAACACCATTATTATTCAGAGTGTATGCTTCTCCAACTACCATATTTATCTAGCCTTATTTACGAGACTTCATGCATGGTCATGAACTAGTAAAGAATTGTAATTAAAAGTAAATCAATGTTACCTAAACCTACACAAACTGTGAAGAAGTAATCCCTTCATCTGCATGTTTATTTTAAGAAGAGGAAGAAATATTTTCTGGTATATATGTATATCTATACAAAGCCAACTTACTTTTGAGAATACATTTATTTAATACTCATGTGCTTCACCATATAGTGAAGTTCTCATAATACAGGTTTCAAATTACAGCACTGGCTGTATGCATGACTCCCCACAAAAGCAAGCAAGATAGTGAAGCCCTATTGTAGTATATATAATATGCATCATTAACTTAAGTTTCCAACCATTGAAAGAAATTATTATAAGATTCTTATAATGCTGAACTGATTTGACATGGTAGGGACCAAAAATCTGACAAACGGTAGTAAGTAACAAATGGTCACATCTTTTGATAACGGGTCAATTTTCTCCTTTTCTTCATATTTGTTTTTAAAGTAAAAAATTGTTAATCAATACTTGCTTTCAAATTAGTTTATATTTCACTCTTTTTGGGATGTGTGGTGATATGCATCGCTATGGGTTGCTGGTTAGATGTGGAGAGACGGAAAAACTCCCCACATCCGACGTGTGACGCATACTCTCTCCTCTGCTTCCTATTTTAATAGACTTGCGATCCTCTAGTATTGTCTCTGGTTATTTTTGTTTTTTTATCTCTTCTTGGGACTTCTGTTCACGTTGTGTATTTTCTTATTAATCTCTGCCGCTAAGACGTTTATCTACCAGGGATAACAATGCATCAGTTCGTTACAAGCATAGATTACATTACAATACTTAATTATAATTAATTATAATGATAAAAGTTCAGTCCTATAACGATTGACACTGCCAAACACAACTAAAATCTAAATGTTCATTGATTCAAGTGTCCTAATTTCAAAACACTATAACACAGCACTTTTAATTTATAAAGTTCAGTTTTCACTTTTAAATTCTGCTGTTCATCATCTTGGATTTCCATTGGTCTGTTTCAGCTACCGTAGTCTCAATAATGAAAACTTACTTTTTCTTATTAGTAAGGATTCTCAAGTTAATCACCAGGTCCCAAGTTCACAAAGCATTCTCAGACTGAAGTTAAGAATTGATTTAAAATTGTTCGCCTTATTTTAACTAAAATATAGCCCTTTATAGAACTTTTGTTGCTTTGATCATCTATGTTTTAATGCATCAAATACATCAATAAGAAACTATGTGCAAAGTTTTGTATTTCTGAATCAAAGATACTTCTCATAAACAGAGATTGAAAGTTGAGTAAATTTATAATTCTGCCAAAACAATTAAATTATTATTTTAACATTAATTTTCACCATCAGTAATCTAACCCTTTTTTTTTTAAACCAAAACAATTACATTGTTATCCTGCACCACCAAATGTCTTAAACCATCAGTAAACTAACCCTTTGACCTAATCATTTACAATTTTTTTTTTTTTCTTTTTTTAAACCGAAACAATTACATTGTTATCCTGCACCACCAAATGTCTAAAACAAGCACAACCCTACTTACTTCAACATCAGCGGTACATGAACATTATCACATAGAACTATGTCGAGAGCAAATGGCTGTACACTCCATTCACTCGAACACAGTCTATAAACATATAGACATGACAATCAGAACATACTTAACTTCACCATAAACAATAGGGATCATCCTTAGGGTATAAGGAAAAAGTAGGTAAAGTTTCAAAAGGATCTGTTAAGAACTGCGTCCTGTAGGCGACACACAGAAAAATTGGGTGTGGCATGCACCAAAAATATGTGAGGTCATCCCTAAGGTATAAGGAATAAGTATGAAAAGTTTTTCAGACGATTAAGAATTGCGCCTGCATGCAACACACAGACACACAAAACGAAAATGAGCGTGGCTCTGCCTCTGGGGGTTGGGCATGCACCAAAAACACGAGTGATAAACGTTAGGGTATAAGGAATAAGTATGCAAAGTGTGAAGTGAATCTGCTAAGAAATGTGGCCTGTGGACGACAAACAAACAAATACAAAAAATGGACATGGCTCTACTCCTGGGGGTCAGGCATTCACCCAAAACAATAGGGATCATCCTTAAGGTATAAGAAATAGGTATGTAAAGTTTCAAGACAATTAGTTAAGAATTGCAGCCTGTAGACGACTCGCATACATAAATACAGACGGACACACACACACAGACAGGGGCGACGGCATTCCACCTTATGAATGTGGACCTATGAAAACATAATCATTTCTTTGTTCCTTATATCAATATTGAGAGAAAATGAAATGAAAAGAAATGGGGTTTAACGTCCTACTGTTTTGCTCCTAAACTGGGCTAATGAAGACGGACATACGCCATACAGTGTGCTATGAAGGAAATTTTGCCCGGGCAGCGGCGCTACGGCCTACTCTTATATCAAATTCCAACTGCCAAGGGATCTTTTACGTGCACTCCAATTTGTACACGGGACCTCGGTTTTTCGTCCCATCTGAAGGACTAGACAGCTGTCCTCTTCAGGCCCTCCATCCTGCAGCACTGACAAGGGGAAACCACTATTGAGAGAAAGATAAAATTTTAAAACTTACGAATAATTCAATGACAGTCAAATGATCATGGCAGAGTAGTTCAGATAAAGAAAATATGATTTGACAGAGGGCCACTGTCACTCATCTTAATCCAAAGAGGCAAAAAGAATTACTGTGGCTTGTGGGAGTAAAGCTACTCAATTTCTTGAGTGAAAATGATAAATTATTTTGTTAGCATTATTATCTGTTTTACCCAAAATTCTAAAAAACTTTCATTTGTAGAATGGCAGACTGATAAGCATTTGTCTTATATCTAAAACATAAAAATGTGGGTGTATAAAAACCAGCGGTTGGCAGGCAAGATATGCCCAAATTTTACAAGAGATGGACAGCGAACAAGCTAAAATCAAAAGTGGTCATAATCCATAAAGTTATGGTCTGAAATGCGCAAATATTGAAAGGGACTGAGATCTCTGGGATATAAAGATGTATCTTATTTCATCAAAATCGGATAAAAATTGTAAGCTTTTAAAAATCAAATAAAAATTGTGACCTTTAGAGAATCCACACGCTAAAAAACACGATTTTTCGTATAATCAGGGGCCATAATCCAGGAAGTTATGGTCTGATATGCACAATATATTCGAACGTTTTTTTAAATCAGATAATAATTGTGACCTCTAGCGGGACAACAACCTACATATTACATACTTTTACACAATTTGCGCACAAAGAGCGGCAATTTTGTCGGGCAGTTTCATTTCGATTTTCCCGAACATAACATTCATTATGGTGGAATGGTGATATATTAAAATGGTTTTTAAAACCGGATAACCGTGATATTCAAACGTTATTTTTTTTTAATCGGATAACAATTTTGACCTCTAGAGGGACCACAAGCTGAAAATGTGATTTTTCGTACAATCAGGGGGCATAATTCAGGAAGTTACGATCCGAAAGGAACCAAGATCTTTGGCTTATAAACATCCATATCAAGTTTCCTCAAAATAGGATGGAAATTGTGACCTCTGTAGAGTCCACAAACTAAAAACATGATTTTTTCGTACAATCTGGGGCCATAATCCATGAAGTTATGGAGGCAGACCACCATTAAATTTCACCATCTCACCCACGAATTGTGGGGTTCGTCTATTTATAGCAATTCTTTCTCTCTCTCTTTTCTCCCCTTTTGCATGCCAATTTTTATTGATTTTTTGGTCTAGAATGGACGAAGAGGGTTTGAATTAATATTTTCTGCCAGGTTTTGGTAAATATTCATGATTTTGAGGTATCTCAAAATTTTGGTGGTCAACCTCATACAAATTTTAGTGCAAAGACATGACCATTTGTTCCTCTGTCTGTAGTGAAAAGCATTCAGCCCAACGAAATATTGGGGAAAAGTTGGAGGTGGGCAAAGAGGCCAGAATTAACATTGAAGTCAATGGGGAAATCAATGGTGGTCTGCCTCCTGTATGGAAACAACCTGACAGTGGATGAAAGGCCTAAATTTGATATGATCTCCAAATTGTCAGAAAATGTGATATATGGCATTTTGATAGTAAAAAAAGTGAAATGGTAAAACTTAAAAATATTTGACAAATTTGGGAGGTGAAATTTTGATTTTAGTCAAAATTTTGTGATTTTCAGTGTTTATTTACTTTTCAAAATTAGTGGAAAATAATTTAATGTATGATTTTTACTTTTTCTGCATCATAAAGGTTAGACGGGGAAAAAAGTATTATAATTTCACTCAATTTTGCCTAAAAATCATGATAAATTGTCTGAAATTCTTCAGATTACCCCCAATATTGCTGTCAAAATTTTAATTATTCATCTGTTGTAAAATGAACCAAAATGTCTTGCATGTCTTTATTTTCATTGTTAAATAACTTGGAAAGGATCCATGTGTTTATCAGATATTGAAAAAGTATTCATGTGTTTGTCAAAAATTTAAAAATTAAGAAATTTAGTCTAATTATGTTTTGCTTAGGTGTGTTAGAATTTTCAAAACATGAGTGAACTGCATTTTGCTGCTGTTTTCCTCTGGCTTAACACAATTTTAATCTTTCAAAACCTGAAATTGTTGCATTTCCCTTCTCGAGAAAGTAAAATCTATGTGTTTGCAGGAAAATTTCTGTCTTCATTTCATTTAGACTGGCTCACCCTCCCCACCCCACCCCTTTTCTTGAACATGATATTTGGATATTCAATTGATCATTTGTTGACGCCAAATTAGCAGTAATTGGATTATGTGCTTGAATTGTAACCAAGCATTTTATTTGACACAAACAAATAGTTACATACAAGATTTCAAGGATTTCTAAGACTTTTTGTTTATGGCAAAACATGTGATCCTATGACATTTCTTCCAAATGAGTCCACACCCCAAAATGGATATGTAGTAGATGTGTTTTTTGCAGCTTAATGTTTTACATTTTGGATGTAAATCTATTATTTGTCGTGATCTTTTAAAATGTGGCACTTACAGGGCAATAAAATATTAATTAATAGCCTTTTCATACCCCTTTTATGCTATGAATTATGTCAGAACTCCCTTTTTCCATCCCATTTTGTCAGGACATTGATGTAAAGATTAAAACAACTTGCTTCCACATAATATTTACACTATGTAATTTCAAGGATACCTCTGATTGTTAAAGTATTTTAAAAACTGAAATATTCCCATTTTAAAAAAAAAAATAGTGCTTTGCGACCCTTTTACTTTTATTAGAGTGGCTGGTTGTCACCTAAATACAGCATTTATTTTACATTTATCAATCCATATTTTAATAAATAATTCATACTTCTTATAACTAACTGTGTTTATATGTATGTATATAAGCCAGGGATAGAAGAACATGGCTTTTAGCCATATTCCATCAACATATTGGACACAAGTGGGATTTGTTACCACACCACCATTTTTAGGGGTTGGGCTTACAGGTTTCACTATAGTTCCTTACAGTTACCTTCAATGTAACAAATTTGCAGCTTGTCTTCCTGTATACGGCCAAGTTTTCTAGAAATAAATGCCTTTCATCTCAGACTTTCCCAGAAATAGGGAAATATTGAGCATTTTGAGGCATACAAAGTGTCAAAAATGGACCATTTTGTAGAAAAAGGTAAAAGTCAATTTTTGAAAAATATTCCAATATTTTGAATATTTTTGATGTGACTTGTATGAAACTCTATAAATCTTTTCGCAGAACTCACATTTCGACAAAATTAAGAAAGAATCCTCAATTCTAAAACAAAAGGCCCATGGACCTGAGCTGCAATCCGGTATACAAAACAGTACATAACTTTAAAGGGTCACCATTTCTGCAGTAATTTTTTTTTTGATTCTGTATTATAATAATGTTGCAATAAATAAATGTGAAGCTATAAAGAAAAGAATTTTGATGATATATAAACTTATAAAACCATATAGGAGGCAGACCACCATTAAATTTCACCATCTTGGTACCCACGAATTGTAGTTCGTCTATTTATAGCAATTCTCTCTCTCTCCTTTCTCCCCTTTTGCATGCCCATTTTTGTTGATTTTTTGGTCTAGAATGGACGAAGAGGGTTTGAATTAACATTTTCTGCCAGGTTTTGGTAAATATTCATGATTTTAAGGCGGAAGGATAACAGGGTTATCAGGTTGGCTACTGTGATATGTACAGCAACTAGTTACATGTTTTTAGTATGCTTCTTCAAGTCTGTGTATCTCTAAATTTTGGTGGTCAACCTCATAAAAATTTTAGTGCAAAGACATGATATATGACCATTTGTTCCTCTGTCTGTAGTGAAAAACATTCAGCCCAACGAAAATTTGTGGAAAAGTTGGAGGTGGGCAAAGAGACCAGACTTAACATTGAAGTCAATGGGGAAATTAATGGTGGTCTGCCTCCTTATGGTCCGATACATGCAAATATCAGATAAAAATCAGATAAAAATTGTGACCTGTAGAGTGTCCACAAACAAACTATGGACGTCCGGACTGACAGGGGCGACGGCATAATACGTCTACATGAAAATGTGGGCGTATAACAACATCTTGCATATTGAGAATTCACATATAACCTTAAAGATCAGTGCAATATTCATAACAACAAAACAATTTATTTGCCAAGATCTAATCATACAAACTGTTGTCTATAATTTTAAATGTCAATTACATATAATAATAAATATGAACAACACTCAATGATTGATATATTGTATTCAACAAAATTATCTGTGTCAATCCATTGTTTGAATGGTGAAAATTGGTAACTTGAAACAATAATAGACCAGAGGTTATTAGCTGTTGTTATCATATTTCTGAAGCAATGGTTACAAGCATTATCAGCTCATTTAATCACTACTACACTTTTAATGGTAATATGGTGTTTGTTTATTATCAATTATCTTCTCCTGTGTATGGCCTGGTTTCTAAATCAACTTTGAGGTACAATAAACAGTATCAGCCATTAGGATTATTCTAATAAACCTTGAATAATTAATGAGCTGATATTGCTTGTTACCATTGCTTTTGGAATATGTATTCTTGTGAGTCACATTACTTATCAAAATAATTCATTCCATCTATCCGATTCAATAAGTCGAAGTCGTTTAGCCACTGTACTTTAAACAGTAAGCAGAGAATAGTAATACTAAGATTTAATCTTACTTAAAGATACATTATGGGAGATTCGATAACGAGTTGGCAGTTCTCATATAATAGCTAAAAACTAGATAATGTAAAGGCAATTTTCTGAAAATTTCATTCAAATTGATCCACTATGAACCAAGAACTAAGCGATTGAAATTTCCGCCGAGGCTCGATCATTACTAAAGTCAGTACGATCACAGCATAGTCTCGATTATCCATTTAATTGTTAAATCGTGAAGGAAGGTTATGCAGTAAATCGGCTTACAATCCACTAAAGATCGCTGGCTAGCAATGCCATCTAGAATTGATTATGGTCTGGATAGGTTAATTAATGTCTAATTAATAATTTAGATAACATTTCAGGCCTAAAGAAAGACCTGCAATAGACAGATTTAGCTCTTGCATAATGTATGTTTAAAGGAGTTAAATCGCAATTCTTTGGCACCTAGAAATGGACACAAATGGTTTGAAACGCATATAATAATGCATTATAAATGTATATAAACTGATTTACATTTAATCGTTTCTGTTTTTTACTGTAATTTCTAATCAGTTAAGTTCAGTGAAATAAGCGAAAAGTCCAAATTAAATGACATTTTTGGACGTCTGGTTGTTCCAGTCTACATTAGTAGTATTCCCCTGTGGGGTAAGTTTAGCCTCGTTCATAGAGTCGCTTCATAACTAATGGCACTCGAAAGCCCATCTTTTCCGATAAGACAACATCAATTATGATTTAAATTGACCAATAAGTTGTGTTTCCAATGTTGAAGATTGTGGGTGATACTTGGATCCTTTAAATGGAAAATTTCACTGAAATTAAGGAACAGGGTTGTGCTTATTCAGACGAATCCAGTTCGTCCACATAATGAAAATGTAGGTCAGCAGTAACATAATTACTTTCTATTCCAGGTGATACTATGACTCAAAAATTGCTTGTCATTTCTTCAATTTTTAATTTAAATGGCAAAAACTTAGTGACACACCTGGAATTGCCAACCCCTTGCTTTCTTCGTTGAGCCTTACCACGTAGAAGTTCAACAAAATCCATTATTCTCCTATAAATTTTACATGTTTCAACATTGTCCCATTCTCAGAACATAAACATTACGACTGCGTCTGCGTAAAATGGGACACTTGCATATCGCATAAAGGGTAGGCAGGGATCTATAAATCTGGTGCATTCGGTTATACACTGTAACTATGTAATGAAGGAAAATTCACCCAATTGTTTTACAGCAGAAATACTTATTAGGGTTTCACACTGTGAAGCTTGTGTGAAACACTATTGTTTTTGTTCAGATTAATATTATTATTTTTTGTTCTGTTTCCACTTTGCTTATTTCGCAGAAACTGCTCATTGTACCACGTCAATATGTCTTGATAAATGGTCATTTCGCGTCTATTTTTAACATGCATTAAATACATGCATTCTTACAACAGCAATATCTTTTGGGGTTACCTGCATTTTAATATTCCTCGCAGTTCATTGGATCATAGATATTCATAGTAATGCATTGCTACCAAAATGTTCCCCACATAACACTTATTGACAGGGTAACATTTGGGATAAAGTGTAAATTTTGCATAATATCTTAACTTACAGTTTCACATAACTGATAAGGAAGAACTAGGTCAAACATGGCTGATCTTCAGTACCACAATGTAAACAAACAATGATTTTTCATTGGAGAAAGGTTACATAGCTTGATCTGAAATTAGTTCCCATTCAGAAAGCAAAGAGATGATAATTCCACTTATGTAACTAAGTTTTAGACATTTTAATTAAAAATTGAAGAAATGGCAAGTACATGTATCTCCTGGAACAGACAGTAAATTGTGCGCAAGCTAAAAAAACAAAACAAATATAAATCAAACTCAACAAAAAAGTATGCCTTCTGCCTCCTAGTCATACTTAAACTATAAGAAATCAAAGAAATACATTAAAATTTATAAAAGGAGCAGTGTCACGTTCTGAGAAAGCATTAATCTAGTCCTGTGAAATCATCTGAAGACTGAAGCTGTGTTACTTTTGTGAAGAAATACTATATCCTACAAATAACAATGAAATTCCTCAAATTATGAGTTACATTATCCGTTAAAGTCTCTGAACGTTATTAGAAATAGTGAGAAATATCAGTCTAAAAATTTCTCAATTCCATTCAATAATTACAAAGATTTGATGAATTGAAAATTTCATCACATTTTGGCATTTGTTCTGCATACTTAAACCTTCCTTTTTTTAGTCAATCAAATACATGCACCAAAGTTTAACAGAGTAGATAAATAATATTTACCTTTCAAAGACAAAGATTGTTAACAATATATAACATACACTTTAGTTATCAATTTAAAACGAAAATATACTAAGATATGCACTTTTGCAATTTAATATTGGACCCCCTGTTTAAACGAGTGTTATATTTTTAGTTTCCTAATAAATAATCTTATAAGGTTTCTGATCTTTGGTTTATAAATTACCAGTATATATATGCACCTCTATTTACCCATAATACAAATTAAAAAAAAAAATATTTGGTATTTCTATTAAACTTTAAAGATATTGTTTAAAGCAAAGATAGGCTTTGACATGAAAAAATATAAAGATTCTTAAAAAGTACAATGTAACAATGTAATTAATAAATAGAAACCTTGTTAAACTTAACCTGTACATACATGTATACATGCACTAATAATACTGTACTATACATGTACATGTAACATCCTAGCCTACAAAATAGTGCAAAATACAACCAAATAAAATTACTCATTTATTTATGTACAAACAAACTATAAGCTTATTCATACAATTCAATATCATTTGTATTTATCATATCTTATTGGCAGACATTTGACGGCCACCTGAAGACCCCAGAGATTGATTGAATATGTATAGTGCCACATTTTGGATTTGATTTTGGAAAAATTCTTTTAAATTTAAATTCATTAGGGGCAACACACACCAAGGATTATTTGTCACAGATCGATTTCTCATAACCTGCACTCCGTCAAGCTAAATATGTTTTCTGACCAATGTTTAACTAGTCTAATCTACATATATGCTGACCTACAATGTAGTGATGTTATTAGAATCTGCCCTGGCGTGATTAATCTCTGTTATAAACCTTCAAATGGCTTAATAGAAACATTGTAGGCCTAAATAAACAACAAGTGTGTGTTGGGGTGCATATTTGGCACACATAATGGGATGCAAACTAAAGTGTACTGCTACATCTTTGCTGTAAAGAAGATGGTCAATATATGATAAACATGACAGCTACTTGAATCAACTTTTAGAAAAAATTCAAATGTGTTCAGGACTCCATTGTCAAGAAATGAAATGGAGAATAAGACCCTACTGTTTGTTATGCACTGACTGGGCTAATGAAGACGGGCTACTGTCAAGAACAGAAAGAGTAACTATATGCACACAATTTACAGTTATGAACAATGACAAATGGAATAAATTTTGATTGATTCACTCCATAAGCATTCATTCTTACATTTTTTGGTAATGCTTCAACATACATGTACTGTACCTAGCAATTTTCTAAAAGTTGAATCATGTAGCATTCACCACAATATTTTTAGATTTTAGAAACAAGTTATGAAAAGGAAAAAAAACCTCCAAAACCCAGGACGATTGAATTCTAAAATTCTATCAAAATTAAAATAAAAGAATATTAGTAACTTGTAAACATGCAGATTAAAGTTTACACATGTACCTTAGAGTGGATAAAGGAGGATTACAGTTTGCTATGAAAAGTATATGTCGTGTATGACCTTTTAAAGCTTAATCTTATAATATTTAGTTATTCTACAATAGTAGTACAATGTATGAAATTATAATAATAAATCATTGAATGTTGATTGAACATTCAACTGAAAAAAATATTTACAGAAATACATATGTATGTAAACTTATAGCAAGTAAAATACATTTCCTTTCATTCTTTACCATTTTAGCTGTGTATTCATGTACATTTACATATAGAGTTTACTATAACTTGTGTTGTACATCACCATCTAACGTTAAACATGTATTTTACCGATATCACAATGCACTGTATCTGGTTATGGGTTGGTAACCATGAACTTGTTCATATTGTATTAACATCCATGTTCTAAAGAATATTTTCAACCATCAATGGCATCATGTTCTTTTTTAACTTTTACCTCCCCATAATTTTCACCTAGAATTGTAACAATTTCACCAGGCATAAAGGCCCAGGGGACATTGGAGCCTGCCAATGGACATTTTTTATTGCTAGGACAATAAACCTCTGCCCCAGCACCTTGACGTTTTATACTGTCTTTAGAGCATGGGAAACAGAATTTGTGCTCAATGACTGATGGACACTGAACAAAATGTGTATCTTCTAGTCTTTCTTCACATAATGTACAGCGCAATGCATCAAGGTTTGACACTGTAGACTCAGGCATGGTACTGCCAATGCCTGCATCCGATACAGGCCCCATTGTGGGCAATGAGTGCACATGTGATTGTCCACTGTTTTGAGCTGACTGTAATGAATTATGTCCATCGCTGTTACTACCAGAAGAATTGCTCTTAGTTAAATTCCTTGTAACAGTCATTAAGGCTGCCATTGGAGATGAACCATTAGGAGGTATGCCAGTATCTGGAGAAGTGGGCATGTGACCATTCGGTGATACTGATGTGGAACTCGAAATGCCAGAACTATATGCAACAGTTGTTGCATTATACTTTTGATCCTCACTTGATGTTGCCAACCACATGTGGCGTTTATGATCATCCTTTAACTTTGAACTTCCATCCCCATCCATCCCTGGAGAAGCTTTCCTTTTACGAGACAATCCATCAGATTTACTGCTTTGTATCATTGGAACAGATATTCTAGCCAAAGCTGATAGACTTGGCAATGGTGGTAGACTGTTGTCGTGATACGGTGCCGGTAGCATTTCTCTCTTAGGCATTTCTTTAAAGTTGCGCAGACCTTCTGTAAACAATTCGGCCAATAACCTCCAGTCACCTCCTCCAGGCTTCATCTCATATTCTAAATATTTCAATCCTGATGACAAAGTTTTTCCGAAATCTTTCATACTGTCTTGATACATCTGTTTTACCACACCATATGCACTGCTGTAAATACTGCTAGAACCAAGGGGGTATTCAATAAAAATTTTCATTTCATGATTAAAGCCAGGTTTGGCACACGCATCAAATGCAAAAACTCTTCCGGTTAAGGTATGTTCTTTCTTAAATCGAACTTTAAAGGGAGCACAAGACATTAATACCCCTATTGTTTCTTTCACTATTACCGGTCTTGCCATGCTCTGATCTTCCCCACTGCTGTTTTTGGAACTACCTACTCCACCGTCTTCTGTGTTTGAATGTCCAGAACTTTCATCTTCTTCAGATTCAACTCTTTTTGACATTAGAGCATGCGATGCCATAATACCTCTTACTGGGAGGGATGGTACTTGTCCAGTTCTTATTGAATGAATGGCCATTCCTGTATTACGGGGCACCACTGTGTTGACACGATGTATTTCAGACATATGATGATCATGTATGTTGTGGCTCATGGAGCCATTTGCCAGACGAACTGCACTGCCAGGAATTTCTGTCATATTTCTAACTTGTCTTAAATCATGTACTGAATATCTCTCGGGTGATGTTGGTACATGTCCTTGATGTATTCTAAGTGAAGGAGGATCCATGTTATAATTATTCTCAGAAGAATTAATTGGTCCTCCAGGGCCTGGTGTACCACTCGTACTACTGCCACTAGCACTTGTCCCTACTCTAGTTCCATACACTGCACTCACTGAACCCAAATATTTGGGATACATTTCCTGAACTCCGTGAGACCGTTTCATTTGGCGTGCAGCATCAATCACCATTTCAATTCTGTCCGGTCCCTCGTAGTTGACACAACCTCGACAGACAGCCTCGGAAAAATCATGTAGCATTGCCCATGGAGTTCGTGGCAGATCGCACAGGTAACAATGTTGTCGCTGTGAACGGTGAGGCATGGCCATACTATTACTACTCTGTCAGTGTGGCCAGTCCAGTGTAATTCAGTGCAACAAACGGTACGCGTCCTGTTGTTTCATCTAATGTTGATACATGCGTGATTTCGCTATTAACCTTCAAATAAGGTGCTCTTTTTTTGTACGACCACATTCATTCCAGGACATGACATTAAGTACAATTTCTTGCACTGATGATAATTTGACATGAATATCCGGCGTTAGTTATTGATGATACGCATGCGCAATAATATGCAATCGGTCTACCGAGTCATATTTTTCTCCCTCGTGTACCGTTAGGAAATTATAATGTGCCGTGCGATCACGCAATACCCAAATCAATTATTAGTCAGGCTATTTGGAAATCAAATAATTTGAAAGAAAATGTGAATTTCTAGAAGCTATTTGGAAATCAAATAATTTGAAAGAAAATGTTAATTTCTAGAAGCAAATAAAAAATCTGTAAAATCTTAACCGTTGATTTTTCCGTATTTAATATGCATGGATTATATTGATTCTTTGTATATTGAAATAAATAATTGTTCTTCTGAAGATGAATTATCCCATCGAAAAATTACATATGCAGTCATTTTAAACAATTATGAAACATTGAGTTGATGATCATAATTATTTTTCATTATTTATTTCAAGACATGCAAAGACTTTTGCATGGCAATTACATGTAACATAATGTCCAAGATATTTTATGGGTACGCTATTCCGACTATTGCAAGTTTTTTGCAACTATAATTCTTGGCATTTTCAGTCTATATGTTAATTTAATTTGGTTTATGAATAACTCCAAAAAATGAAATTTAACCACAAATTTAAAAAGAAAACCTTAGGATCTTACTTTTAAAAGGGTTACACAAACACGAGATTCTGACACATGAATTCACATCTTTGGTACCCAACATTTATATTTAAATGGCAGTGTACATTGTCTAATTTATGTAACTGTGTCTGTGTACTGAGCATCAAAAATCATTTTGAATTTCAGGCGTCCTATTAATGCATTATTTGGAATTAAGATATCATATTATAGACTTTCTTGGTCAGTGTTGTATTTCTGCAACCCCTGCCATCAAATATATTGGCCCCCATATTATTGGAGCAGAACATTACAAAAACTGAACAAATATATTTTTTGAGATTTATTTCTGATAAAGATATATTTTGGCTGTTATCTCTATCTGTACTTGTTTGCGTACATGTAAAAGAACCTTTGAAATTGGAAATCGATCAAGAGTAAGCAGAAATACCACTGTCCCGACAAAATTTCCCTTATGCCACACTGCATGGCGTATGTCCTTCATAAGCCTGTTTGGTGCCGAAAAGTAGGCCATTAATTCCTATTTCATTTCGTTAAAGTATGTGCATGGATGTATAAATAATTTCTACTTGTGTATGAATATTACCTGTTATATGCCATTCTGGGATAATCTGGTACAGAAAATGTTGAGTCTCTTTGAGGAGTTATGTTTCTATCTAATATTTCTTCCAATAAACCACCATCTTTAAAATTAAAAATATGCATAAATTTAAATACAGATATTTCTACCAAATAATATAAAAGCATTATGTTTTAATATTTATGAAAATTAGCACAGATTATAGAAAAATATAACTCACTTCTGAGTCTAGGGTCCAGTTTATGTTTAGGATCATCTATATAAGCGGTAGGTGTGGGTATTCTTGTTCTATGAGCAGGTGTGGATAACAAAGTGTCATCTTTCTCTTCATATCTAACAGTTTGTGGCTTCCTCTTTGGATCTTTTCTTTTTACTGGAAAATACTTAACTTCTTGTCTTGGTGGGGACCTTTTTCGAGGATTTACTTTAGGTGCACTAACTTTAGGAGGAGATTTTCGGACTGGTGAACATCTACCTGGGGAACTTTTCCGTTCTACAACTGGGATTACAGGTTTCGACTCGACCAAATTATTTCCATAGGGTCTTTCTTGTGTGGATCGAGATATAATATTTTCATCAGATTTTTCTTGTTCCAATTGTGAACTCATTTTTCCATAAGGTCTTTTTTGTGCCAACTCGTAAGGTCTATTCTGAGTTGAATCTGACCTGAGGTTTTCATAGGGTTCTTGTTGTGTCGACTGGGTATTTTCACAAGGTCTTTGTTTACATGGTAAGCACAGTAATTGCGCCTTTGTAAAAATAAAAGACTTCAATTAATATTACAGAGTTAGTTATGTAATTAAATTGATGAATAAAATTGTAGAAGTGCAATGAGCCTTCCTTCTATTACTAAAAATAGAAAACTTATTATAGATTATGGAACATTAAACCTGAAATAGACAATATTTTTAGTTTGGTTTTGAGAGTAACCAATAAATTCATAGATTTTAACTCTGACTTATGCTTACAGACATTAATTCCATACCATAACTATAATAAGTTAGCAATAATCCAGAAATTCGGCCATATGTTGTAGATTTTAATTACCTGTATTCCCATTTGATATTCTTGTAGTTTTTCTATATGATCCAGTCTTTGTTCATTTAGCGCACTGACTTTTTTCTCCAATTCAGAAATTCTGTCATTACTTGAAGGAGATGAGGAAATATCTTTTACCTTCCCATAAGCTTTACTTAGCTTTTCTTCAAACTCTTTCTGAAACTGAAAATTTGTCGCATTAAACGTCTAGAAAATAAAAATGTTTTTTTCCCTCTAATGTTGTGATACACGTAGCATTCATTCCAAGAAGGAATTCTTTCACAGCATCTCCATGAATTCTGAAGATGAAACTGGTTTAGCTTTTTTGTGATCTTAACCAATTTATTAATTAACTAGAAGAATCTATTTATGTTGCTAGACACTTTTTTTGTTGAAAATTTTGGTCTGCAGATAATTTATACCTAATTACTGTTAAAGAAGTAGATATATTCTATTAAAAGCACATCTTTGTAAAAATACCTGAAAAAATGGATGAGCCACAGCAGCAGCAGCTGATGCCGCAACAGTAGCTGCCAGATTACCATCAGTAATACCATTATTTCTGGTATCCACCTCATCTTTACGTATTGTTACAGTTTCTTTAATGGTTTTCTCTATATATTTAGGTTGTATAACTCTCTTTACTGGTACAGACTGACTTGATCTTTAGATAACAAATATTTCAATTATTTAACACTCAACATGAAAATATTTTTTTGTTACAGGGCAGGTACATGGTTTAAATTTTTCCAACAATGTGGTCGCTACAGTGATGGAGTAATCTCCCCTAGACTACACTTTGAAATTTATAATCTGTCAAAATGAAAACTTAACACCAGTTATTGTTATTACTCACTTATCTACTTAATGCTAAATTATAAAGTATTTTACTGGTTTGCAATAGTTAATTAAATTAGGAAACTATGAATCAACATGTCGTTAATCTGTAGGAAAATACACACCTCTTTCCAAGAGCCTGTTTTAAAGACTTTTCTTTATCCGAAAGGTGAAATTTTTGAATATACACATCATCTTGAACACTTGAAGATTTTTCTGATCTTTCTGATGAAGCACCCGAAGCTAATTCTGAATGGAAATCTAATAACTGAAAAGAGAAAAACAAATTTTAAAAATTAGATGCGATTACAAATTTCAAAAACCTGGATTCATGCACTGTCAATGTAGATCTATACAAAATTCACAAAGCAGCAGCATTACCTCTAGGATTTCCTAACAAAATTCAACTGCTCAGGCATCTTTCAACACTACATATATCAATCTGTATATGTCTGCCAGGGCAGCAGAGTTACTGACTACACTTCCATGAATTGCAATTGTCTAAACTTTTCCCAGCCAGCCATTCTCAGTGTCACAGACTGTGATTCAAACCAAATGACCACTGTGAATCTCTTCAAGTTGAAGACCAGAAATATTTAATAATAATAATAATTAATTTATATAGCGCCGACAATGCAACTCAGTCAGCTGCTCTCGCGCGTTTTAAATAAGTACAACTAATATAAAATTACAACACATTAATCCATAAAAAAGACATAAATAAAAAATAGAGAACACTATTTAGTAGACATGGTAAAAGTCTGACAAAAACATAGCTAGAACCGTATTCAATCAGTTGTATATTTGATTAAAAAGTTCGGTTTTGAGATACTTTTTAAAACCTTTAATAGAATTTGCGCTTTTGGTTTCCATAACTTCGGAGCACCGACGGTGAAAGATCTATCACTGGAGTTGGTTTTTGAAAAAGGCTTAATTAAGAGGTCGTCTGATTGTGATCAAAGGGTTCTGCAAGTTTTATTGGTGTTGAGAAGGTGTCTAAGGTATTGAGGTGAAGAATCGTCAATTAGAGCAGAATACATAATAGACAGTATTTTAAAATTGATACGTTGATGGGCTGTAAGCCAGTTGAGATCTTTCAGAATTGGTGTCATATTATGTTTATTTGATTTAGTCTTGGTTATTATACGATCTACTTTATTTTGAAGTCATTTAATTTTATTTCCAGGTAGATTGTACAAAAGTGAATTACAGTAGTCGAGTTTTGATGTAACCATAGTCGTGTCACAATCAATGAACGATCTAATTTTTCCAATTTTATAAATCTGAAAATTAATACTTTTACACATGGCCGAAATTTGTTTATTCATGTCCAGATTAGAGTCAAAATAAACACCAAGATTTTTTACAGAATCTGTTGGAGTAATAGAGATATTGCCAATTTGATAATTTTGTGTTTTAGATTTTATCAGTTGCTGCCTGCTGCCGACTTTCATTATTTCTGTTTTGTCATCGCTGAGTTTTAATAAATTTGCGTTCATCTATTTACAAATATCTGATAAACAGGCCTCAAGTTTGCATATCTTAGATGGTTCGGAAGAGGGCTCGAAAGCTATATAAATTTGAGTGTCGTCTGCATACAGATGGTAGTTAAGACCGTGTTTACAAATGACATTTCCTAAAGATGTTGTGTATGTAGTAAATAATAAAGGACCGAGAACGAAACTCTGTGGCACGTCATACCATAAAATCGTTGAGTTTTGTATTTGTCTAACCTGTTTGGAATTCTTGATATTTTTTGTTCTTTGTACATTAGTTGTAAAATATTGATCATTATCTGATTGTTGTGGTGAATCTGTTATTCTAGTATTAGTATTTGTTATTCTACCTGGTACTGTGATGATGCTGTCATTGGCATCTGAAATAAAAATATAAAAAATCTGTGTCTGTGACTGTCCAGGTCTATTATACATAATATTTTTGTAAAAATTACCAAATAATAAAAACATATTATTATGTCCTGAAGGGATGGCAATCAATGTAATGTTTAACAGTAATACTCCTGCTACCAATAAAATAGAAAGCTAATTTTAAATTTTATTGGTAGCAGGAGTATTATTGTTAGACATAACATAGTGTTGATTTCTTTGTTTATTTCTCTAAAATTGTATCACACATGATTTCTACTGAACTTTAAAATTTAAATGGAATAAATCCATTTTGTATTTTTATAAAAAGGGAACCCCCCGTTATGCAAGATAATTTGATAGTAAGTAGCAATTAAGCTTCTGGGAGAACCAAGGTTTAAACGATACTTAGCCCAAGTTTTGAGCCATGGCCTTTGAAATTACTAGAACTAGGTTTAAGTAAGATTTGTTCAGGTCTGAGGTTCCCCTCTTTTTCACTGTTGATGTTTGTATCTGCTAGAGGACACACATCTATTTCCCCCACCCACCCCCCATGATTAGGATGATGCGACTTTGGAAGGGTTATAATTTATAAATAATGACATAACTGAGTTTTGGCATTATATGTGCCTTTAACAAAATAACAATATGCAGTAATTATTTACTTTCAACATGTTGGCTGCCTCGATTTTTTTCTGCTTCATCGGTTTCTTCTTCAATATCATAATCACTACAACTCAACATCTTTAATAATCTGTTCTTTTCTCCTTTAAGTCTTTCAAATTTCTCATCCATATTAGCTGGCTTAGATCCATGGGATACTTGGGGATCTGATTTAGTTGTATGATTCTTTGTAGTTTCTGTTTTACGCATGTAAGTTGAAGAAATTAAAACCTCGCTAGCTGTCGTACTTCCTACAGATTCCTTGCAAGAGTCCTGGCTTACACTAGATGATTGGCTTGTTACATCAGACTCTTTGTAAGTTGGAGATCTACCAATAGAGTTAACGGCTGTATTTGTCACGGACAGCATATCCAGTAATGCACTCTTTGGTTTCTCCATATTTTTATGGTCAGCAGATTAACCTAAACAAATAAAAATAAAATAAAAAGTACAAATAAAGTCAAAGGTCTCCTGTATTCAATCTTTATACAGTCATTCATTCACTACGACAGCTTTATTGGCTAAAACATAACTCCCAGTACATCATCTAAATACAATAGAATTATGATTTTAAAAGGTTATATTATGGTGCTTCAGATATGGTATAATAATCAAAGCATGTAAATGCTTTAATTGACTCTCTCTGCTGTTAAACATTTTTTATAGTTAGTGATCAGTGAGGCAATGATCATATAATTTTTTTGAGAGAAAGATACTGATTACATAATTTCAAAGAATTTTGTTTATAATTATTATTTTGCACAAGATATTTTCTTTTACATGTTTTAGCCTTTTTGGTCTGATATTAACAACTGTTACTACTGTTGCAATCTACTGGTTTTAATGATTCTAATTTTTTACACTGCATATAGATCTGACATATTCAGAGAGGCTGCTGTGACAACGGCCTAAAAATCACACCAGGTGAATAATAAAGAGAATGACAAAGGTTCCTTAGGTGAATAATAAAGAAAATGACAAGGTTAATCAGGTGAATAACAAAGAGAATGACAGGTTCATTAGGTGAATAATAAAGAGAATGACAAGGTTAATCAGGTGAATAATAAAGAGAATGACAGGTTCATTGGGTGAATAATAAAGAGAATGACAGAGGTTCATTAGGTGAATAATAAAGAGAATGATAAGGTTAATTAGATGAATGACAGACTCATAAAAGAAATGACACCAATAATGGCATATATGGTTTATCATGTGAACTGCTGTCATGTTTATTATTCATCTATTTAGCCTGTGGCATTGTCTTTGTCATTCCTTTTCTGGGGCTCTATCATTCTATTTGTCATTCATATGGTGAACCTGTGGCATTCTCTTTGCCATTCGTCTGGTGAACATGTCATTCTTTTGGTCATTAGCCTGGTGAACCTGCCATATATTGGGTGATCCTGTGTCATTGTCTTTGTCATTCTTCAACTGAACCTTTGTCAATTTAACCAATCCACAATTTGTTCCTTATAATTAAACAAAGTTATGTTATCATACTTGACTTAATATTTAAACAGGAAAATAACAAAGTCGGTTTATCATTTCAGTTTCTACTTCTCGATAGACTGGTCATAAATAATAAAAATTTCATTGGGGGGGGGGGGGGGGGGGCCTCTAGGTCGCCACTGATAACACCATATTTATTAAACCTGTGTACCTAAGCCTCCAACTCATTTGTTACAAGGGACTCGAAAAACGAGGCTAGACATATTCCACAAGTCATGTCAAACGGTAACACCATATTCTTATCTGGAGAGCATATGCGCAATAAATACTATTGGTGTACACTGGAATAACCAGACGCTAGAGATTGCCATTCGATTGAGATTTCTCGCGTATTTTGCCAAACATAACTGATTTGAAATTAGAGTAAAGATGGAATGTAAAATCAGGTCATGATTCATCATATACTGTACAATTGTACATTGACATTCATATTACATTATAATATGCGTTGCGACCCATTTATGTCAATCTCTTGGTCGCAAATAATAGCGATTTAGCTCATTTAATTGTGTTGTCCTAAGGGGAGAAGTCATTGTTTAGAAATTTCTTGTCATTCGTCATTCGTCATTCGGTTGTCACTCTCCATGCATGTAGCCTACCTACTGACTACTGTTCCTGTGTTACAGAACAGACTTTAAATTCTGTAATGACTGTATTTCCACTTACACTGACTGGTAAAAGACGCCATAATGATATGGATTATGTTCTCTGAAACGGGGCTAATCACACAAAGGTTAAATAAAACTTTACACGAATTTCAAGACTATTATTGATGATGTTTTAATTTTCATCATTTTGAAATTGTCAAGTTTGTACAAGTTTCCCTCAAATAATAACAAATCTCGATTAACAGGTCCAATAAGTTAACCTTTGTAGTTATTTCCCTTGTGTAAATTCTGCATTCGGAGTACACCTTTTGCTAGTAGGTGTGTTTTTAAGTCTTCTCGATGAGAATAATATAGATATAATTTCTTCAATTTTAAGAATAATTTTTACTTTGTTGTTTTTGTTGGATATATATGGGTATATTACGGTAAATTGTGTAACAATTAATCGACTTTCATAATTTTGGATAATAAGTACTACACGTGCTATAAGAAGAAATGTTACTCTTCATACACAATTTATTCACTAGGCTAGTCTTAGTTATCCAGAGTCTTTTTTTTTTAATTCATAGCACAATTCTCAGAAACTGACAACCGCCATTTATTGTTGCTGTGCCATGCAAGGCATAATAATTAATACATCCCTAATGTTCACCTTTCAATATGACCACCTTTTTTTACAAATTAAACCTGATCCCTAAATGCTTCTTTGCTGCTAGTGCAATGCAATGAATGTGATTAATTAACCAGAAATTGTCTAATTACTGTTTGTGTGTTTCTGATGGATTAGATATTTCTTGTACCACCTGAAATTGGATGTGGGTCAGTATGTAATTTTACCCACACGAACCAGCACCATTTCTCTGACCATCCCATCTGAGACTATAGAGCGATACACATATGGATCTAACAATTCTTGTACATAATTTATCATACATATGATGGAATTTGATTTTTTCCAGTCCTGATAAGTTTACAATCTACCTTAGGGTCCACTTACTAAAATGGAGAACCTAAACCAAAATGCTGCTGTAGACACTGAGAGTACTGTTCGACAGGTAAGTCAATAGTTACAGAAATGAAATGTGGGTACGTGTAACGCTCTACTGTTCTGTACCAATTGAGCCAATGAAGGCATACGCCATGGAGTCTGCTATGAGGGTAGTTACTTTTCAGGTTCTCCGTCTAACACTACAGACAAGGGAATGAAACCCTGCTAGAAATTTGTGGGATACTTTATTTCTTAGCCAACACAGGTATCGTACCCTGGGCTTGCTGTTTTTTGACTGTGACTCCCTATTTATTATTTACAAAAATGATATTAAATTGATGCACCTGGACACATTTCTCTGTAGATATGGATGGATCGTAGCTTTAGATTTTAACATGAATCATCCTTGCTGTGGTTTTGCATAAAGTAGGCATTCTAAGTCTGTTAATTTACCAACATTTTAGCTTGGGCTCTGATAATGATCTAATGAGATGACATGTTCTAAAGTAGTAAGGTAAAATGGACACCTTCAATTGAACCTTGAGCTGAAAAATTAATAACAACAGTACCGTCAACTGGAGCTACTTTGAGCAGTGGGGCAACTTTTAACATTTTTCAATATATTGTTTGAACATTTTACATTTTCTATTTATTTGTTCATATTATTGCTTACTTTAAATAAATATACATCTTAGATGATATAAAAAAACAATTCGCATTTGATGAAATGTTGCTCCCATGATGCAACTGTGGCATGTCTATTAAGGTCTGTATATATCATTTAACATAAACACTTAATTTATATATGTAGATAAAACATATTTGTTAAATTTCCAACAGGTATTTTATGGTTTTGACTGAAAATAAAAATTTAAGTACAAAAGTACTAATATTACATTATTTTTAAAGTAATATGGGGCAAATTGGAATATCTACAATGTTTCTTGCATTTAATTATTTATAACAAATGAATTTAATGTTGCATTTTGATAGATTTATTTAATTTCCATTAATTTATCAAATGCAATTTTATGAACCATTCAAAGTAACCCCACTTGCAAGGCAAGATTGAATACACATTTTTTTTATCTTAAAAATTTTAAAAAATATTATTCTTCAGCCAAAACATATTCTTATTTGGTTGAAATGTTAATTCTATAAGTATTTTGATGAATTTAAATTATTTTTAATGGAATTTCATTTATCGTTCAAAGTTACCCCACTGGTGAGGCAAGAATGAACACCCACATTTTCCTACACCAAAATAAACCTGACTTTTTGATAGAAAACCATTTTCTCCCCCATGAATTATAGCTAAAAAAATTAATTAAAAAAGTATAATAGCTTAGCAATCATTAATAATTGAAAAAAAATTGTTCAAAGTAGCTCTGTTTCACAGTACTAACTTTATTAAAACAATACAAGAAGAAAAAAACAAAAAGCAAAGACATGGGTTATTTGTGACAACTTTACCCCCATGTACAGCAGATGAACAGACTGTTAGTTCAGAATGAGATACAAGCTGTGTAGCTAAATCATCAGTAGCAATATATCCCATTGTTTCATTTGGTCTTAAGACATGTGCAGTTGAAGCTAAAAATCAACACATTTTCAAAAACCTTGAATGCACACACAGTGTCCTTGCTTAATACCGTTAATTTTCCACCCCACAAAATTCAAGATGCCCATGGTGATTTTAAATACAATTACAATGTGCCTTTTTTGTGGTGATAAATGTTTTTTTTTATTATTATTTACAGTTTAAAGAGTTTCTACAACAATATAACAAATTATCAGAATATTGTTTTGGTGATTGTGTTACAGATTTTACAACAAGAAAAGTTTTAGATTCAGAGGTGAGATATTATTGCACATAATCCACCAAATTGCCCACAAATTTTAATTTTTCTTTGAAACATCAACTTCTTGCTGTAATAGGTGATGTTTGTCTTTGACCGATATAACAGTTAATCACATCGTCTAATATTAGAACAGTGGCTATAAGTCTATGCAAGCCATTATAATTAATCAGCCTTTAATCAATTGTTGAATATGTATATTAATTTAGAAATTTCAACAGTAAAAGCCCCCTTACTTGCAATATTCTTGAATAATGCCATTTCTTTATCACTTTGCTACTAAAAAGTTATTTTATTTTCGTGGCCTACTAATTTAAGAATTATAGTTTTCAAAGTTGTTTTTGAGAAATCTGGTGGTTGGTAACATACTTTAGTTAAGTAAATGCACTGAAGTGACTATTAAAATACTTTAGTCTAAACCACAATATGAAAGCTTATTTATTATACAGATGATACTTGTTCTTAGTACTATAACCAACACACATTGTTCTATGACTATGGCACTTGAGTGTTCATAACTTTTTCACTTGTCAGTGATGCAGGACGGAGGGCCTGACAAGAAAAGCTGTCTAGTCGTTCGGATGGGACGAAAAACCGAGGTCCCGTGTACACATTGGCGTGCACGTAAAAGATCCCTTGGCAGTTGGAATTCGATATAAGAGTAGGCCGTTGTGCCGCTGTCCGGGCAAAATTTCCCTCATAGCACACTGTATGGCCTATGCCCTTCTTCATTAGCCCAGGTTAGGAGCAGAACAGTAGGACTTAAACTCCATTTCATTTCATTTCATTTCACTTTTTCACTTTTGTCTGTTCATAAACAGCATTTTTAATCCACTCTATTTATTAAAATTAGTATCCATTAAAGTTTAATGGCTAAAGGCAAATTAGCATCCTTATCTATAAATTGATCATTTTTGACTTGCCTTTAAATCGTGTATGTTCAAAGTTAGTCGTTGTTATCAGGGAGTTATTATACATCCATAGCAAAGAAGTTAGATATTTCAGACTGACTTGATATTTAAATGAATGAATGTTCAGTTTTAAAGAACGTTTTGACAACTTATCACAGTGCAAACCTGTCATTTTGTGATTTCAGGAATCCTGTGCCTTAAATTGTTTAGAAAAATTTCTTAAGATGACACAAAGAATATCACTGCGCTTCCAAGAACACCAATTACAGCAGAGTGGTGGTATTAATATACAGGGCATGACTAAATAATACCATGTATATTTTTGTGTTCTATTTCATATTGTAAATATACTATTATATAGTCATGACTGATAATATTAAAGCAAGCATGTGGAGACAGTTGACATTTAATAAAATAATAGTTATGATAGCAGATGGACATTGATTTATTCAGTACTAAAAGGCCAAGCAGAATAGAATAATGATCTACATATAGACTATTGTTTGAGATACATGATGGTGTTTTGTTAGATATTTACATATGTGCACCTTCTAGATTGCAAGGAATAGAACATTGTTTATATGGTTTCCATTACCATCACAGGTTTTGATTGACAGCGATGCAAGGGGTAATGTGTGTGTATTTTAGTGAAAAGAATAAATAAACTGCCACAAACACATAACATTGAGTATATATTTTATTTATATTTTCTGGTTTCTGTTTATATTATTTCATGTACAGTAATATGTATTAACAATTGTGAAGCTTCCTGTTGTGTAATACCACCGTCACACCAGGGTGGCGCCCTTAGGGTGCTGCTACGGCGACGGAAAATGGTCACAGAGTGCGTAAATAGGACCATAAGCATGGTGGAAACGCCAGATATTGTGCTGTTGCACCATGTCGTCGCAAATGATCGCCGAGTCACAGCGTTTGTTTTTAGCAAGTTCAAAACAAATGCCAAGTTTCTGCGATCTGAGGGGGGGTTGGATGGCTGAATGGTTAGCGTGCGCGCGCTGTACCATAAAGTCTGTCATTGAGTCAACTGGCGTGGTTTCGAATCCCCGGTTGTACGTGGCAAGGAGTAGGGTCGCCTGTCCAACCCTTAGGGTGCTGCTATGGCGACGGAAAATGGTCACAGAGTGCGTAAATAGGACCATAAGCATGGTGGAAACGCCAGATATTGTGCTGTTGCACCATGTCGTCGCAAATGATCGCCGAGTCACAGCGTTTGTTTTTAGCAAGTTCAAAACAAATGCCAAGTTTCTGCTATCTGAGGGGGGGTTGGATGGCTGAATGGTTAGCGTGCGCACGCTGTACCATAAAGTCTGTCATTGAGTCAACTGGCGTGGTTTCGAATCCCCGGTTGTACGTGGCAAGGAGTAGGGTCGCCTGTCCAACCTCGTGGGTTTTCTCCCGGTCCTCCGGTTTCCTCCCACTGCTAAAGACCCCTATGCGCAAGCGAATTATTGAAATAAAATTAAAACCATATGTTAGTCCCGAAATGACCTAGTTTGTGTCGAGTGGACGTTAAACCCCATTTCTCTCTCTCTGCGATCTGATCTGGAAAGCTGTGAGAACGCAGCTTTTTTTAAGTTTGTAATTTTTTTGGGACATTTTCTTGCGCTGCATTTGCCGGCGACCGTGTGCATATTCTGGTCGCCGTACGGTCTCAGCAGCGCAGTAAGGACGCCACCCCGGTCTGACAGGGGGGGCATAAGCAGTAGAATATGTTTGAGACTGTTACCCTAAGCAGGTTTAGGACCACATCAATCATACAATTAAAGGCAAGTTACAATAAGCAGAACGTTGATATCCATGTATAGCTATAGAAAGTATGAACCACCACTACAAAAAACTATATAGTGTGTATTTTTGTTTTATTTAATGATAAATCCGTGACCAATGAAATCATCTTCTTCAAGTGTAAACTCTGACTTTCCACTATAGAAACCCTTACCAGAAACCTCCACTTCTACACCTTTATATTGTCCAACACAAACTTCTCTAACAGCCTTTCCTGTAAATATAGCTTTAGTAGTAGAACTTTGAAACTGTCTAGTTTGATTCAGACCTATTAAACCTTTATGGTATTGTAAAGCTATACGTGCTGTTACTCCTGATCCACATGGTGATCTGTCAACCTGAAATAAAAGGTAAAGGCTAATGATAATACACTGCCATTTTCAATAGACAGAATGTTTCAAACTTTGAGAATGTTGCTTGGCTGGCTTCCCAAACAGCCTCTCTTCATTAGTCCAGTTCAGTGGTTCTCAAGCTTTTTCTGCCAACGGCACACCCTGGAACACATGAACAAATAGCGGCACACCGGGCTAAATATATACATGTATGAAAAACATTTGAATTTTGCACAATAAGAACATGACAAGTCATAGACGGCATACAACCGTTGACACAAACTAGTCATAGACACAGAATGATGAAACTAAATAAAGAAAAACGCAGACATGAACTTACCAGCAGACGCCAGTGAATTCTCAATTGGGATCACGTGGTTTTTCGCATTTTCTTAGTGTGCCGTTCAAAATTTCGTGGCACACTTAGGAAGATCTCGCGGCACACCTGTGTCCCTCGGCACACTGGTTGAGAATCACTGGTCCAGTCGGTGCAGAAAAGTAGGACATTAAACCCCATTTCATTTCTCCAATTAAGTATTACTGCAAACCCTGTTTCAGGACATTTCGGGTTCGATCCGGGTGTTGGCCAAGAAAGTTCTTTAGGATTTTACAGCACCAGCATCTTGTTAGGATGTGACGACAAACCCAGATACCGTTTACATGTTGGCGAGCACGTAAAAGAACACTTGACAGTCCAGTGATTTTGTCTGGACAACCTATCGCTGTAAATATGGGTAGCTAAGCTTCTGATATTGGTATATTTAATTTTATAGCAGTTAGACTATTTACCTGTCTATCGGCAAAAACACAGATATTAGATGTTGGTATATGACTATAGCTGTCATTATCATCAGTTATAATAGTGCCATACAAAAATCCCAAATCTTTATTCTCTGGAGATTCAATCTTTATTTCCCTTTTAACAGCCGCTGGGAAATAAACAGAACATTGAAATGTAACGATTAAATATAGAATCCTTTTCACACTAACAATGATACTTTGGAAAACAAATTCACATTGAACGTGAATGGCATTTAATTAATTAATTCTGAGCCATTTCGATATTTCATCACATTAAAATTACCTACCTGATATATCGTCTGCAGCTTTATTCAGATCTTTGACCATTGATGTATCAAGGTTCAAGCAGAGTTTATGAGCCGCAACGAAAGCATAAAAAGTTCCACCATAACTTATGTCTACGATTATCTTTCCAAAAGGTTCTACAGTTACTTCAACATCTAAAGGAAAAATAAAATAACTACAATTAATGGACACGGTTTCAAATAATTTCCATGGGTATATTCCCAGGATTGATTCGTAACAAGAGATTATCCAAATTTGTCAGCTCCATAGCAAACGGGCGATAACCATCAGAGGCGTTAGATTAAATAAAACGGAGGTAATATACCCCGCTCAGTCGATGATAGCAAATGTCATTCTAATCTTCAAAAAAGGGTGACCCATGGGTTCGAGCAAACTACAGATCCATCTATCTCCTAAGCACTGTTTGTGAACCCCTCGAATCCACACTATTCACGCCGGATTCATAATTTAAATGGCTTCGACATTGAAGATCAGTGTCTTGAGTGGTTATTCAGGTATATCAGTGATGGGAAACAGACGGTAAAACCACCAGAGGTATTAGATCAAATAAAACATCTTTAAAGTCGGGCCATATATACAGGTGTTAGATCAAATGAAACAACTTTAAAATCCGGGCCATTACAGGTGTTAGACTAAATGGCAATGAAACATCTTGAAAATCGAGGATACCCCAGGGCTCCGTTTTGGCATCACTCCTCTCCTTAATCCAGTGGTTCCCAACCTTTTTGTGATAGAGTACCACTTGGAGGTCCCGTACAGTCGCCGCGTACCACCTGGTTCCAGAGAAACTCAATTCGATCAAATATCACTTTATTTGCATAATTGGTTAATCAATCAAGAAATAAATAAAGAAGTATAGAAATAAAATATAAAGAAGTATAGAAATAATAATAAGAATAGTAACATACACACTGAGAAAATAATGGGTATTATCTTGTGTTAGGCAGTAAACATTTTTGTGAAGTAAAAAAGTACAACACGACAAATTATGTTATTAATAATACATTATTATGGTGTAATGACAACTTAAGCTATTCTCAAAATAATCCATTCAAAACATACATGATATTTTAATAGAGCGGGAGCCCAGGGGGTTAACCTAGCTGAAAAGTGTACCAATTTTCTCCTTTATGGTATCAATCAATGTATGTATATCTGGTATCATCAGAATGTAAGTCTGCCGGGTTTTTGGTGGTGGGTGTGGTATTCCACGCCCAAAATGCCATGCCCCCCAACTAGGCTAGATTAGCTCAAAAGTGTACCACATGAAAATCGCACAGCAAGGTACCGTACATCTTCAGTTATTACAAAAACACTCTGACAGACATTTCTAGTGATGGGGTACCCCTGAAAGAGCTATGTAATTGCCAGACATTTGTAGTGATGGAGTATCCCTGACAAGAGCTATCTAATTTCCAGACCAAAGCTAGGCTAGATTAGCTCAAATCTGTACTATCTAAAACAGCTTTGGAGTTGTTCAGTACCACGAGAGGAATCATTAATGACCACTGCCAGACAGTTTGTGCGGTGGGTTACCCCTAATAGACACGCCCAAAATGCCACGCCCTCCAACTAGGATAGATTAGCCGGCACTGTTCCCGTGGTCCAAAAATTAAAAAAATTGTGCCAGGATGCGTAGATTACTAATACCTAGCACGTATTGAAGAGGCGATAAACTGCGGTTGCAGGAATATTTTTTTTTTCAAAAACGCATTTTTAGCCCTATAAAACGTTTTTTTCCCAAAAATCAATTTCTGGCAACCGCAGTTTATCGCGTCTTCCATACGTGCTAGGTATTAGTATTCTACGTATCCTGGCTAAAAATTGAATTTTTTAAAACACGGGAAAAGTGCTTGCGAAGTTAGCCTAGTTGGGGGCGTGGCATTTTGGGGCGTGTCTGTTAGGGGTAACCCACCGCACAAACTGTCTGGCAGTGGTCATTCATGACTCCTGTGGTGGTACTGAACAACTCCAAAGCTGTTTTACGTGGTACAGATTTGAGATAATCTAGCCTAGCTTTGGTCTAAATATTAGATAACTCTTGTCATGGATACTCCACCACTACAAATGTCTGGCAATTACATAGCTCTGTCAGGGGTACCCCACCACTAGAAATGTCTGTCAGAGTGATTTTGTAATACCTGAAGATGTACGGTACACTGCGGTACGATTTTCATTTGGTACACTTTTGAGCTAATCTAGCCTATTTGGGGGTCATGGCATTTAGGGCGTGGAATACCACACCCACCACCAGAAACCCGACAGACTTACATTCTGATGATACCAGATATACATACATTGATACCATATAGGAGAAAATTGGTACACTTTTCAGCTAGGTTGACCCCCTGGGCTCCCGGTCTATAAAGATACAAAACGATTTGACAATGTTTATCAAATTATTATTGAAATCAACAGTAAAAGTGTTTTAAAAATACCTTTTGTTATCTTGAATAATTCCATGTACTTATCAATGAAATGATGTTTTTGTATTTCGTCCAATCATTTTACTTTATAGTTAAAAAACCAGATTTAAACCTCTTCAGCACTTACCGGTTTTGTAGACAAAAGCAGGAACACTATGAAATCTTACAGATCCAGTTTTCTTACCATCATATTGAACATAGGCAGTAACCAAACCACATGGACATTGGATATTGACTTTAGTTTCTGGTATTGTTGGTTCCTTTATCAAACCTGCATCCACGGCATACCGGCCTAAAGAAATTACAGCATGGCCACACATAGTACTGTAACCTTCATTGTGCATAAACAGAACGGCAATATCTGCTTCTGGTACGGATGGCTCGACAAGGAGAGCACAGTACATATCAAAATGTCCCCTCGGTTCATTGACTGTAAGTTTTCTGTAATGGTCTAAATGTTCTTTAACATATCGTCGTTGATCAAGAATGGTTCGGCCTTCTATTTTAGGAAATCCAGAAACTATTATTCTTAGCGGTTCTCCAGCTGTGTGCATTTCGACAGTCTTTACGCAAACTTGTTCATTAAAGGGTGTATTCTTTTCAGCAGACATCGTATATATTTGAAATAGAGAGTTACAATAAATGTTATGCACAGGGCCGTATTAATGCCGAGAGTATGCGGCTTGGTACTGTCCAGTAAGTCCTTTACTATGCCTTAATGTTTATCCAATGGGCTGATTGGGGTTAAACTGGCTCTAGCCTTTGTTAACGGAAACACAATGATAATTGAAAGAATGCGAAAAGTATGTAGAAAATAAACGAGTCGTTTGACCGTTTTAAGTTACATATACATACAGAATATCAAGTTGATTAGTTAACCATTCTGCTTTGTCGCCTTGATTCTCTTTTATATCCTTATTTTCAGTTATGTTCCCTTGAACACATTGATTTATTTCCTCGTTATATCAACTAATACACAACAAACGTCCACACTTATTATAAACACAGCCTATGGGATTCTGGTTGAATGACCTCTTTTGAAAGTGGTTATCGGTGACAACACTAGCCTAAAGGAGCGAGTGAATGAGAGAACAATACAAACTTTAACTTGTTCATTTCGGGACCAACAGGTGGTAATCATTTTTCAATAATTCGCTTGCGGTGAGAGGAACCTGCAGTCCCAGAGAAAACCCAGAGACAAATCATAGTCTGTCAGTCACGCACATGATTGGCATCGAAACCACACTATGTACTGGACTGAATGACAGACCTGTTGATCAAAAGCGCACCCTCGTCCTGTCCATACTAAAATATACTAGTAATGTTCAACACCATAATATGTATAGTATCGTGTATGTGAGGTTTATTTCAAAATTCGATAATTACATTACATTACATTACATTACATTACATAATAATATAGCATTAAAATATTAAAACTATAAACACTGATATTCTTTACTTCCAACTTCTTCATTCTCATCAAGTAAATATACAACAATTGATCACTACTAGTGCTAGACTAGCACACTGCTATTAAGTATAGCCTTTACGCCATTATTGCTTTATATTGTACGTATTCGGTAAGATACCCTAAGTCAAGGCTAACATGCATGTATTTAAAATGCAGGTTCAACAATTTGATTACAGCATTGATTAAATATGGCATTTGTCGCTATGGCGACGGAAAATGGTCACAGAGTGCGTAAATAGGACCATAAGCATGGTGGAAACGCCAGATATTGTGCTGTTGCACCATGTCGTCGCAAATGATCGCCGAGTCACAGCGTTTGTTTTTAGCAAGTTCAAAACAAATGCCAAGTTTCTGCTATCTGAGGGGGGGTTGGATGGCTGAATGGTTAGCGTGCGCACGCTGTACCATAAAGTCTGTCATTGAGTCAACTGGCGTGGTTTCGAATCCCCGGTTGTACGTGGCAAGGAGTAGGGTCGCCTGTCCAACCTCGTGGGTTTTCTCCCGGTCCTCCGGTTTCCTCCCACTGCTAAAGACCCCTATGCGCAAGCGAATTATTGAAATAAAATTAAAACCATATGTTAGTCCCGAAATGACCTAGTTTGTGTCGAGTGGACGTTAAACCCCATTTCTCTCTCTCTGCGATCTGATCTGGAAAGCTGTGAGAACGCAGCTTTTTTTAAGTTTGTAATTTTTTTGGGACATTTTCTTGCGCTGCATTTGCCGGCGACCGTGTGCATATTCTGGTCGCCGTACGGTCTCAGCAGCGCAGTAAGGACGCCACCCCGGTCTGACAGGGGGGGCATAAGCAGTAGAATATGTTTGAGACTGTTACCCTAAGCAGGTTTAGGACCACATCAATCATACAATTAAAGGCAAGTTACAATAAGCAGAACGTTGATATCCATGTATAGCTATAGAAAGTATGAACCACCACTACAAAAAACTATATAGTGTGTATTTTTGTTTTATTTAATGATAAATCCGTGACCAATGAAATCATCTTCTTCAAGTGTAAACTCTGACTTTCCACTATAGAAACCCTTACCAGAAACCTCCACTTCTACACCTTTATATTGTCCAACACAAACTTCTCTAACAGCCTTTCCTGTAAATATAGCTTTAGTAGTAGAACTTTGAAACTGTCTAGTTTGATTCAGACCTATTAAACCTTTATGGTATTGTAAAGCTATACGTGCTGTTACTCCTGATCCACATGGTGATCTGTCAACCTGAAATAAAAGGTAAAGGCTAATGATAATACACTGCCATTTTCAATAGACAGAATGTTTCAAACTTTGAGAATGTTGCTTGGCTGGCTTCCCAAACAGCCTCTCTTCATTAGTCCAGTTCAGTGGTTCTCAAGCTTTTTCTGCCAACGGCACACCCTGGAACACATGAACAAATAGCGGCACACCGGGCTAAATATATACATGTATGAAAAACATTTGAATTTTGCACAATAAGAACATGACAAGTCATAGACGGCATACAACCGTTGACACAAACTAGTCATAGACACAGAATGATGAAACTAAATAAAGAAAAACGCAGACATGAACTTACCAGCAGACGCCAGTGAATTCTCAATTGGGATCACGTGGTTTTTCGCATTTTCTTAGTGTGCCGTTCAAAATTTCGTGGCACACTTAGGAAGATCTCGCGGCACACCTGTGTCCCTCGGCACACTGGTTGAGAATCACTGGTCCAGTCGGTGCAGAAAAGTAGGACATTAAACCCCATTTCATTTCTCCAATTAAGTATTACTGCAAACCCTGTTTCAGGACATTTCGGGTTCGATCCGGGTGTTGGCCAAGAAAGTTCTTTAGGATTTTACAGCACCAGCATCTTGTTAGGATGTGACGACAAACCCAGATACCGTTTACATGTTGGCGAGCACGTAAAAGAACACTTGACAGTCCAGTGATTTTGTCTGGACAACCTATCGCTGTAAATATGGGTAGCTAAGCTTCTGATATTGGTATATTTAATTTTATAGCAGTTAGACTATTTACCTGTCTATCGGCAAAAACACAGATATTAGATGTTGGTATATGACTATAGCTGTCATTATCATCAGTTATAATAGTGCCATACAAAAATCCCAAATCTTTATTCTCTGGAGATTCAATCTTTATTTCCCTTTTAACAGCCGCTGGGAAATAAACAGAACATTGAAATGTAACGATTAAATATAGAATCCTTTTCACACTAACAATGATACTTTGGAAAACAAATTCACATTGAACGTGAATGGCATTTAATTAATTAATTCTGAGCCATTTCGATATTTCATCACATTAAAATTACCTACCTGATATATCGTCTGCAGCTTTATTCAGATCTTTGACCATTGATGTATCAAGGTTCAAGCAGAGTTTATGAGCCGCAACGAAAGCATAAAAAGTTCCACCATAACTTATGTCTACGATTATCTTTCCAAAAGGTTCTACAGTTACTTCAACATCTAAAGGAAAAATAAAATAACTACAATTAATGGACACGGTTTCAAATAATTTCCATGGGTATATTCCCAGGATTGATTCGTAACAAGAGATTATCCAAATTTGTCAGCTCCATAGCAAACGGGCGATAACCATCAGAGGCGTTAGATTAAATAAAACGGAGGTAATATACCCCGCTCAGTCGATGATAGCAAATGTCATTCTAATCTTCAAAAAAGGGTGACCCATGGGTTCGAGCAAACTACAGATCCATCTATCTCCTAAGCACTGTTTGTGAACCCCTCGAATCCACACTATTCACGCCGGATTCATAATTTAAATGGCTTCGACATTGAAGATCAGTGTCTTGAGTGGTTATTCAGGTATATCAGTGATGGGAAACAGACGGTAAAACCACCAGAGGTATTAGATCAAATAAAACATCTTTAAAGTCGGGCCATATATACAGGTGTTAGATCAAATGAAACAACTTTAAAATCCGGGCCATTACAGGTGTTAGACTAAATGGCAATGAAACATCTTGAAAATCGAGGATACCCCAGGGCTCCGTTTTGGCATCACTCCTCTCCTTAATCCAGTGGTTCCCAACCTTTTTGTGATAGAGTACCACTTGGAGGTCCCGTACAGTCGCCGCGTACCACCTGGTTCCAGAGAAACTCAATTCGATCAAATATCACTTTATTTGCATAATTGGTTAATCAATCAAGAAATAAATAAAGAAGTATAGAAATAAAATATAAAGAAGTATAGAAATAATAATAAGAATAGTAACATACACACTGAGAAAATAATGGGTATTATCTTGTGTTAGGCAGTAAACATTTTTGTGAAGTAAAAAAGTACAACACGACAAATTATGTTATTAATAATACATTATTATGGTGTAATGACAACTTAAGCTATTCTCAAAATAATCCATTCAAAACATACATGATATTTTAATAGAGCGGGAGCCCAGGGGGTTAACCTAGCTGAAAAGTGTACCAATTTTCTCCTTTATGGTATCAATCAATGTATGTATATCTGGTATCATCAGAATGTAAGTCTGCCGGGTTTTTGGTGGTGGGTGTGGTATTCCACGCCCAAAATGCCATGCCCCCCAACTAGGCTAGATTAGCTCAAAAGTGTACCACATGAAAATCGCACAGCAAGGTACCGTACATCTTCAGTTATTACAAAAACACTCTGACAGACATTTCTAGTGATGGGGTACCCCTGAAAGAGCTATGTAATTGCCAGACATTTGTAGTGATGGAGTATCCCTGACAAGAGCTATCTAATTTCCAGACCAAAGCTAGGCTAGATTAGCTCAAATCTGTACTATCTAAAACAGCTTTGGAGTTGTTCAGTACCACGAGAGGAATCATTAATGACCACTGCCAGACAGTTTGTGCGGTGGGTTACCCCTAATAGACACGCCCAAAATGCCACGCCCTCCAACTAGGATAGATTAGCCGGCACTGTTCCCGTGGTCCAAAAATTAAAAAAATTGTGCCAGGATGCGTAGATTACTAATACCTAGCACGTATTGAAGAGGCGATAAACTGCGGTTGCAGGAATATTTTTTTTTTCAAAAACGCATTTTTAGCCCTATAAAACGTTTTTTTCCCAAAAATCAATTTCTGGCAACCGCAGTTTATCGCGTCTTCCATACGTGCTAGGTATTAGTATTCTACGTATCCTGGCTAAAAATTGAATTTTTTAAAACACGGGAAAAGTGCTTGCGAAGTTAGCCTAGTTGGGGGCGTGGCATTTTGGGGCGTGTCTGTTAGGGGTAACCCACCGCACAAACTGTCTGGCAGTGGTCATTCATGACTCCTGTGGTGGTACTGAACAACTCCAAAGCTGTTTTACGTGGTACAGATTTGAGATAATCTAGCCTAGCTTTGGTCTAAATATTAGATAACTCTTGTCATGGATACTCCACCACTACAAATGTCTGGCAATTACATAGCTCTGTCAGGGGTACCCCACCACTAGAAATGTCTGTCAGAGTGATTTTGTAATACCTGAAGATGTACGGTACACTGCGGTACGATTTTCATTTGGTACACTTTTGAGCTAATCTAGCCTATTTGGGGGTCATGGCATTTAGGGCGTGGAATACCACACCCACCACCAGAAACCCGACAGACTTACATTCTGATGATACCAGATATACATACATTGATACCATATAGGAGAAAATTGGTACACTTTTCAGCTAGGTTGACCCCCTGGGCTCCCGGTCTATAAAGATACAAAACGATTTGACAATGTTTATCAAATTATTATTGAAATCAACAGTAAAAGTGTTTTAAAAATACCTTTTGTTATCTTGAATAATTCCATGTACTTATCAATGAAATGATGTTTTTGTATTTCGTCCAATCATTTTACTTTATAGTTAAAAAACCAGATTTAAACCTCTTCAGCACTTACCGGTTTTGTAGACAAAAGCAGGAACACTATGAAATCTTACAGATCCAGTTTTCTTACCATCATATTGAACATAGGCAGTAACCAAACCACATGGACATTGGATATTGACTTTAGTTTCTGGTATTGTTGGTTCCTTTATCAAACCTGCATCCACGGCATACCGGCCTAAAGAAATTACAGCATGGCCACACATAGTACTGTAACCTTCATTGTGCATAAACAGAACGGCAATATCTGCTTCTGGTACGGATGGCTCGACAAGGAGAGCACAGTACATATCAAAATGTCCCCTCGGTTCATTGACTGTAAGTTTTCTGTAATGGTCTAAATGTTCTTTAACATATCGTCGTTGATCAAGAATGGTTCGGCCTTCTATTTTAGGAAATCCAGAAACTATTATTCTTAGCGGTTCTCCAGCTGTGTGCATTTCGACAGTCTTTACGCAAACTTGTTCATTAAAGGGTGTATTCTTTTCAGCAGACATCGTATATATTTGAAATAGAGAGTTACAATAAATGTTATGCACAGGGCCGTATTAATGCCGAGAGTATGCGGCTTGGTACTGTCCAGTAAGTCCTTTACTATGCCTTAATGTTTATCCAATGTGCTGATTGGGGTTAAACTGGCTCTAGCCTTTGTTAACGGAAACACAATGATAATTGAAAGAATGCGAAAAGTATGTAGAAAATAAACGAGTCGTTTGACCGTTTTAAGTTACATATACATACAGAATATCAAGTTGATTAGTTAACCATTCTGCTTTGTCGCCTTGATTCTCTTTTATATCCTTATTTTCAGTTATGTTCCCTTGAACACATTGATTTATTTCCTCGTTATATCAACTAATACACAACAAACGTCCACACTTATTATAAACACAGCCTATGGGATTCTGGTTGAATGACCTCTTTTGAAAGTGGTTATCGGTGACAACACTAGCCTAAAGGAGCGAGTGAATGAGAGAACAATACAAACTTTAACTTGTTCATTTCGGGACCAACAGGTGGTAATCATTTTTCAATAATTCGCTTGCGGTGAGAGGAACCTGCAGTCCCAGAGAAAACCCAGAGACAAATCATAGTCTGTCAGTCACGCACATGATTGGCATCGAAACCACACTATGTACTGGACTGAATGACAGACCTGTTGATCAAAAGCGCACCCTCGTCCTGTCCATACTAAAATATACTAGTAATGTTCAACACCATAATATGTATAGTATCGTGTATGTGAGGTTTATTTCAAAATTCGATAATTACATTACATTACATTACATTACATAATAATATAGCATTAAAATATTAAAACTATAAACACTGATATTCTTTACTTCCAACTTCTTCATTCTCATCAAGTAAATATACAACAATTGATCACTACTAGTGCTAGACTAGCACACTGCTATTAAGTATAGCCTTTACGCCATTATTGCTTTATATTGTACGTATTCGGTAAGATACCCTAAGTCAAGGCTAACATGCATGTATTTAAAATGCAGGTTCAACAATTTGATTACAGCATTGATTAAATATGGCATTTGTCTGATATTAATAAACAAATACGGCGACAATTGGATATTTTATATATAATTCAAGATATACACCGTATTCTCTAAGAGATATACAACAACTTTTCTATGTTTATGAGGTTCTAAATCTCTGTTGTGGCGAGGATTTAACTAGGAACATCTAGTTTAATTTTGAAAGATTTGACGATATTGACAATCGTACCCACGATCATTATATACATGGTGTGAATCACGTGAGGTCGAACATTAGTTTTGTTATCGTTCATTAGAAACATTCCACGGACACTTAACGGAATTAAAATTTCTTACATAATCTTGTCTAGGGTACCAGCCAAGATCATGTAAGAAGTTTATTTGAATCCCTCTAAAATGCCTATGAAAAGTTCTTCTTTTTGTATTTTCTATAGATACCAGATAAATGTTTATAGTGTATAAATATAAGAAAAAAATAGATTATAATAATTTACATAACAGCTATATTTATTTACAATATGTACAAATTTAGACAGTTATTGGGAGAGTTAAAATGAAAACTCAGGCAAACATTTAACTTTGTTTATTTCGTCGTATTTCGTGACGTGACTCACTGGGGATTACAAAACGACTTTATTTGTTTAGTTTAAATTGTTCGTCGTCTTCAATATGTCAAACTCAACCTGAAAGGTTTTTTTTCGATGAACATGAAAGTAGCTGTCCCAGATATACTTTAGAGAATAATACGTTTATTTTATTTGTGTGTGTTGGGGTGGGGGTGGGGGTGGGGGGGCTTATAGAAACTATTATCATAGTTTTATGCAACTGGCTGAGGTTCTAAATACCAGTTGGTGATAAGTTTCCTCAACACCATGCCATGTTTGTGTCTTTAAAGTCGCGCAGTTTGACCTGGATCTGAGACAATACAAATACGCAATATATTTTACAATTTTGGCTTCTGATTTACATATTTAATCCTGATTTATACCTCTTTCATGTAATTTACCTCATACCAGAAATCGCAGTATAAAGTTTTCTCCGCGGTGTAAACCTTTTCTCCGTGGTATAAAGTTTTCTCCGCGGTTTAAGTTTTCACCGCGGTGTAAACGTTTTCTCCGCGGTGTAAACCCTTTTTCCGCGCGGTGTAAATTTTCTTCGCGGTGTAAACCTTTTTTCCGCGATGTAACGTTTTCTTCGCGTAATAAACCTTTTCTCGGAGGTGTAAACCTTTTCTCCGCGGTGGAAAGGTTTACACCTCGGAGAAAAGATTTACACCGCGGAGAAAAGGTTTATGCCACGGAGAAAACTTTATACCGTGGAGAAAAGGTTTACACCGTAGAGGAAAGGTATACACCGCGGAGAAATGGTTTCCACCGCGGAGAAATGGTTTCCACCGCGGAGAAAAACTTTATACCGCGGAGAAAACTTTATACCACGGAGAAAAGGTTTACACCGTGGAGAAAAGATTATACAGCGGGGAAAAGGTTTACACCGCAGAGAAAACTTTATACCTCGGAGAAACTGTATACACCGCGGAGAAAAGTTTTACACTGCAGAGAAAAGATTTTTCATGTTTTTTTTTATTTATAATAGTTTCCACTGCGATTTCTCATACGAGGTACATTACAAGTAAATGGTATAAATCAACGTATGGCTCTAAAAGGCCACCTTAGAAATCCGGGACTTTTACTTTAAACGGGCATTTTGCCAGTTACTCAACTGCAGCACAGTTTTACAGGAGAAAAAATGTGCAACAACTATATATACATGTATTGGATATCTATATTGGATTTCTTATAATGAGGACGCAGCTTAAATAAACTATTGGGACAAGCAACTCTATTTGTGATAAATGTCAATTTTTGCGACGCAGTAGTATGCGCCTAATCGTAAACTCTGCGCTTAAAATTCCATTTATCAGTTTTGGAATTGAAGCGATGTATTATTGTATACAGACTTTAGTCTACACGACGTGATGCTATAACCAACACCCTAAGGAGCCACGGTAGCTCAGTGAGTAAGGCATTGACACCATAATATTTATATGATGATGTCGAAAATGTAAAACAAATAAAATAGACCATGATGTAAACGATGTTAATGTCAAATATATAGCAATATGGTGTTTAGAACATTAAATATGGATTCCAATTAGACTTAACTTTATTTAACATTTAGAAAAATAATTAATTCTTCTGATGTTGTATTATGACATTAGATCAAATTTGAAAATTAAACAAAATAATATTGTATAACTATTAATATCTTTCAGAACTAAATGTACTTTCATGCCAATCATATAGTTGTTTATACATAGATGAAGGTAGGGCAAAACAGAAATCTTTAGGTCCACGCTGACCCATACAGAACCAGACAATTCCTGCCAAAAATAAGATGAAAACGATTCCAAATATAATTCCAAGTAAAATGGCCAATGTTAAAGGATTAATTCCATATCTGGCAGACGCATAGACAGGTGCTGCACTGGTTACTGGTATAGTTGTGATATTATCTGAAATACAGAATGATTTAATAAAATCAAAAGAGAGTCGCTGCCCAGGCGTTCGTTTCGTCCCCTTTATAGTCCTTATAGTAATACATATTTTAGTTTGAGGGTTACAAAATATGCCCCAAAGGATTATTATTCTGTGTCCTTCTTATACCATTTTTGTTTATAAAGTTTCTTTACCCCAAGCCCTATATATCTTAATAAACATAATGACGCGTGAAGAAAATGTGGGAATCAAGCTTTACTTATGACTTCATTCGAACTCATGATCACACAAGCCCTTTAATACAGATAATAAAGGACCGTTTGGGTCTGTACAATAAACTAATGCGAAATTGACACATAACTCAAGGTTTTACGAAATTGACACATAACTCAAGGTTTAGCCCAATTAGATTAAAAACAGATTTACACCATTAACTTCTGGCATACTCGAAATCGTTGTTCTGGTCACGTAAACTAACTGACCAGTTTCTGTATAGGTATAAATTCCTTCGTTTTGTGGTGAATTATGGAAATTTTAACAGCAAGCATATAATAAGATTGGTTGAGTGCAAGTATTTTTTTTAGAATACATCAGTCTCTGAAAGCGGGCGTTAAGCTCGGAAACTACAACAAATGGATTGGTGCTTACCACAATATTTGCCGTACGTCCATGCTGGACAATGACAGTAAAAGTCATCTATCCAGTCAGTACATGATGCACCCGATTTACATGGTCTAGAAGCACAATCATTTAAATTGATCTCACATCTAGCCCCAGAAAAACCTGTTAAAAACAAAATATAGTTCATTCTTTATTATATCATATTTACAATAAAATCCATAAATAGTACACCAAAAAACTATATTATATGAAATAACAGTTTCTGTTTTATAAACAACGTTTCAGCGATGGTACCCTCATCTTTATCAAGCACGTAACAGACATAGTAATAAGGCCATTGATTTACATTGATGTTTGATCTGTATACCAAAATAATACCTATTCTTTGTTCTACCGTGAATTCTCGGACAGTCGCTTTAAATTTAAAGTAAATTTAGGCATACCTTTAGGGCAATCGCATTTGAATGTACCATCGCGATTCTGCCAACACATTCCAGCATTTAGGCATTGATTTCTACTACATGGTATGTAAATAGTCCCTGGAGCTGATATATCTGAAACAAAGCACAGTATTGGATGAAAAAAAGTCGACAGAATATAAATGTTGAAAAAAAAGATGTGCAGAAATTGGGGTATACAATGTGGCGTTTAAAAATCTATGGTCAGTACAAGACGCAATACTATGAAACGGATAACACCAGAACACCGAGAAACGCGCCATTGCGTTAATTCAAGAGTACCAAAGCTGTTGACCAATTAAAGTTTTGGTGCCATCACACTACCATCCTAAAACCCCATGACCGATTGTTTCCAGCAGACATGGTCCATTAGAGATCGGCCAAGCCCTGGAGGCAATGAGTGTTAACGCATCGACCGGTACATTATCTGCCAACATCTGCAGGATGACATGATGCCGGATCTTACCATTTCTACTGCGAGGGGTTGGGTTGAGTGCCAGACATCCTTATATTTGGACGAATTTGGACTTTGTGGACTTTTAATTTTCCCCCTTTTGGGAAAATTTTACTAAAGAGTATAGTTTTTATGCCCCCCTTGGGTAGTTGTTGCTTTCCTGGTATCAGTAATGTCCAGTCTACAGTCATGTCAAAAATCATATTTCAGCTGCAACATGTCACACCATCCCTTCAAGTCTAATCAGCAGTACGTGTTCACTGCGTCTCAGTATACAAAAACTAACTACTAAATACCTTGGCTTAATACTCAAGATAATCTTCTGAAATTAGTTATGGATGGAAGGTTGATATTATACATGATCAGGCAGAATGGACGAAATGCACGAACCATGACATGCGTTTCAGCAACAACCGGGTTAATGAAGACAGCATGTACGGGACCTCATTTACGTTCCATCCATACAACCAGACGGTTGGTTAGGAAACGTGGGACGTTAAACCCCATTTCGCTTCATTTCAATAACGTAATTGTGCACAGGGGTGCTGTGGGAGGAAACCAAAAATAAAAATTAAAAAAAACATGCCATATGCTACAATTAAAATCTGTTCTGATGCTAAAGCATCGATATACTGCATGTATACATTTCTTAATCTACCTTTTAAACATACCAATGTTTAAAAATCTATTTTTGAAACAGACGTTTCTATAATCTATGCAAGATGTAACTTACCACATGTTTTACCAGCCCAGTTATTAGGACAAGTGCAGTAAAAGTCATCTGTCCAATCAGTACACGCTGCTCCATTTTGACACAAGTTAGGATTACATTCATCTAAATTCGTTTGACAAAAATCTCCAGCAGTACCTGGAAATAAAAATAACACGATTTAAAACATTTTCACTATTGATATTTGACAAAAATATTCAAGTCCGCTAAAAGGAATAACCTGATTCTTAAAATATGTACAGACCTTTCATGCATGCACATGCGTAGTTATTGATACCATCTACACAGATGCCGTCTTGTTGACATGGATTCACTGCACACTCATTTATATTAACCTGACAATTTCTTCCAGTAAAACCAGGAACACAATAACATATATAATCACTTTCTGTTAACTCCTATAAAATATAATATGATGTTTAATCATTCACTGTTAACTCCTATAAAATATACATGTGTTATCATTCCCTGTTAACACATAAAATATATGATGTATAATCATTCCCTGTTAACACATATAAAAATATATATATATTAGTATTCCCTGTTAACACATATAAAAATATATATGTTATTATTCCCTGTTAACACATATGAAATATAACATGCTGTATAATCATTCCCCGTTAACTCATATAAAATATGATATGATGTATAATCATTCCCTGTCAACTCCTATAACATATATAATATGATCATTCTCTTAATTCATGTAAATATAATAAGCTGAATAATCTCTGTCTTTTAATTCGTATAAAAATAACACTATTTATACCTGTGTGTTTTAACCCTTTAGCGCCCGTCTTCATTAGCCCAGTCGGTGCAGATTCAGAACAGTAAGACGTTAAATCCCATTTTATTTAATTTTTCAACGATGCCGCACATGACACCGGTGAACCGAATCCAACAAACAACAACTATAAGGCTTCTAACATTTGAATTTTCATTTCCAAAGAATACAAAATATTTTTGCATTGAAATTGTCCATCCGAAAATGTAATATTCCGACATGTTGAAAATTTTCAATTTTGGAGAGTTTGTATAGATCAAATATTTTCAGACTTTTGAAAAAATCTTTACTGACTATAGTCACCACCCACATTTGCGCCAGCCTTGCAAGGTGATACAATAAGCAGTTTTAAAGATAACATTATTTTGATTCTTACCTCGCATGTTCCTCCATTTTGACATTTATTGTGACAAAGCTTCTCTGAAATATACAAAATAAGATATTGTTTTCCCGTGGTTCATGGCATGTTATACTGCTGTGTATCTAATTATACATCAATGTAGAAATAGACTACAAAAATGTCCGAAATGGGGACTGGGCACAAACGCTACGTATTTTAATGGGGGCGGGCTCCAGTTAAATTTGTTTTGAAAATAGATTGGGTTATAGTGTGTAAGACTTAGCTTGAATACACAGTATATATTTCGTTCTTTCTTACTATATCGGTATTGTACTTGCAAACAACTAGAGAAGTATTATAGAAATTTAGCTCCGATTAAAAATACAGTCATTGTTTTCCATAGAACTCTTTTGTTTAATTTAATGTGCTCAATTATTAAATGCCGTTTAAATAGTATAGCTTCCACCGAAATGACATCGCCGACAAAGGGGCTGCTGTTCTTCTTCTATTAGTGTTTAACATCCGCTTCCACCTATTATTTTATTATGTAGTTGTCTTTTCTGTGGGAGTAAACTGGTGTACCAAGAGTAAACCCACGGGGTTAAGGAGGCTCCCATATCTCAAAGTCACATACGCTCATACCAGGGATCGAAACCACGACCGCAAACCAGAGTTGACCAACTAGCTAGAGCTCGAGGAGCGACATTCTAAACCACTTGGCCACGCCAACCCCCCTGCTGCGTCATCCAGTGACTTTTATGCTCTGACTGTCCGATTAAACATATGAAAAATGCGGGTGACCGTACAATTTCATTTCTAGTCCTCTCACCACCTCACCCCACCCCTCTAGCCAACGTAACGGATATAATAATGATATACCCACCTTCTTGACATCTATCACCAAGGTAACCATCAGCGCATGTGCAGTTAAACACACCAGGAACCCCTTCTTTACATTTACCTTGGTTTAAACAAGGATTTGGTACACATTCATTTACATCTACAAAAATAATGAAGACAGAATTAAGGCAGAATTTAAACTGGAAGAAATATTTTAAATCCCTTTTTAAAATAACGAGAATCCCAGTGTCTTTGTTTGATTCGGTGTCTTGGTTTGATTCGGTGTTCAGGATATTCGGTGCAATACTTTTATTCGTCGAAAAACGCGACGTCAGCCATGACCTTTTTGGAAGTAACAAAACAGTACTCAATACAGCCATGTCGGAAGCACCAAATCCAAGACGTATTGTTGATTTGTTGAAAATATCCCAAGAAGAGTGTATGATGACGAACATAAAAGAAAAGTGAAATAAAATGATCAATGACTTCTTGGCGGCTTCAAATATAGGAAACAGAATAGGCACGGAATTAATGCCTTTAACTCAAGTTCCATGCACAATGAACCGAGCCAAACCGGGTAGCACATCAGGCTGCGACAACGTGGTTAAACGGCACTGTAGATTGAAAGTGTCCCAAAGGGGACTTAATTAGCAGCAGAATTGAACTCACCTGTAGCACAAATAGGACCAGTAAAACCACCTGTACATGTACATATATAGGTATTAGGTTCATTGCCCTCATTACATGTACCATTATTATAACATGGTTTAAATACTTCACACTCATCTATATCTATAATATAACATTTATTATAACATGGTTTAAATACTTCACATTCATCTATATTTATAATATAACATTTATTATAACATGGTTTAAATACTTCACATTCGTCTTTAACTATAATATAAATTTATACCGCGTCTTGGGCCCTAATGAACCCAGGGCATGTCTATTGCCCGATAACACCCATCTAAATCTCCTAATTAAAACTTAGCTTCAATACTTTATATTGATCAACAAGGTAATTATAATGATTACTAACCTGTCTCACATCGTTCACCAGTGAAACCATCAGCACAACTACAGAGGAATTCACCCAGTCCTGGTTGAGAACAAGTTCCACCATTTTCACACGGTGAGGAGTTACATTCATTTATATTTTCTTCACATCTTGATCCTGTTGTACCTCTAGGACAGGTACACATGTAATTACCGCCTGCTAATGAGTCACATGTACCACCATTACGACATGGTTGAGATGAACAAGCATCGATCTCGGACTCACAAACCTAAAATAAATACAAATCCAGGAGATCTGTGTTTCTTGTACTTTATTGCGTCACATAGACGTACGGACAAGGCGATTCTATTGAAACATTTCATGCCCGTCTTCATTAGCCCAGTTCCGAGCAGAACAGTAGGACGTTAAACCCCATTTCATTTCATTTAAGCATTAATTTCTTGCTGGCCTTAATTACTGGTATTAAGGTATTCACCAAGTATCGAGTATTGAATTTTTGTGGATACTCTATCAATGAACTGGAGTTTTTAAAGTCTGTCGTATAATAGAATATTGTATCTGCCGTAATTAAAACTTACCCGCCCTCTAAAGTTTGTAGGACATTGACATTGGAACATCCCAGGTCGTGGTTCTCTACAGGTACCTCCATTTTGACATGGTTGTGACATACATTCTACAATATCAGCTTCACATACTACACCAGTATAACCTGGTCTACATGTACATTTAAACGATCCTGGTATATCTGTATAATAAACACCAATATCATGTGATTGGAAAACACCCTTTATAATACCACCATTTATATCTATCTCTACAAAATGTCGAATTATACCCACATTCTATTCATCTATTCATTTTAATTTTCGACTGGTTTTTTTTCATTTCACTACATCTCACGCTAATTAGTGTTTGGTTGACTCCAGATCTACCGATCAAACCCTTTGATAGGTAAAATTCAGAGATATCTTTTGAAATGGCTGAATGATCAAAGAAAGTGGTACTATTGCATGATTTCCGTGTCTTTAGATGTTAATGGAGACAGAGACGGAGAAATGGGTTTTACTGTCCACTCGACACAAACTAACATACGGTACAATTTTATTTCAATAATTTTATTTCAACGAGGTTGGATAAGGCGACCCTATTCCTTGTCACGTACAAGCGGGGAATGACAGACCTTATGATCAAACGCGCACACATTAACCATTCGGCTACTCAACACCCCAGATAATGGAGTGATCACAAGAATAAACGGAAAAAAATATAACATCTAATTCTATTTAAATATTGAAATTATAAGCTTCTATTTTTACACTCATTTCGCATAAGGATTCAACTTGAGAATTTAATCATGGAGAAAAATATGATGATTTCTCAAATTGAACACGTTTACCGTATTTTCACGTAAAAGCATTTTTACCTTGTGAACATGTTGAACCTTGTTGACATGGTTGACTAGCACATTCATTTATGTCTTCATCACATTGAGTACCATTATATCCCACAGCACACTCACACTGAAATATACCTGGTCGTGGTTGTTTACATGTTCCACCTGCAAATATATTAATACAAATAATTAACGTCGAGTTACAAGACAACCAAAATACACCCAGCATTAACAGAGACAACAACTCTCCGTAAAATGTGACCAGCACTGACACCACATAAAAGTGTTATACTGACAATTTGCGAACGCCGATGTTGGAAAAATGGAAAGCTGTAGATGGCATTTCCAGCTAGTTCGGGACCTGCAACCCCTAAATTAATTGAGACCATGCCAGAATCGGGGGTGGGGGGACGGGGACGTACCCTCCAGGATCCGCGCCTGATTGAGTTCACCAGCTTTCGGCTACAGAGTAACCACGGTTTTAACCAAACATAAATTGTTTCCCGAAAGATGATCAATATGTAACCTACACGAATATGTGATTAATTATTTGAATGTTTAAATTTTTACCGTTTCTGCATGGTAATGACATACATTCATCGACATCATCCTCACAGTTTTTTCCTGTAAAACCTTGTGGACAGATACAGTTATAGGTTCCTGGTTGATTTTGTATGCATTGGCCACCATTCCTACAAGGTCGTCTACCACAAAAATCAGTTTCACCATCACAAGTTGCTCCATCAAAGCCTGCCACACACCTGCAGACAAACTCACCAGGCCTGTTACCTTCAGTACATGAGCCGCCATTACTACATGGGTTAGTAGCACATTCGTCAATATCAGCATCACAGGTAGTACCAGTAAATCCTACTGCACAACTACACGTAAATTCACCTAAACATTATAAGAAAAAAAACACGTCAGCAAAACAAACATCTATTCCTTACAAAAGCCACCAGGTGTATTTAATGGGGTATCAGGGTATAAGAGATATTCGGGCCAGAAAAAAAGATAATTTTCAAATGCGAAATCTGAAACGCACATTTGCCAGTTCATTACTGAGATATAGACGTATGATTTAATATTTGAGTCGTACAAATTACAGTATATCGGTCTAGAGCCTTTTAAGGAGTTCGGCGGACGCTGATACAAAATGAATTTCTCTGAAGTAGGCACAAGTTGGGATTTAGGGTTATTTTGAATAATATGATAGGTTTCTTGTAGAAGGTAACATTCTTCTTTAAACAATTTGTTGATACTACTTTATCGTTCATATAAATGTTCTGTGAATTTGTTTGAATACTATACTGAAAATATAGGATTAGTTTTATCATAGCGAATATTTGAAAACGTAATAATGTACCTGGTTGGCCTTCCTTACAAGTGGCGCCATTCCGACATGGTTGATTTTCAGCACATTCATCAATATCTTCATCACATCGCTGACCTCTAAAACCACGAGCACAATTACACTCAAACCTTCCTGGTGCCGTGTTTTTACAGGTACCGCCGTTCATACAGGGAGCTGACTTGCATTCGTTTACTTGGTTATTACAAGTAAGTCCTTCATATCCCTCTGGACAGTCACATTTATACAATCCTCTACCACTCTCAGAACAGACTCCACCGTTTTCGCAAGGGTTGGGAAAACATTCATCAATGTCTAATTCACAAACCGATCCTTGTAATCCCACGGGGCATCGACAAATAAACTCCCCCGGTACTCCCTCCAGACACGTACCACCGTTTGAACACGGATTTGGATCACACTCGTTAATATCTTCTCTACAGTCCGTTCCTGAAACGGAAAGTATACTAATGTAAACGAAATAGACCTCTTTGATCTGTCTAAAACTATATACGTGTCGATTTAACATAGAGCTAATGTTGAAATATAGCTGATTTTGTGTTCCACTTTCGCCGTTTAAACCAAAAACGAAACTTTAATTAGTAAACAATCTGACTTCCGTTTATTATTTCAAAACGAAAATGTAATTGTTTAGATTTTGTTCCATCCCCAATCAAAACAGCACATCAGATTAACCCAATTAAACAATTTCTTTTTTACCTAAAAATACCAAACCCATTCAAACCTACCAGGTGTGGCATTACTAAAACACATAAAGTCGACGTCAGTTCTTGTTTAAGAAAGTCTAATCAAAGTATTTGTTCCCTTGTGTCGCTTCTTCGATGTGCATTCATATTGTAATCAGTACTGATTAGAACTATACTTTAAAAGTAGACAATCTGATTAAAATACAGATCTATATTTCGTTTCGTTTTTTTTATACTTTCGATGGCCTACACTACATGAAGATCTGACAAGATATAGCGATAGGTCACGTCAGGAGTCAAAAGACCGACTTATGGCCCTATGACGTCAGACATTTGATTAACCAATCAACATTGATGTTACTAGTGGATTACCCACAGTTCCGTGAAAAACACACCTAAAGCTCGCCGTAACAGACCGTTTCATTGGCTTATCCCTGACACCATTCAGAAAACGAGTTAAATAACAACTCTTCCAGATCCAAGTGTAGTAAAGACAAGTAAAGCGAATTTTGAACTATAAAAACGAAACGAAATAGGATTTGTGTTTTAACCAGATTGAAAAGTAGACTGACCTGTAAAACCTTTAGGACATGTACAGGTATAATTTCCTGGTGGACCTTGCGCACATATTCCACCATTCCAACATGGACTCAACAACGTACATTCATCAATATTTACTTCACATCTTCTGCCAGTAAAACCCACTGCACAATCACATTTATAAGATCCAGCTCGTTTCTCATTACAGGTAGCATTATTCTGACACGGCGAACTGGCACATTCTTCAATATCTGTTAAACAAACGGAGTAGAAATGCCATTCCGATGATTGTGTTTTAAATAATTTGAAGGCAAATGTGTTAGAATAATCGTGTATTCTATCTAAATAAGCTACAAAAATCAATATTCATTGACGATTTCGATGGCCAACATTATCAAAATCGTTATGTCACCTCCAGTCAATGGAAGCTAAACCCATGGTATGTACAAGTGTGCGCTTTTCCAAAAACTGGACCAAGAGGCAGAAATAAGATCTTCTTTGGAATTTTCTATTATGATTAAAATCTACCATGCGTCACCGACTGGATACCTTCTGTTGGTAATAGATAATTCAAATTAACATCATAATTTCGACCAAATCTAGACGGCAACTCCCACCACTGCGCGATATCCTAAGATTATTACGGCCGTGTGGTTAACCGAGTAATTAAAACTAAACAACATTAAAATGGAACAAAGTATTACTAATGCAAAGATTTCAGAAAGAGAAAGAAGGGGGTTTAATGTTCACTCGATACAACCTAGGTCATTTTATCCCAACACATGGAACAACTTTATTTGAATAGTTCGCTTGCGACCCTATTCCTGTCACGTTCAAGCTTGGGATAAAATCCACGCCACATGATTTAATGACAGTCTCAAGCGCAAACGTTAGACCCCCCCCCCCCCCTCCCGGACTGTAGATACTTTAAACACTTACCGACATCGCACAATGGTCCTGTGAAACCTAAATTACAGGCACATGTAAAAGAACCAATATCATCAATACAAATTCCATTCTGACAGGGAAAACTGGCGCAATCATCAATACCTGAAAATAGTATTAGCATAAATCATTATTATTATTGTCGTTACAGATTGATAATATTTCATACGGTACGCGTTAATAACGGTGGCCTTAAATATATAAGGTAAACGACAAAATGTGAAGAATAGTCAGAATTTCAGCACAAAATATTGAAGGAATTTGGGGACCTGTCGCCAACCTGAAAGTTCGTATTTTTGCGGAAAGTGTTAAAAATTTCGACCACACAAAATAAACTCATTTGATTCATTAAGATAATATAATATACCTGGGACGTCTTCTTCCAAATTGTCTGTCAGTCTATACTGGATGTACATAATTAACTAAAGCAAAGACCAGTATCAACGGAGATTCAGACGTCGAGTCTTTAAATGCGAGAGAGTTACAAAGTAGTATATTATTTACCTCTGTCACAGGTTTCACCTGTATAATAAGGATTACAATCACAGGTAAATTCACTATCCTTTATCCACGTACACGTGGCACCATTTTTACACGGAGCATCTCTGCAAGGATCTGAAAAATAAACATTTTCAAAACCACTTATTTTTACTTTACATGACTGTAAGTTGTGGAGATTTAAATTTTATATTGGCTTTCACACCGACATCTTTTTCTGTACAGAGAAATAGTAAATCTACTGTCTTTTTCGTTGACGCCAGTTAATTCTTCATTCATTTTCTTTTCTGATCGGGTGTGCGTACTTACATTACAACTATCTATACAATTAAACAGTACATATTTGATGTATCTGAACGATCTGACAAAACTTTACCAAATAACCCCCCCCCCCCCCATTCAATATATTATGTTTCTTAAATACAAAAGGGGAAAGGAAAATAATTACTGTCAGATTCTGCACGTTTTCGTCTGTGATGTGCTTCTTCTTCTTCTCTCCAACCTCCAAATACACTTGAACTATTGCCATTGTCAACTTCATTATACATAAATGGGATGGCTGAAAACAAATATTTCAAAATGGCTTAACTAGGAATTCACAATCTCTTCATTTCGAGTAGTATTAGCTGCTTAAAGTATCATTTGAACTGTGTAGTCCCATACCTTCAAACATTTACTGAATACCTATCTGATTAAAATCGTATACTTGTAAACACGCTTACTTTCATTTTATATTCCGCATTTTATATGTTACAATACTCTGTTTAACATAACATAATAACATTTTTGATCAATGTGTCGTGTTCTTATTTGTGTGTCGAAAACAGCCAATGGGGACGCAGTTCTTACAATCTCACATAGACACCACTAAGTGCAATTAATTGACGTCATTTATAATGTAGAAAGTCATACCCATGAAAACAAACAAAGCTACTATTTTATTAGACTGACTGAATACAACCCTCCATTTGTGATTTCAGTTGATGTTTAAAGGACAATATTGGTGTCAGTCATTATCACATATGTGATAGAACACGTTCCAAATATAATTTTTACACAGAGATCATTGCTACGATAGATGCGTAATAAAGGTTTCAACAATCGGAAGTGACGAACGCAAAAAAAAAAAAAAAAGAATTATTGACTGTCAAGTGGAAAGTCATAATAATAATGACTACCTATATCACAATATCTTCCAGTCCATCCGGAATTACAGGCAATCTTTCCATTTTTATCACAATGGATGTGTTTTCTTCTGTCACCAAAAGTAGAACAATATTTGGAACAATCAGGGCCATAATAACGTCCACTGCAATCAATCTATATTACAAATAAAACAATAACAAATTAAACAATAGCATTAAATGTATCTGATTACGTTTTCCTTGCCACCATGGGCTTTTGTAGCATTTAGATAAGCTTACCAAACCTTGAATGCGTTTCGATATCACCCCTTAAGATTATTAGTATCTTCCTTACATAAAATAATGTTTGTTTGTGGGTACGTGAGTTCGCCAGGGGCTAAGTGAGAGAACGCAGTGCGTCATGGTTTTGAGTTTTTGCGCCCTCCTTGAGTTTTTGCACCCCCTCGCACATGGCAAAAATCACGCGGTTTCAATGCGGTTTCAACAGTATAATCATAATCATAATGCTTTTAAGTTAAAACCAGTATCAAACATATACCGTGGGTCAGATATGCTACTAATAGACTCTAGCATGTTCCACACAGCCCAATATTACTCGGCGGCACTGGGGGGCTCGGGCGGGATTTTGTTCCTCATGCAAAATCATGGGTCACCATGCCCCTAGAGTTCGCTTAAAGAAACAAACGGTTGTACTTATACAATTTTAAAAAAAAATAACGTCATAATACCTATTACAAGGAATTTAATGGCACTTGGTCACTATTTAATCGCGAAATTAATGATTATTGCGTTAGGACATAACATACTTTTCTAGACTGACCCATTACCTTCAGAAAAACTCTTCATTTTTCTGGCAAACTCTCAACTCAAAATGAAAACAGGACGCCAGGTAATGGAGATAATCAATACATTAATACAAAATATGTCTGTGTTTCACAATAACCACGTCTTTTGTGGCAGAGTCTAGAATTCATATTATTCTTGTCGAATAGTTGAATTAAACTGGTCATCATCGACAGTACATATTTGATGTATCAAATGAGATGAAGGTGGGATATTGGAAACCCTTGTCTACTATATTCTTCCAGCTTACCTTCATATAAACGGGGGCTAGGCTGCTTTCAAAAGAAACTTCAGACTGTATTTTAGTATCGTGAATATTAACTGGATACCAGTGCTGATAGTTACTCATTTCTTCATCAAATTCTATAATATAACTTAACAACTGTATTGGATCTTCGCTGGTATCTTGGTGTAATACTTCTATTTTGATAGATATGGGCTAAAATGCAAAATATATTATGTTCTCGTCAGTGGCTGAAATTATCAATGCTAAAAGGCGCCTTTTTCTGGTCTTTTGATGTTATCTCGAAGATGCGAACTTTTATTTTGAGAAAATTTCTTACATATGCCATAACAAACATGTCCTGATCCGAAGCATCCTCGTTTCACAACTGCCTGCACAACTTCACTTATAGTTATCTGAAAACTGAAATAATTTACTCCCAATTCTTTGTTCTTTTATGTCCAATTTAGGGGACATTGTTGACTTGGGTTTTTGTACAAGATTCTGCCTTGGCCTCAGTGATATATATCAGTAATGCGTCAAATTATCTATGATCATATGGTAGACCAAACAGCTCTTTATTCAGCGTTCTCAATCATTATTTCTTCATTTGTTCATCTAATTAAATTCTTATTTCTTCATCTACAAAATTATCAGTACATTGTTTAAAAGTATAATTATATAAAGAGTTTAATAATTATTATATACAGCTTTAAATTACAAGGAAGAGTTATATTATCAAAGAACCGTATCGTACAGCTACTGATTTATCCTTTGGTTGACCCTTTATACAGCCCGCCACTAGCATCCTCTGTCGTCATAATATTCAGGTTAGATGAATTTGTAGAAATGTTTTTGACAATGTTTTGCAAAATTGGTATTTGGAGATTTGTATTTGGAAATCTATTGTTTGAAATTAGTTTTTAGTTATATGTTTCTGATGAAAGGTAAATGTAATTTTTTGATTTTCTAAAATAAATTTTATCATTATATTAAGATACAATTAAGTTAAACAAAAATACAATTTACAAATTTGATATAACTTAATGTCTGATTTGTATGACAAATGTCTGACTTGTATAACAAATTTCAGATTTGTATAATAAATGTCAGATTTGTAAAACAAATATTGATTTTAAGATACAAAATAATGTTGATTTTAAGATACAAAATAATGTTGATTTTAAGATACAGATGTTCATTTTGGTATACAAATGTTGAAATGAGTTTCTACTATTCAAAAACAAAAGAAAGTTCATTAGAGTCATAAAACTGTCTAATTACTAACATTAAGCTGTTTTGTTGTCGAACCAACCTAAAAATTCTTTAAAATAAGACAGAATACCTAAGAAAAAAAATGAAATACATTATCCTAACAGCCAAAATCAAGTATGATCTCTGGCAGGTATGAGAATTGAAAGGCCTCCTTAATATATTGATTATATTTATTGACTGGAATCAGCATTTCGTAATATGTTGTCTCTAGGACTACAACCGTAACAATCAGCAGTGAAACCTGCACATGGCGATATCACTTAAAACTTGAACATATTTGTGCTAAAAGTCAAACTTGTAATAAAGTGTCAGAATTTATGCGCAGGCGTTTTGTTCATTCCATCATGGGATTCATACATTACATCCGAACCTCATTTTATGTTGATTAAAACTAAACATGCATTAAGTTTATACATACTTACTCTAAATCTACCACGTATAGCAATAATACCCCCGCCAGTAGGTGTATCTTGTAACCTTCCTGAAATATTATAATTACAAAAATATAAATCTTAGGCGGACATGCTTTTTAGTGAAAGAAAGTCTCTGTGGAATATCTCAATGCAGACAGTTTGCATTATTAAGATGGCAACAATGCATTATATTAATGACGATTGTGGTGGGGGTCAAGACGACAAGGATCGAGATGGCAATAGCGATTTGTCTTGAGGAGGGAAGGGATGATGAAAATGAGACAAAGATTGTTTATGAGAATTTGGATGAGGAGGTAATGATTAAGAGACTTGGCAGCTGATCGTAATGATGGTGATGATGATGACGCTGACGACAATGACAATGATGTATTGTTGTGATTGTATCACTTTGCATGGTCTTATGGTTAAAATTGGGCCAATAATAAAAAGTATCAGTATTGAAGTTACGGCAAAGAAAATTAGGTTGGTATAGTTATGGATAGGAAGGCTGAACTATTATTGAAGATAAGGTTGTTGTGATGATGAGTAATTTGGTTGGGATTATTATAATGAGAAATCTGTATGTTTTTTGACAAATGGGTTTTGATGATAGTTCGGTGAATGGTAGAGATATAAAAAATTAAATATACTTGGGTTTTTCTTTCGTTTTTGTTTTTGGCATTTGTGATAATACCATGTATCGTATTGTATTTATTTTAGTTTGATGTCCCTGACCGTAGACTATGACGTCAAGTCTGAGATTTTTGAAAAATCGTCTCTTTAAGAATCACAGTAGTTGTATATTGTATTTAGTGGCTTTAAAATACAGGTCCTTGTCTTAATATCACGTTTTGTTCTTGATGAAAAAACGTATAAGTCGGACAAGGAATTATGTGATAATCTGGTGTTTAGTAACTGTCTCAATGTCAGTAGTTCGTAAAGACAAACAAGCTTTACTGCTGGGGTTAATTACACTAGAAGTAATTAACACTGGGCTACCAGACACCGCGTGTCGTTGGTACGATAGTTTACCACAAGTACACATTGTTAAAGACTTAAATTGGAACACTGATTTATCCTATAACACTTCTTTATATCTATATAAAAAATATTCCTAATTTAGGTATAATCTCTGATTATGGCATAATACACGTGTACTAGAATTCAAATTATACGTGATTTTAGAGTCATCATTGTTATGGTGTACACTGAGTTATGCAAGCTGAAATCATTTCTCCTTTACTATAGAATTTTAAAGACTTTGCTTTAAAAAAAAATTAGATTGATGATTTTACGGTTTCAACGCCAAAACAATGTTGAAAAGAGAAATCAGTCGAATCACTGTCCCCTTTTTTATGGATTTATAAAAATAGCCTGTTTTTTGTGTCAAATGTGTTTGTTATTTGGCCAGACTGTTAAATGTTTATAGACATAGCTGTGGTTTAACCTTTTTAAAACATTAAAATGTTTGTATTTGTAAATCAATAAAGAGATTGAAATACTTGATACCCTAGTTTTACGGTTTACTCCTATTGATCTAAAACCACATTACGTCAACTAAATCACAAACAGGTAACCGTCTCCATTAGCCCGGTAGGTTCAGAAAGGTAGGGGATTAAACCCAGTTCCATTCATACAAACAGCTATAATATAATGTTCATGATAATTTGTTGATATGCATTTTCGTTCAAATATCGATTATCTTTAATACTAGCATACAGATTACATATTAGTAATTCACTTAGAAAGTGGTCTTGAAAAATATGAGTTTATGTTATGTCATATTACGAAGGACCATAGCAACAAAAGCTAACGCTTAATTCGATGGACTTTCATAAATGGTCATATTATCGGGGAAATGTGATATTTCTATACGTTTTAAAATATGCTATAGAAAAGATGGTTATATCCGGTAAATTTTAGTAGTATAGTATTGGTGTAATCTAGTCTACATGTATATATGGTACTATTGTACAGGTAAACATTGGTGTAAATTAACTAACACATTTTAACACCTGCCAGTTACAAAATACCACCACATCACGCCCTCGATCTACTGACTTTTAAGACTGAAAGTCACGTTTTATAACCATGTTTGAAGACGTACCTTGAGCCTACAGTCAACATTTCACCCCCATTCCTAAACTCATCTTCAATTTTACTCAATTCTAACTCTCTTGTATCTAACACATGTTAATGTTGGTCGAAATAATCAATGTTTTTATGATATACCTTAATTTTCTAAATTTTGAAACCTGTAATAAATGACCCAAATTAGTCATGAAGTACTACAGTATAAGCCAAGGGTCAAATTGCCATCCCCTTTCCTAAATTCAGCATTAGAGTTACAACCTCTTCCTGTTGTAAAGTCAGTAAATATTGGTTAGAATTACCCGCTATTCTACAATGCCAAAATATATACGTTTCGAAATTTGAGAAATATGCCTTTAGATTTTGCATGGAATGTGGAAAATAATCCATGTAATAGCAGCACAATACTCAGCAAAACATGGTACATACTATCCGCAGAGTCAAAGTGAATCATGAAAAAGACCGTTACAGTTACAAATAGTGCCAAAATGTCTGGATTTAAGGCAGATTATGTCAAGTTTGAATGCAGATATGATTCGTTTTAAGCTATGGACTCGGCCCCTTCAAACTTCCATAAGTATTTTATATTAGTAACCCCCCCCCCCCCCAAAAAAACAAAACAAAAAAAACCCCTAAAATAACATGAAGTATTAATGTTTGTTAATATATATAATTGTCTATGATGTAAAAATTCATGGAGATAGGGCAAGGTTTCTCCCTATCAAACGTAACATTGCGCTTTTAGAATCAGGCATGTTAACGGTGGTAGGGTGGTGGGGTTACTATTTAATCTGTTTGACACGGATGTGTATGTAACTATTTGAGAACTGAAGGCGAGGTTCGTTAAGTATTCTAATCTGTACATTTCGTTAGATTGTATGGTGACCTCCTTGTTATTCACAAGGATGGTTGTGTAAGGTCTTTCAACTAGGCTAAACTACAGTTTTCAATTAAGTTAGTTGTTTGAAAAACGATCTCTGGAGACTTCAAACATTATTACAGCAGTGAATGTACAACATTTCTGTATAACTGTTCAGTTACTTCCTTGAAACAAACAATCGCTGCTATTTTAATGGGAATTCGACATTAAAGAAAACAACGAATTCAATCGACAGTCTTCTAAAACCAACACATTAATAACCCATTCACTTTCTTGTGGGATTAGATAAAACAAAGGCCAGATGTTACTTCATATATATTTTGTTCACTTTTGAATATATTTTAGACTACAAAATGCACATCATATTTTCATATATTGAGATATATACAGCAATATTTGTAACATAAATATTGCTACATATAGCAATAATATATAACCGGACGGACATGCTTACAAAGAAGAACACAAAACCCTTTTAATCCTTCATAGAACACAATATTAAAACCATACCTTCTGTTGACAAATATTTAGATCCATATGAACACACTTCCTTTGTCTTTGGTGCATCGTCTGTTTCTTTAGCATCAACACATATATACAGAAGTCCCGAACATCTGCCAGATTCACAAGCTACAGTTTGATTCAGATTTAAACGGGATCGTCTGAAATTCGTTGTGTCTATAGACACTATAAAATCTGCTAAACCCACCATACATTGCTGTTAGAACAATAAAAGAGGGAATATTTTACAGTATTTTGGTAATAAATTACAGTAATAAAATGTATTCAAAACCAATATACCGGTCGGAAATTTTGACTTTTTCGGGGGTACATTGTTTCTCAAATATTAAATTATTGTCAATTTTTGAAGCTTAATAAATCCGCATTGCTAATACAGCATGAGCTCACAATCCAAAAACACCCAGCCCCTATCCCTAAAACAAACGCTTAACTCATTGATAAAAACTATTTAATTTAAACCATTAAATTAGTATACTTTATATGCTTCGTGAGCTTATCGCAATTCTATAATTTAAAATGTTTTTCAATAATATATTATTATAGAGTGTACAATTATTTTCTGATAAGGGGTAGGGTTTTCTCCGAGTCTCCGGTTTCCTCCCACTGCTAAAGACCCCTAAACGCAAGCGAATTGTTGAAATGACCTAGTTTGTGTCGAGTGGACGTTAAACCCCATTCCCCCCTCTCTCTCTCTCCTCTACACTTGGAAAACATATATGTTTATCATATAAAAAATATTAAAGAGGGTGAAAAAGAAAAGAAAATTGAAAAAAAAAATCCATTGGGACCACAATTTGTTAAAATGTCTAGTTTGGTGAATCATAAGACTTTAATGTTTTTAATTGAAAATTAAACCCTTTAATTGAAAATAGGCTTTAAACGAAAATCATTATTTAGGAGAAAAATCAAAAACGTGAAAATGTCAACATACCTGATAGAAAACAAAAATAATTAAACAAGAAACGAATTGAGACATATTGAAATGTTCTTGAACGCTGAAATCGAAAAACAAAAATCCAAATTGCACAAAACACTATAACGAGATCCTAAAAGATGAATATTTTACTTGTAAAACACCATGTCTCAAATTGTTGGTCGAGATAAATTCTCTGAACTTCTTGCTGAAAGTGTCGTGAAAGTTTGAGTTAATTTTAGTAGGTATTTAACGTGTGCTTGCTTAAGGATTGGGTCTCTCTCTAGCCGCCCAAAATGTCAACACTGACGATGGCGAATCTGGGCAAACTCCAAACCATAGACACCTCAATACTTTAGTCGATCTCCTTCGCACATAGAACTAGTCTGTCCTATTACGATTGGTAGAAGTTTCTTCAATAGTATATTGGTAGTTTCTAAACGTTAATAGCCAGCGCATCGAAGTTCGTGACTAATGAAGTTTTAAGAAACATGTCACCGCACCTTGAAAAACGTTTTCCTCACCGTTGACGAGTAAACAGTAACGAGTTTGTATTTTGGAAAACGTTTATCACCTTAATGTCTATAAACGGTTAGTGGGAATTAAATCGGTAATAACAGATTATACAAAACTAAACATTTTATCTAACAAGCTTGCATTGCAGCACATTCATCATGACAAATACATTATAAGACAATATCCATAATTTCTTCACAGAGTTGTACTACAACTATACTTTGTACCATCATTTTTAAAAAAAAATATTCGTATAAACATATAATATGAAGATTAGATTTCAGATGAAAATCACATATTTATTTTACAACCACAGTGTACAATATTCTAGATTAAATAGAGTTATTAACCTTCATTTCATTTCTAGGGTAAGCAAGGGGATCCCATCTTCTTGTATTGAAACGATTTCGGTATTTTTTATGCGAAAATAAATCTCTTTTGAAAATTTGCATGTTTTGAAGTTACAAGAAACCTAAGGAAACTGCACCCTTTTTTAGGCCGCAAAATTTATTAATGTCCCTATGTGCCATTTTAAGGAATGGAAATCACTCGCAACTACATTATTGTGGTCGGATGGCCGAAATCTAAATGGATATGAACACTCGCGAGATTTTGAGATAAAATGGATAATCGAGACTTGTCAAGTACCGTTGGTATACGACAATAAACAATATGCGCAACATCTTCAAAAAGTCATAACATCGCCCAGAATAAAGTAATTTGAATGAAATCTTCAATATATTAAGTTTTCATTATCTACTTTTGAATTATTAGAGCAGGAACGCCAGATTTTTTATCTAAATCTTACATAATTCATCTTTAAGTAAGTTAACAAAATAATTTAGAGGTAGGAACCTTAACGTCAAGCAACGTCCTCGTTATCCTAGTTTCCGCAAAGTTTTCGACATGTATTTCTTTTGTTTTATTTTTATTCGAAGCGTGAACGTGATCAACACTTTTTCCAAAATTTCGACACAAAATATCCAGTTATTTCTGTTTCAGTTTTCAAATTTGAACAAGGAGTTAAACAAACGTCTCCATATTGTCATTGATTATTAACTTCTGACACTCTGTTATACTGACTCCTATCATCAAAAACTGGAATAGAGAGAGAGAGAGAAATGGGGTTTAACGTCCACTCAACACAAACTAGGTCATTTCGGGACTAACATATGGTTTAATTTTATTTCAATAATTCGCTTGCACGTGGGGGTCTTTAGCAGTGGGGGGAAACCGGAGGACCCGGAGAAAACCCACGAGGTTGGACAGGCGACCCTACTCCTTGTCACGTACAACCGGGGATTCGAAATCACGCCAGTTAACTCAATGACAGGCCTTATGATACAGCGCGCAGCGCGCACGTGCTAACCATTCGGCCATCCACCCCCCCCCCCCCCCCCCCAAAAAAAAGGAATTTAATGCCGACGACTATCCATATACATACCGTTCCCGAATTAATCAATATTGGCATGTCTTCCAGTTATCGTGACGATTGAGTACAATTCACTGCGGATCCTGCCATTCCGACACGGGGTACAACAACTAGAAAGCGGTCCTATAAGACTTATTTATGTGGTTTTGCAACCGAAATCCCATTATATGCCCACTCGAATTTCAGGGAGGGCGTGGGGAACGGAAAAAAATTAGATGAAAATTTAGCTGATGAGCTACATGGCTATAATAGTTTAAAATAGATAATTACAAATGAATATTGAAAATTTTAGTCAAGTTACTTTATTCTGAGCGAAGTTATGAATGTTTGAAGTTTTGACAAGAATAGCATTGTCTTCATTGTCCTTGCTACAGTATTAATCGAAGTCACGATTTTGCATTTTAGCGTTAATCGATTAAATGGCGCGTATGTTCAAATCCGATCAATATCACAGCATCCGATGTCCTAGAGAGTTGATTATAAATGGGCTTGGAATGTCAATAAAATAGCCTTATTTATGTGGTTTTGCAACTAACAATCCCCCACCCCCACCACTGAATTCCAATTAATCAAACTGTTACATCAAGGTTCACCGGACAACCGAAAAAATGATGAAAGTAGAAAAAATGTCGCGCATATAAAGCAGAGTGACTACTGATTATTTTTAAATTATGATCAATTTCCGAAAGATTGATGAAACAAATAATGATCGATGTCCGAAAAATGTTTAAATCCATAACCAGATCAGTGCAATTTCGCTGTATTCAAGTATAAAAGAAATTTAACGGATGTAAAATAAAAGGACAAAAGATGCAAAAGGGAAATCCCAAATTGTGCATTTTAATACTTCAATTCTATTTATATTATGAGTCGCGTTTTATTGGCCATCCCATGCACATGACTCCATAGTTTAATAACGATTTATCAATGCACTGGATAATTTAGTCTATGTGGATATTTCTGTAGCTGGTCTATTACAATAGGACACCGAAATCTTATGAGTCGCACCTTTTCAGTTTCCTGGACATTGGCAAACACTTGGATACACAGTGTCATTTCTAAATGAGTGGGCATGATACAGAAGCTATTCAGTATGCTTGAAACGTCTTATGGGCTTATACGATTAGGAGAAATCGTGATGCGCTAATTCGGGGTAACAATTCCTACACTCGCACGAATAAACATCGTCACCGCTCATGGCTTTTAATATAGAAAGTAACGGAGCTCCAGTTAATTTTTACACACAGTACTCTGGCGAAGAATCTCCTGGTGTAACCGTTGCTGTTGAACGATGTCCTTTGTGTAAATGTTCAGTGCGTCCGTATTATTGTCACATTTGTGTTACTGATGGTTGTTTTCAGCATTCTATTAACGATAAAAGGTCAATATTTTAACTCATTCATTCAATCGTCATTTGTTTATTTTTAGGCATGGAATTTAGCCTCGCCTAATAATATCAATAATTATTAGTAGACCTACTGTCTCTAATATGTAAAAAGAAGAGTCCTACGGGTATTGTGTTTCTAAAACATTGGTATTTTTTTATGTGTATTGTACAGTATCATGATGTGCATTGTATGTATTTTGACAACTTTATTTGTAAACTTGACTGCAAGCGCATCTCAAATGTGGGAACAAGGGTAGCTCAGTGTTTAAGGCGCTGGAAATTCAAGAGTTTCTAGAATCAATGTTGGCCCAGACAGTTCTTGGGATTACAAGACACTGATATCAATTTCATACAGATCAGATGATAACTTTTGTTTTCAGAGCATTCACAAGGTTCAATAAAGTGAAACAAGGGTCATAGCTTTACATAGCTTTAGAAGTTATACAGAAATTGTTGAAATTCTATAGGCTTCTTCATTGTACTAATCACAATAATGCATATGAATTTAATAGATCATATGAATAATAACTTTTGTGATCACAAGGTCAAAATTCTAAAAGTTAAAACAGAAATTGTTGAAATTCAATAGGATTTATCGTTTTACTAATTTGAATAATGATAAATTTAATACAGACTTGCATTCACCAGGTTCTACGAAGTGAAACAAGGACCCTAACTCTAGAACCAGTCAATGAAAATTGTTGAAATTAAATAAACTTCTTCGTCTCACTAATATAAACAACATATATAAATTTCAAAAAGATCAGATAATAAATGTAGTCTGTAGAGTGTTCACAAGAAAGTGTGGTTGACGAACGGAGGTAAAGGCCATAATATGAACACATTTCCATGTGGATGAATAAAAAGGTTCTGTGGACACTGTACAGGTTGTCAGAAATGCAGCTGTTTGTCAAAATTTTCGTCATAGCACACTGCACGGTGGTTTCATGCCAATTTCGTTTCATGATAATATTATAAAAAAATGGTATGCAAATCTTTATCTTTTAATGACAATGACTTGAGAATGACAATGCTACCGCAGTATTTCACTCCTCTGCACAAGGTTAGGGTACGGCTTAGCTATTAGGAAATTTTGGTAGACAGATTTCAAATTGCTTCAACTTCAACAAATACAGATATGTAAACCAACATGTATATCATCCGAAACCTCCTCACCCTGACTATTAAAGATAGGTTGCCAGGCAATGAAACATACGTCCACAGCAGCTAAAATGTCTGAGCGGTCAACAAGGGTTGTTGCATATTTAATCTTTTGTAGATAATGGGGGGCATTTACAAGACAATTTCATACAGATCAGATTATAATTTTCGTCCTTTAAGGGTTCACAAAGTGCTACAAACTGAAACAAGGGCCTTAACTCTGGAAGTAATTTACAAAAACTGTTGCAATCCGACAGCATTTTTCGTTTTACTAATTTAAATAATGAATATAAATTTCATAGAGATCAGATGATGAATTGTCATTCGAGCATTCACATTGTTCAACAAAGTAAAACAAGGTTCATAACCCGAGAAGTAATTATTGGAAATTGCTGAAAGTCAGTCTTCTTTGTTTCACTAATTTAAATGATGCATAGAATATAAATTTCATACAGATCAGACGATATCTTTCATCATTCCAGCGTTCACAAGGTTCTGCAACGTTAAACAAGGGGGATAAATCTAAAAGTAATTATTGGAAATTGCTGAAATTCAATAGGCTTCTTTGTTTTACTAATTTACATGATGAGTATGAATTTCATTCATACAGATCAGATGATAACTGTTGTCGTCCGAGCGTTCACAAAGTGCAACTGTGATGCAAAGGTCATAACTCCAGAAAAAATTATGGAAATTGCCGAAATTCAATAGGATTCTTTGTTTCACTAATTTATATAATGCATAAAAATTTCATACAGATCAGATGATAACTTTCGTCATTTGAGCATTCACAAAGTTCAATAAAGTGAAACAAGGGCCATAACTCTAGACATAATTAATTGAAATTGCTGAAATTCAATAGGCATCTTGGTTTCACTAATTTAAATAATTCATATAAATTTCATACAGATCATAGGGTCATAACTCCAGAAGAAATTAAAGGAAATTGCTGAAATTCAATAGGATTCTTTGTTTCACGTATTTCTACAATGTGAAACAAGGGCTATAACTCTAGATATAATTAATGGTAATTGCTGAAATGCAATAGGTTTCTTTGTTTCACAAATTTAAATAATGCTTATAAAATTCATACAGATCGGATGATAACTTTTAAAACTTCCACAGGGTTCTACAAAGTGAAACAAGGGACATAACTCTAGACATTAACTGAAATTCAGTAGGATTCGTTTCACTAATTCAAATAATACACAAATTTCATACAGATGATACTTTTTGTCATTAGAGCATTCACAGGGTTCAACAAAGTGAAAGTGAAACAAGAGAAATAACTTTAGACCCAATTAATGGATATTGCTGAAATTCAATAGGCTTTGCTTCACTAATCTGAATAATGCATATAAATATGATACAGATCGGATTATAACTTTTGTTGTTAGAGCGTTCACAGGGTTCGACAAAGTGAAACAAGGGCCATAAATCCAGAAGTAATTAACAGAAATTGCTGAAATTCAATAGGCTTCTTCGTTTCATTAATTTAAAGGATGCACATAAATTTCTTACAGATCGGATAATAATTTTTGTCGTTTGCAAGGTAAAATAAAATGAAACAAGGGCCATAACTCCAGAAGAAATTAACAGAAATTATTGAAATTAAATAGGCTTCTTTATCTCACTAATGTAAAATCAGCTGTGATGATAATATACGACCACATTTCCATGTGGGCGTAGAAAATGATTACAAGAATTAAATTGGCACATTCGTTCAGAGTTTGAAAAAAATTCTTCGAATAATTTTTTTGTTTTTTTAAACTTTTGTTTGATTTCTTTATTTCCAGGCTCACAAAAGATGCTTATCACCAAAAACAACAAAAATGGAAAAAAGAAAAAGAAAAAAGGATCAAATTATTGAATAAGTAAGAAAATATAAATTATTATCAAGAAAGATGTACATACCATAAGCAGATAATAACCCTGGTTTCTTCCATTTTGCCTACATGTATGTTGAATCCTTTAGGTGGGAATCAGCTCAGCACAGCATTATAATAAAGTTCTTATAAATGTGTAATAGAGGTCTCACTCTATATAATTGTGGACTCCAATATCAGTAGTGTGATGAAACTCTATTACTTATTTAATTAATGAAAAAACATGAATTAGGTTTAATTAACATTGTACTTTATTTAATTGATTTCTTCCTACGACTAGAGATACTAGCAAGAATGAATACAGATGATTTGTACAATTATTATTGGATACTAGATCGTAGTAATATGTTTGTGTCTTTCAGAGTTGAGACAGCCATTGTAGCTAAAGAAAAGAAATATGAAAAGGTACGTAAATTAAAACTCCATAAATTCAAAACTGTGTACATGTACATGTGTTTTTACACAAAGTTATTACCTTACCTAACAAAGAATTAATCAGTTCTAATACTTTGTATATTTCGCTGGCTAGTTTCAATATGCTAAGTATCTAAATCTTATGATTGTAGAATTCTGGTCAATCAAATATTTTGAAATGGGATATCATAAAATCTGTCATTGAGTCAACTTGCGTGGTTCCAATTCCCCGGTTGTACGTGACAAGGAGTAGGATCACCTGTCCAACCTTGTGGGTTTTCTCCGGGTCCTCCAATTCCTCAAACCTACTGCTAAAAGACCCCAATGTGCAAGAGAATTATTGAAATGATATTGAACCATTTGTTAGTCTCGAAATGACCTAGTTTGTGTCGAGTGGACGTTAAACCCCTTATTCTCTCTCTCTCTCTAGATGTCGATAGTGGAACACAAGATCCGTTATATTTCAACACAGCCTTTATCTATATATCTACCTTTTATATATGTTAAATTTTTGTGTTCGACAATATTATTACTATTTTATTATAATTATAGTTGAATGAAATAGAAGAATGTAAAAGAAGAATATTATTACTGAAAAATGCCATCAAAACTGTAAATAAAGAAACAGATAAAGGTAATTTTTATCTTTAAAACACCAGAAACAATAACAGATTTTCTGTATGATGAATGTTCTGTATCATTGCTGGTGACATTTACCTTGGGTAGGAGTGCACCCTCCAAAAATTGAAATGCAATAAGTTGTAAATCCATTTTTTGTATACAGTATTTAATGAATGTCACATACCGCATTCTGATAACATGTATGCTTAGTATTTTTTAGAAAAAAAAATTTATTTTTAAGTTCTGTATATGTTTGTAATAATATTTTCTTATGAAATGACAACTATTATTACTTTGGATTTAAGAAATAAAGAATTTAAAGAGACGCAATCACCCTGAACAAGAAAACAAATGTAATTAATTTTAAACAATATCAATTTCAAAATAAACATAGGACTTATCTAATTATCGAAAAAACAAGAACTGACCTACTTAGATATTTATCACCGACGGTCCAACATTTATTCTACTCCATGAAAACTACTAAACTTGTGTAACTTGTAAATTTAAAGTTAGAATGTGGATATTGTGGCGATAGCTTTTCAAATTATTCTCAAATTTGGCATGCAAATAAATTACACGTTTAATCACTGTATAGCCAAATAACAACAAATCGAAAATCTCCAAAGTGCTATGTAACTTGAAAAAGTAATACCAAGCTGGTTTCAAGGGGGAAAAAAGGTAAAAATATTTCTCATGTAATATGGTAAACTAATATATAAATAAGCTATATTATAAAAACAGTTTTGTCTCAATTTGACAGCTGAAAACCGATTAATCAAGTCCAGAGAACGGACATCACAGAGAAGGTCTAAAGGTCGACTCCATGACGATAAAGTTCAAAAGATTAAAAAATATATCATTAGTGGAGGTTTAATAAGTGAAAATAAAAGAGATGAAACTGACAAAACCATGGATATTCTACAGAATGGAAGACAGTCACACGTACAGGCACTGACTAACTATATCTTTCCTATAACTGAAACACGTCCCAGGTTGGTAAATTTTCGTGTTTTATAAACAACCCACCAAAACATCGGCAGCAGATGATCTACAAGCTTGTATTTAATCGGACTAAAAACAGGCCCATAGTTGACACTGTCTGCAGAGAATGCTAAAAACTGATATTTAAATTCATCATATCTTTGAAAATACTGAATGGATTTGAACCATTTTTGGACTGATATTCCTTGTAGTTGACACTATTGTAGTTGACGTTAAGCACCATATCAAACAATACATATTATCTTCATTGACCATTTTGTAGCCATGTAGAAACATCGATGATAAATACAATTAAAGAAGCGTGTCAAACAGCATATGTACGAGGTAAATGGCAATATACAGATTTAAGAAGTGATACACTATATAAAATACTGGAACCTACATTACCCAGCAATGGTAATTTTTCTGCCTACAACTTGTGGGGTAGGTTTTCTTATTTTTATATGTATTTTAAAAAAATGGAATTAGGATATAACACACTCACCACACAGGTCATTTCATCAGGGGCTTTTAAACTCTAAAACCAGAAAATAAGTGTTATTAATTTCATGGAATGATATTATATTTTTAAAAAAAAACCAATTACCGGTACTAAAAATCCAATAACTGGATCTTGTCATGGTTCATGATGGTCAATTGCAGTTTTGAAAACTACTGTAAACTGTAATTCATGAGACTCACATAGAATCTTTTAAAGACGGACTTACAGATCTGTCCCAAATTTTATATGCAATCTTATTTAAACATCCCTGATTTAACTGTGTAGATAAATCACAGCAAATCGAAAATTATTTTTTACCAACTGGCCAAGATTTATGAAGTTCTAATGCCATGAACAATCACTGGATCATACCAACCACTATGTGAGATGCAGATGATTCGCAGTGTAACCAGGCTTGACCCTAATGCAGCTGATACATTCAAATTGCTTCCAAATATAATGTGAATCAAAATATTTGCCTTATTTCAAAATACTGATAATTATAATATCCCTCCACTGCCATCTCCAAAGCCTGCCTTTTGGATTTTTTTTTATTGTCGTCAGTATTCTTATTGTAGTATGTTAATATTTATAGTTTCAGTAACACGAGAAAATGGTGCAGCACCTGATTCTGAATGTGGTACCAGTAATCCAGGTCATACTTTTAGGGCAGCATTATGTTATGCAACACAATTATTATCTATTTTATTACATATTCTTGATATTAATTCCCCTAGAAAACTTTGTTATAGGTAAGTTAAGTTCTTAGCCAATTGTTGTTTTTTAGCAATTTTTTTAGGATAAGTTAGTATGGACTAAAGTTGATTCCTAAGAAAAGTGCTTCCAGTATTATTGTCCCAAGACAATACAGTAATTGTTATCCATATAACTGTTGTGTTTACATGTATGTTAATTAATATTTGCTTGGGAAGTAGTTTTTGTCAAAATTACGTCATTTCTGGTGCTGACAGAAATCTTTATCGGTAATTTTCTGCTCAGGGTAAGCAGAGTGATAAGCAATTTGATTGGTCGAGACTTTGGAACACAATAACTCTCATTCTAATTGAGTTAGAATGTTCACACTTGGCATAGGTGTCCATTAGGTGAATGCCTTGATGGAGGTTGAAGATGAGAATTTTTTGCTTAGGGTAAGCAGAGATAAGCAGTTTGATTGTTTGATGCTTTGGGACACGATTAGTTCTAATTAAGTGAGAGTGAGGACACTTGGTGTATAGCTTTATTATATCAATACCTTGATTAAGTTCGATTAAGTTCGATAATGAACATTTTTTGCTGAGGGTAAGCAGAGTGATAAGCAATTTGATTGGTCGAGACTTTGGAACACAATAGCTCTCCTTCTAATTGAGGTAGAATGTTCAAACTTGGCGTAGGTGAATGTTTAAACTTGACGTAGATGTTCATTAGGTGAATGGCTTGACTGATTTCAATGATTAACAGTTCGAGCTAAAGCTAAGCAGAGCTAAGCAATTTCATTTGTCGATGGTTTGTGAGAAGATAATCTTGATTCTATCTGATAGAGTGTGATGAAACTTAGTGTAAAAAATAAATGTGCGATTAATTAATATGTGTCATCTATTTTTTTTGCAATTTCGGAGGAGGACATCACCCTCACTGTTGGCTTGTTGTTAATATTATGGCAATATTTCAGAAAACAACAACTTTGGTGATTTCGGACAATTCGCATTGTTGCAGTACGTTCGAAATAGCTTTAATCTCTTAAGTCATCATACCCACTTTTCCAGTACAACTGAAGACATCGAATTGATCCAACAAGTAGTTTCTGATATATGCTCAAGTAGAAAAATAATAAGAAGAATAATAATAATCCGAACAAAAACAATAGTGTTGCATAGTGTGAAACCCTAATTATCTAAGGAAATTTTAAAAAAACAAAAACATTAATGAATATTTCATGTAAATGAAGGATTCACATTTCACAATTCCATTAGTTGAACCCTGGGACAGATTTATTTTCTCTTAGGAAATATTACCTTTATGGAAACATCAGTTCCCTTTAAACATAAACAAAAAAATATTCTTTCGAAATCTGAGATACTAATTACATGTTCATCAGTTTTAGAGAATATATATAAATTACAGTGGAAAAATGTATTTGTTGTAACAATGATCATATTTTCAGTTGTCCACACTGCAACAATACACTTTATTTCATAATTTTTTCTTGTTATTTGTCTCAACGTACAAAAGGTTTGATAATAGGGGGCCTGTGAAAATTGGTCAACAACTTGACTCTAGAGTGAGTACAATGGGGTAATATCCAGGGTTTAACACTCCCCAATTAATTAAGTGGTTTTTATCAATGTATACTTTACAATTAGACATTTATATTACTGCATATTGTTTCAGTATTATAATTATAATAATTATTAAAGGGTTGCATTTTGTTTCTCCATCAGTATTGCGCTTGATAACGACTAGAGAATCATTGTTGAAATGTGGACGTTGCCCCCACCCGTCTGTCCGTCCACAGTTTTCTGTGAACGCTCTAAAATGAAAGTTATCATCTGATTCTTTTAAAATTGATATATGTCGTTTACATTAGTGAGATGAAGAAGCCTATTTAATTTCAATTATTTCCGTTATTACTTCTAGAGTTATGGCCCTTGTTTTACTTTGTGAACGTTTGAATGACAAAAGTTTTCTGATCTGTATGAAATTTATATGCATTTTTTTAATTAGTAAAACGAAAAAGCCTGTCAAATTTCCACAATTTCTGTAAATTACTTCCAGAGTTAAGGCCCTTGTTTCAGTTTGTAGAGCCTTGTGAACCCTCAAATGACAAAAATTATAATCTGATCTGTATCAAATTGTCTAACTATCCCCAATTACCTACAAAAGAATGAATTTGTGACAACACTTGTCGACCACTCAGACGATTTAGCTGTTGTGGACGTATGTTTCATTGCCTGGCAACCTATCTTTTTAGTTTTGATTTTGTATTTGCGCCATTTCGATTTAAAATGAGCTATTTACAACCCATTCAGACTCTTCATATTTTGAAATATTCTTTCGTAACTTTCATAATCTTGTAGCATTAATCCATGAGCAGTTGCCGAGAAATACTCAATTTTGCCCGTAAAAGAGTCAATTTATTATTGGATTTGCATAACTGTGACACCATTTGTTGCATAAAGCAAATGTGTGTTATATCAAATTGATTACAATTCAAGATTGACACTGTTGTGTTTACATACGCTCACATTGAAATGTGGTTGTATGTTTTCGTCACCCCAGAGTGTACGTCGATCCGCCCTTGATCACTTTGAAATATCTTGTGGACACTGTAGAGGCTAAAGTTAATACCCAATTGACTTTAAATTTATACGCACTGTTTAAGGTCATGAGACGAAGAAGCCAATTGATTTTCAGCGATTTCCGATAGTTACTACCAGAGTTATGGCCCTTAATCTCCTTGAAATAGGCTAAAGTTAATATCCAATTGACTTTAAATGTATACAGTGTTTTAGGTCATTTTCAACGATTTCCGATAATTACTGCCAGAGTTGTGGCCCTTGATCACTCTAGAGCAGATGTTCTCAACCTTTTTTGCCAACAGCACACCTTGGAACACAAAAAAAACAAGCCAACAGTGAGGCTGATGTCCCCCGCCGAAATCCCCAAATAAATAGATGACACATATTAATTAATCGCACATCTATTTTTTTCCAAAGTATCGAGCAATCAAACTGATTATCAACTATACACTAAGTTTCATCACTCTCTATCAGATAGAATCAAAGTTATCTTGTCCCAAAGCAGGAAATTGCTTATCTCTGCTTAGCTTTAGCTCAATATGTTAATCATTGAACTCAGTCAAGACAAACATCTACATCAAGTTTAAACATTCTACCTCAATTAGAAGAAGAGTTGTTGAACTCAGTCAAGACGAACATCTACATCAAGTTTAAACATTCCACCTCAATTAGAAGAAGAGTTTGACCAATCAAAATGCTTATCACTCCTTAGCTTAAACAGAAAATGCTCATTATCGAACTTAGTCAAGTTATTGATGTGATAAAACTATACACCAAGTTTCATCACTCTCACTTAATTGGAACTAAAGTTATCGTGTCCCAAAGCATCAACCAATCAAATTGCTTATCTTTGCTTATCCTAAGCAGAAAATGCTCATCTTCACACTCCATCAAGGCATTGACCTAATCAACACCTACACCAAGTTTGAACATTCTAGCTCAATTAGAAGGAGGGTTATTGTGTTCCAAAGTCTCAGCCAATCAAATTGCTTATCGCTCTGCTTACCCTGAGCAGAAAATGCTCATTATCGAACTTAGTCAAGGTATTGATGTAATGAAACTATACACCAAGTTTCATCTCTCTCACTTTTTTAGAACTAAAGTTATCGTGTCCCAAAGCATCAACCAATCAAACTGCTTATCTTTGCTTACCCTAAGCAGAAAATGCTTATCTTCACACTCCATCAAGGCATTGACCTAATAAACACCTACACCAAGTTTGAACATTCTAGCTCAGGGCTTGCCACGAGACGCGAGTAATTACTCGCGCGCATGCTACGCTCGCGTAAAACCAAATTTACGTGAGTGATTAAGTACTCGCGCAAATATAAAAAATAATTTAATCAGAAATAATTGAATATCGTAATATAAAAAGCCGTAAACAATTTGTATGCCTTCATATCGATGCACTATTGCGCACGCGGCGTGTCTTTCCAGTGCCAACTGTTGTTACTAACAAGGCATTGACCTAATAAACACATACACCAATTTTGAACATTCTAGCTCAATTAAAAGTTATCGTGTCCCAAAGCATCAACCAATCAAATTGCTTATCTCTGCTTACCCTAAGCGGAAAATGCCCATCTTCGAACTCCATCAAGGCATTGACCTAATCAACACATACACCAAGTTTGAACATTCTAGCCCAATTAGGAAGAGAGTTATCGTGTCCCAAAGCATCAACCAATCAAATTGCTTATCTCTGCTTACCCTAAGCGGAAAATGCTCATCTTCGAACTCCATCAAGGCATTGACCTAATAAACACATACACCAAGTTTGAACATTCTAGCTCAATTAGGAAGAGAGTTATTGTGTCCCAAAAAGTGTGAAGGACAGACGGACGGACGGACAGACAGACAGACGGACGAACCCATTTTAATAGTCCCCTGCTTTCTTCGAAAGGCGGGGGACAAAAAATAGCGCCACACCTGGCTAAATATATATGAAAAATATTTGCATTTTGCAAAATAAAAACATGGCAAGTCATAGACGGCCTACAACCGAAGACACAGACTAGTCATACACATATAGAATGACTCAAACTAAATAAAGAAAAACACAGCTATGAACTTACTCAATTGCAGTGTTACAAAATTTCATCAGTCAAATATCTGGCTTTTTTAGTGAAGCATTTTGTTAGTGTGCTGTTCAAAATTTCACGGCACCACGGTTGAGAATTGCTGATCTGGAGGCTACAGTTAATATCCAATGGACTTTAAATTTTTATGCACTGTTTAAGGTCATGAGACGAAGAATCCTATTGATTTTCAACTATTATCTTCAATTACTGCTGGAGTTATAGCCCTTGATCTTTTTGAAAAATCTTATAGAAGTTCTTTAGGCTAAAGTTAATATCTGATTGACTTTAAACTTATATACAGTGATTAAGGTCAAGAGACAAAGAATCCTATTCATTCTCAACGATTTCCGATAATTACTGCTAGAGTTAAGGCCCTTGTTCACTTTGTGGATCTAGAGGATAAAGTTAATATAAATTGTTTAAGGTCATGAGACAAACAATTGAAACAAATTCTAATATTTTCTAATAATTCTAATCAGATCTTCCGGTGTTATTTAATAAGGCTTTATAAAGGGTTATGTTCAAACTTGGTGTAGGAGTTTATTAGGTCAATGCCTTGATGGAGTTCGAAGATGAGAATTTTATGCTATGGTAAGCAGAGATAAGCAATTGGATTAGTTGATGCTTTGGGACATGATCAATTTAGTTCTAAATAAGTGAGAGTGATGAAACTTGGTGTATAGTTTCATCACATCAATACCTTGACTAAGTTTGATAATGAACATTTTCTGCTCGGGGTAAGCAGAGCGATAAGCAATTTGATTGGTCCATGCTTTGGAACACAATAACTCTCCTTCCAATTGAGGTAAAATGTTCAACCTTGGTGTAGGCATTCATTAGGTGAATGCATTGATGGAGTTCGATAATGAACATTGTCTGGTTACGGTAAGCAGAGATAACCAATTTGATTGGTTGAAGCTTTTGGGCATGATAAGTAAGAGCGATGAAACTCCAAGCATAGATTCATTATATCATTACCTTGACTAAGTTCGATGATGAGAATTTTCTGCTTAGGCTAAAGAACGATAAGAAATTTGATTGGTCAAGACTTTGGAACATAACAACTCTGCTTTTAATTGAGGTAGAATGTTTAAACTTGATGTTGATGTTCATTAGGTGAATGTCTTGACTGAGTTCAATGATTAACATTTTCCGCTAAAGCTAAGCAAAGCTAAGCAATTTCTTTGACTTTGATTCTATCTGATAGAGAGTGATGAAACTTAGTTTATAGTTGATAATCAGTTGATGGCATTTCTTTTGAAAAAGATCAGTGTGCAATTAATTAATATGTGTCATCTATTTATTTCGAGATTTCGGCGGGGGACATCAGCCTCACTGTTGGCATGTTTTGATATTTCAGTGAATTTTGTTCTGATGAGTTAACAGAGAAACAGTTAAACAGTGCCGTTAACAAGTTAAATCATAATATACTATATGTATGTTTTTCACAAGGAATTAGTATAGAAGATGTCTCACCTAAAGATACACTCCATAATCTGTATATTCTCTTACATAACTCTAATATAGGAAGGTAAGTCAAAATAGATCATAGTTGATTTTTACAAATGGATAGATTCCGCCAGCCACATTTGAAATGAATATGCATTTGAAATGAATATGACCTAGATAATTGTCACCTTGATTGACCAGAAACTGAATCTCATGCTTTTGGCCAAACCACTGTTGAGAATAGGCCTTGATCAGAATAAGGATGAAAAGCATACAAATACCATGTTTTTGCGTTCTATATTAGGGGCATTGATAGCTCACAATCTTTTGTCTAATACTTTTAGACAAATCACTATTGGTCAGAATAAAGAAGAAAAACTTAATTTCTATATTAACTTTTTGCTTTTATGAAATTTAATTTAAAAAAAGAAGCCTTCGCTATAATTAATGTAAGAAAATTAGTAGACATATTTAAAACAGAAGTATTTGACATTATCCTATAAATGTTTGTAGATGTATACCATTTGAAGTATGTGAAGAGATGATACAATCTGTAACTGATGGTAGTGTATCAGATGATAGTGAAGATGAACCAGATACATTAACAGATGATGTAGATATAGGATTGGATTGGGAATTACCCAGTGACTTTCCTGATGTAACCACCAGAGGATCTTCTAGTACCTCAACATATACCACTAACTGTTATACTCAGGCTGGTGTTAATGAGGGGGGTGGTTTACTTGCTTCTGCTACAACATCTATAGCTTCATTATGGCAGGCAGCTAGAAGTACACTTGAAAGGAGATGACATAGTAGATTCTGTCATTAACTTTTTATACAACCACATTTTATGTCGTAGTATATTGTTGCCACCCATTTACGTCTATACACGTCACAATTCCTTTAAATGCTCGATGCAGTTTTTGAGGATTTTTGACTACTAGTAATTAAAAGGATGAACCCTATTTTCAATCACTCATTGGTTTTATGTGGAGTTATTGCCCACAAAATTTTGAACTTGCTACAGGTCGAAGTTTTGAGATTTATTTTTCAAATTTGCTGGAATGGTTTGGATAGTCAGAAACAACCCTAAAAAAAATTCAGGGTCGAGCAGTCTACATTATCATCCAATCTTTTTAAGATTTATATATGTTGTTTATAGTGAGATGAAGAAATGTATTGAAATTAACAACCAAAGTTATCATCAGAGCTGTTTGCTCATTTTATAGCACATGTTTTTGGAATGACGTTATTACTTCTTTGACAGAACAACGTCCTTTGATGTCCTTGCTACCTCCCTTCACCAAGCTGCTGGTGGGTGTATTTTTATTGTCTGACAATGTTATGTTTATAGATTGTTACCATATTAAATAATGTATGGCATGACAAGGCAGGACAAGCCTTCATACGCGGCCCTTATCAGATCAAAAAATTGATATACTTACCTTTTAATATCCTTGATAATTCACAAAGATAGTTGTGAATTTTAATATTTTATGCAATTCATTTTATAAAACATTTATTGACTCATAATTATAATTAATTTCTTTATGCTCATAAAATATTTGATTAAATACTAAAAATTTCAGATGAATCAATATGAATTTTTTTTTAGAAATCTTATTAAAAAAAAATTGTTATTCAGCTGTTATAAATTAACCTGTAAATTAATGTGACTTTGTGTATTAATATGTAGATAATTAACTAAATTTATTGTTTGTGATATTTATAAGAGTACATATCTGTGATTATATTGTTGACTATCATATGATATTGCATTGTTTTTTCTGGTTACAACTAGTGTTAATAAGACAGTCCTTTAGATCTTGCCAGTTTGATGTTACACTACTTGACAACAATAGCTTTCACAGATGATTTACAAAAGCAGCTTATCATTCACACAAAACCATTTTATTACTGAATATCTGTGCGTAAAATTATGAGAATACATGCGCAAGATATGTTTCACACCATTAAACCTACATAATGCAAGAGCTAAATCTGCCAATTGCAGGTCTTTCTTTAGGCTTGAAATGTTATCTAAATTATTAATTAGACATTAATTAACTTATCCAGACGATAATCGACTCTCTATGGCATCACTAGCCTGCAATATTTACTGGATTATGATCCCATTTGCTGCTCGACTTCCATTCATATTTTTTTATTGTAGACTTTAGTAATGATGATCGAGGCTAAGACGAAATTTCAATCGCTTAATTCTTGGTTGACTGAAATTTTCAGCAAATTGCCTTTACATTATCTAGTTTTTAACTATTATAGTGAGAACTGCCAACTCTTTATCTTATCTTCCATAATGTATCTTTAATATACTGCTGCTATGATGTTTGAGGAAAGTCCTGTATGTTCTGATCTGATGATCTGTCCGTTTTGAAAGAAAGAGAGAGAAATTGGGTTTAACACCCACACAACACAAACTATGTAATTTCGGTAATAACAAGGTTCAATTTTATTTCAATAATTTGCTTGCACGTAGGGTTTTATAGATTATTTGCCCCCCCCCCCCCCCCGCCTCCTCTCCTAAATGTTCAACTCGTAATATGGCCCATTGTACACTATTACTAAGTTTTAAAAAATTCCTTTGAAAACTTTGTCTTGTAAGCAAGGGGGACTATTCTGAAATATACCATGAGTTATTCTGAATTTCATTAGGGTTTCTCCTTATTTATGACCCCAAGAACAATCCAAAAAGGTTTTTAATAATGCCATTCTAAACTTTTTTCTGTATCATGTTTATAAACTTGTATGTAATTATGTAGGCAATAGTTACACAATTTGCTATTAAAACATCTCTAACTGAGATATGGATCCTTTTAGTTTCACCAAGTTTGTCCTGTATCGCATTCACATGCTTTAATGTCTCCAATCATCATGTAAGGAATGTTGCACTGTAACCTGGATATTAATTAATCTTGTGTATTTAGCAAAGCCCCCCTGCAAAAAGTTTTGCACCCCCCTGTGAAAAAATTGTCGACCATAAAAACAATAGACATCCATTGTCCGTCAATTTTACGGCAACCCTGAGAACACTTCCCACCCCCATTGTTGCTCTGAGCTAGTTACAGCCCTGCTAAGATTTCATAAGTGAGAATGTAAATGGAGAAAATACTCACAACATTTGAGCTAAAAAGATTTGGAATTTCAATAGTCAATAGGGTTCTTCCTTCAAATGGACATTATCTACAAATTAGAAACTACTATTGACAAGAACTGTAATTTGTAGGATGGACACCTAATATACACTCTCATTAACCATGGGCATATAGAAACTACAACTTGATATGTCTTTTTTGTAGCTTCTAGTTTGTGTTCGAAACCCATAACAATTAATTTTACTGTATTTTATGTTCTAACCATCTGTGTTATTGATATCCATGTGTACTAACCAATTTTATATGAAAGAATCCAAAGTTATCTTTAATTGTGTCTAAAGTTGTTGTAATGTTATTAATGTATTCATTTTATTCCAATAAAATGAATAAATTGCATGGTTAAATTTTTAAAAATAATTTTGTTTGTTTTCTGTTAGAACTCCGAAACAATTCTAGTTAGTTGCAGCATGTGAAGGTCCTTTTAATGGAGTAGCAAAACATTTTTTGAGCTCAATTTGATATCAGGTTCCATCATCTCCCACCCCTATCCTTAAATATGTTAAAACATTTCAAATCATTTTGATGTTACCAGTGTTGTTGAAGCAGTAGTGAAACTCTAAAGATAGGTTGCCAGACAACGAAACATACGCCCAAAGCAGCTAAGTCGTCCAGGAAGTCAACATGGGTTGTTGCCTTTTTTTTTTTTTTGTCAGAAATGAAAACATTTACAACACACTAAAATCTGATTACGAGTAATAACCCATTAGGCTTCTAGTTCTGCCCTATTCTAAAATTTAGCATACAAAACATTTAATATCAGTTGCCATATTCTTTGGCTCATGACCTTACACACTGTATAAATATAAAGTCAATCAGATATAAACTTTAGCCTCTAAAGTATCCACAAGATTTTTCAAAGTGATCAAGGGCCAAAACTATGGCAGTAATTATCGGAAATTGTTGAAAATCAATAGGACTCTTCGTCTCATGACCTAAAACACTGTGTCAATCAGATATTAACTTTAGCCTCTAAAGCATCCGCAAGATTTTTCAAAGTGATCAAGGGCCATAACTCTGGCAGCAATTATCGGAAATTGTTGAAAATCAATAGGATTCTTCATCTTATGACCTTTAAACACTATGTATATATTTAAAGTCAATCGGATATTAACTTTAGAAATAAAATGGGGTTCAACGTCCTACTGTTCTGCTCCAACTGTGCTAATGAAGACATGCATACGCCATACAGTGTGCTATGAGAGAAATTTTGCCTGGACAGTGACAATATGGCCTACTCTCATATCGAATTTCCAACTGCCAAGGTATCTTTTACATGCACACCAATGTATACAAGGGACCTTGGTTTTTCGTCCCATCCAAATGACTAGACAGCTGTCCTTGTCAGGCCCTTCATCCTGTACCACTGACATTGGGAAAGCACGTTGGAAAAGTTGGAAAATCCTGATGAACTTTCTCGGCCAATGCAGGGATCGAACACTCGTATGGGGCGACGAAAATATACACCACATTTCAATGTGGGCGTATAAATATTACTCTGATTAAGCATAATTTTGGAGAAGATGAATTGAGAAAAAAGTTTCACAGTCCTTTGCCCTGAACATAAATGTTGTAACCCCTCCCCCCCCCCCCCCCATATTAGGCTAATGCCATACATGATCCCCCTGTCTGATAACTTTTTACATTTCTATAAAACGACCAGGACCCAAGTTCACAAAGCATTCTCAGACTTAAGTATAGAATTTACTAAAAATTGTTCGCCTTATTTTTACTAAAATATAGTCCTTTATAATACTTTTGTTGTTTTAATGTATCAAATACATCGGTAAGAAACTATGTGCAAAATTTGGTGTTTCTGGATCAAAGATATTTCTCATAAATAGTGATTGAAAGTTGAGTAAATGCTTTGTGAACTTGGGGCCTGACCTGTAATGTGTTTCCTTTAACCAGAGCTATTCACAAATGACCTCATATCAATGACATCTGTCTGATTTAACCAGGGCTAGTCACAAATGACCTCATGTCAGTATATGAGGGGTAAATGAAATGAAATGAAATGAAATGGGGTTTAACGTCCTACTGTTCTGCTCCTAACCTGGGCTAATGAAGACGGGCATACGCCATACAGTGTGCTATGAGGGAAATTTTGCCCGGACAGCAGCACTATCGCCTACTCTTATATTGAATTCCAACTGCCAGGGGATCCTTTACGTGCATTCCAATATCTACACAGGACCTCGGTTTTCCGGATCATCCGAAGGACTAGACAGCTGTCCTTGTCAGGCCCTCCGTCCTGCATCACTGACAAGGGGGAACCACGCCGGAAAATCTGGATGAACTTTCTCGGCCAATGCAGGGATCGAACACCTGACTTAGCCACGTGAACCCCCATGAGGGGTAAACAATTTTGTGTATTAAACTGATCAGCAATATATACCACACCAAATCTTTTCTACATACACATTTTATTCTTAATGTTATATTAACATGCCTAAATGTAGCAAATAAACAATGAAATAACTCAAAACTATTTAAATTAAAATCTTTACACATTGTATATACTTTACAATAACATTTTATTAATGACTTTTAGATTTTTTACCCGTCGGTGAGGTATAATCATCTGCATCAATAACGAGCTCTTTGACCCGTTTTTGGAAATATTTATTTAGTATTGAACCTGATTTATACTGGGGAGTATTACGATTATTATATTCCACACAGTTGAAGAAGATAAGTCGTATATCATCTAGGATCTGATTAGGTTCTGTATATTCAAACTTGTGGATTTTGTTTCTGATTGTCTGGAAATCCATAGGTTCCTTTATAACTTTATAATAATCAGGTACCTGCAACACATATAATAAATTTTAAACCAGCAGTTGCCAAGCAAGAAACACCCGCATTTTGCAAGAGATGGACTGAGAACAAGCTAAATAAAAATGCAATTTTTGGTATAATCAGGGACCATTAAAATCAGATCCACAACCTTGAAATACCATATTTTTACACTATTTGCGTATGAAGGGCGGCCATTTTGTTCAGCAGTTTCAGTCTTATTTTCACAAAATTCAAACTCAAATGTCATTAAGGTGTAACAGTGATACTTTAGAATCTAGAGCATCTATAGGCTTCTTCGTTTCATGACCTTAAACACTGTATATTAACTTTAGTGTCAAGAACGTGTACAAGCAATTGTGGACACTGGCATCCATGAAACATTCTGATCAATCTTTATAATATTTGAAATAAAAAAATTATATATTACCTCTCTTTTACTGACAGGTTTTAAGAATGGCCAGGCATCATCATGTTTAATTAAATCAGATACCAGTTCTTCTACTGTCTTTATATGTTGTATTTTAGTGTTACCACGACTAATGGTACTACTTTTACTTTTTTTACCACTATCTGTAATATAATCATATCAAATTATATTCTTAATACCTATACTACAGAACAAGATTTTCAGGTATTTTAAACTTGTAGCACTTGGCATGTTATAGCACAGCATGTTATAGCACGTTTGGCATAACTTGATCAATCTACTGTAGACTGTTTTGTTTTAGTAGATCTAGCTGGTGTAGTAGTTTGTTTTGTTTTAGTTATCTAACTGGTGTAGTATGTATATCTAGCTAATGTAGCACGTTTTGTATAAGTTAATCATTATAGCGCAAGTTGATCAATATTGTGTAGTACAGTCTTTTTTTGTTTTGGTAGATCTAGCCTGTATAGTATGTTTTTTTAGTTTGTCAATATATACTATTCAAAAAAAAGTAGGGGATATTTGATTTTTAAGTGTTATTAAAGTCACCTAATGAAACTGACGAAGAAACAAATGACAAAATGAAATGAAGTTCACATTCATCGATTTATTCCAAATGATCGTTAGACTAAGTAACGGCGGCCATGACGTCGTGCGAATGGCACAACATGGACTGCCAAGATGTTGTCCCGGTAGTACTGGCCTGTAACACGCCCTGCAACAACATGTAAAGCCGTTCTTCCAGCAACAGTGATGCCTCCCCACACCATAACAGAACCACCCCCAAATCGATCATGTCTGATGACGTTAACGTCTTGGAAGCGCTCGTTTCGACGACGCCACACCCTCCTACGTCTGTCCAAAAAATCAACAGTGAACCTTGACTCATCTGAAAACATCACATTGCTCCAGCGTCGATTATCCCAGTGTTGACGATCCCTACACCAACGACGTCTTGCCTGAATGTGATGATCTCTCAAACAAGGGATCACGCGAGGACGTCGGGCGCGAAGGTGACCCCTATGCAGTCGATTCCGAATCGTCTGGCCACTCACTCTCACACCAGTGTCTGTTTGAAGACGAGCGCTGATCTGATTTGCTGTGATGACACGATTTCTCAAGGCCAAGGTACGGATAAATCGATCCTGGGCTTGAGTTGTCGCCCTTGGTCGACCTGAGCGTGGTCTGTCCTGTACAGATTGTGTATCACGGTATCTGGACCATAGCCTGCTTATGACAGACTGAGAAACATTCATCGTCCGCGCAAACAACCGCCTGTGTTGTGCCGATCTGTAGCATGCCAAGGGCACGTAACCTTTCATTTTGGGTAAGCCGACGCATATCAAAATTTGTTTTCTGGTCACTAAAACAATTAAACTGATGTTTCCACCCTGGAATTCAATGCCACAATGACTGTAACATTCAAAGTCAGAGTCGTGCAAATCTTGGGTTGGACCCCCATGATGATCCCAAGCATCACCTGCATTCCATGCTGTAGCTATTGGTGCGTTTGGGCGTCACATGTAACTGGAAATGTTTCTTCTGTTAGGTTCTATAGTGACTTTTTTCGTAGTCATTTGCATATTTTAGTATTATGCCCCCAAAATCAAATATCCCCTACTTTTTTTGAATAGAATATATAGTGTAGCATATTTTGTTTTAGTACATCTAGCTTGTGTAGTGTGTTTTGTATAAGTTGATCAATATTGTGTAGCAGGTTTTGTTTTAGTAGATCTACTTTTTGTAGTCTGTTTTGTCCAGCATGTTTTGTTTTAGTAGATGTGGATGGCATAGAACACAGCATGTTTTAATTTAATTATTCTGGATGGTGTAGCATGGTTTGTTTTAATAAATCTAGATGGTGTTATAATTACCTTCTGTTTGGGATCTAGGTGTAGTACGTTTTGATTTAGTGGATCTAGATGGTGTCTCATCATCTGAATCACCTTTAGTTGAGGATCTTGGTGTAGAAGCTGGACTGTGTCTTGGACTATCCCTCGAAAGTACAGATAGACTAGATTTGGAGTTGACTATAAAAATATTAAAAATATATATAAATACAACATTTCAGGAATCTGGAAATATATTTAATAAAGTTGGAGGATATCTCCTGACATAGTCACATGTTCTTCAGATTAAGTACAGTCTTGTACTTAAAGTGAAAACGTGTAAATTCTTTTTCCCAGGTAAATTTAAAATGAAAACACAGCTTCCTTAAACATTCATTTTTGCAAGAGCTAAATCTGCCTATTGCAGGTCTTTCTTTAGGCCTGAATTGTGATCTAAATTATTAATTAGACATTAATTAACTTATCCAGACCATAATCAATTCTCGATGTCAACGCTAACCTGCGATATTTAGAGGATTATGATCCGATTTGCTGCTCAACTTTCATTCATGATTTAATCATGTAATGGATAATCAAGACTATTTTTTTTTAATCGTACTGACTTTAGTAATGATGATCGAGGCTAGGCTGAAATTTCAATCGCTTAATTCTTTGTTCATAGCGGATCAATTTGATTGAAATTTTCAGCAAATTACCTTTACATTATCTTGTTTTTAACTATTATAGTGAGAACTGTCAGTTCTTTATCTAATCTCCCATAATGTATCTTTAATAGGTCTAGCAAAAATAACCACAAAATATTTAAATTTTCTAAAATTCTCAACAAACCTTTCTTGCCGATTTTAACTTTTCCAACTTTATTTAAACCAAGACAATTCTGGCACATCCATTTTCCACGTGGAATTTTCTTTAATGGAGGTTGAGCACATGTAAGATGATAAGATTTAGGACAACAATCACAACATATCAACATGCCTTGCTTATTACAGACAGAACAAACATTATCATTATCATCTCCTTCTTCTATTGACATGTCCTCTTCATTTTCTTCTTCACTGTATAAATAATGAACAAATAACATTTCCATGAGTTTAGTGCTATATAAAAAGATTTATTATTATTATATTAATCAAAGTGAAATGGGGTTTAATAGTTTAATGTCCCCGACTAACATAATATGGTAGATTCATTATGTGTTTTGGACGCTTTGGTCGAAACATGTATTGTTTTAGTAACAGTTTTTATTATTTTTTTTTTTGCCGATTTTAGTTAGAAGTTGCAGCCAAAACTTTGCATGGTGTGAGAGGGAGAAGAGAGAAATGGGGTTTAACATCCACTTGACACAAACTAGGTCATTTCGGGACCAACATGGTTCAATTTTATTTCAATAATTCGTTTGCGCGTTGGGGTCTTTAGCAGTGGGAGGAAACCGGAAGACCCGGAGAAAACCCACGAGGTTGAACAGGTGACCCTACACCTTGTCATGTACAACCGGGGAATCGAAACCACTCTAGCTGACTTAATGACAGACCGTATGATACAGTGCGCACGTGCTAACCATTCGGCCATCCAACTCCCCTTGTGCATGGTGCAAACATTCTGCCAACGTAGATACTGTTGGCCTCTGTGGAACTAAATATTGAATATAAATTGGGTCCTTTTTGACAAACAGGAAGTGTTTTACAGATGGTACAAAAAATAATCTCAGATTCCCTATATCTTGGTTATTTATCAACGGATCTTCGTCGGGTTTTCATTCGAGGATTCTTTAGATGAATCCCATAGGGGTTGTGACAGTTTTTCGAAATTTGGAAGTTAGCTCCATTAGTTTTAGCATCAAAGATTTCCGAAAGTTTTCTTCATCATTTATTCGACTTTCAAGATGGCATATCTCCGTCACAATTTGAGGTATCAAAGTTGAAACTTGGTAGGAATAAGGAACACATCGATGCCTTCAAAATGGCATATTCAAAATTTTTGTGACAGCTTCCGGAAACTTCTGGAAATTACCGAGGCCTTCTGATTTTTCCCAAACATGAATAGTTCTCTTCATTTAAAAATTGACCAAAAATGACATGGTAGTGTTAGCCCCAGATATTATTTTTCATTTTCCGATCGATACCTTGTTCGACAACATTGTTTGGCCATCATATTGGATTTTACTAAAAACCTTTAAATCAATATTCAGCCGCCATTTTGATTCTGATTTTCAAGAGGGAGAGAGAGAAATGGGGTTTAACATCCACTCGACACAAACTAGGTCATTTCGGGACTAACATATGGTTTATTTTTTATTTTTTTATTTCAATAATTCGCTTGCGCGTAGGGGTCTTTAGCAGTGGGAGGAAACCGGAGGACCTGGAGAAAACCCACAAGGTTGGACAGGCGACCCTACTCCTTGTCACGTACAACCGGGGAATCGAAACCCCGCCAGCTGACTCAATGACAGACCGTATGATACAGTGTGCGTGCTAACCATTCGGCCCTTTGAATTTTGTTTAACTTTTAACTTTCTATCTGGTGACCTAACCCTCGACCTTTGTATATTTGATGACCCTCATGTCTCCTAGCAATTAATAACAAAAGTTTGGTTTTGAAGTATAACTTCCGGTTTTATAAAGAGTGCAAAATGACAGGTTTTTCCACTTTAATAGGCATTGGATCTTACCATACTCAATAATGCATGGTGTAACTTGATTGTTCCACCTCATGACAGAGATATTTAAACCACTTCACTGGTGATTAATGGTGGTTAATTTCCCAAATTATCTGTAACACATGAAATACAAACCTTTCTTCATCAACGTCACTACTTTCTTCTTCTTCTTCTTCTTCTTCATCACCATCCTCTGCTTCTTCGTCTTCCTCCTCCTCCTCCTCTTCTTCTTCTTCTTCCTCCTCTTCCTTATCATCTTCCTCTTCTGTAAATGTCTGTCTTCTACCTTTACGAGGACTGCGTATAACTTCTTTAGGTCGACAGTTAGGACAGTACCAATCACCAACAGGTACTTTCTGTAACATTCAATATATTTAGTATTATTTATAACATTTCCGTAAATATGATAATTAAAGGGTTAGCAAAACCAGTTTGAAATTTGAGCCAATTTATTTTTATCAAATTTTTTTTTTCAAATCGAGCCTCAAGACTAAAAATTGTTCTGAAGTCCAAAACCTTCATTTAGATGTCAAAATTGCTTTTAGTAACAAATAATCCTTTATGTTATAAAACATTTGACATACCTTTACTGGTGGTTTTAAGCAATCCATATGATGACCTCGATCACATCCATCACATAATAACATTCTTTCTTCATTACCTTTACGTCGACATATACGACATCGAGCATGTAGAGCTGATTTACCCCACATAACACTCTTCTCAAATGTAGATAAATGTAGACAGATCTGAGATAAACTAGTTACATTTAACAGTGATTCCTGCCATTTATCAAATAAACCTTTCTTCTTATCTTCTTCTTTACTATCTGTAAATACAGAATTATTCATAAATGTGTAACTACACATAAAATTTATGGGTGAGTATGAATTTTGATAGGATCCCTCCAAAAGATTAACCAATCACAGCAAATATTGTGATGTATATACAGGGTTTTGGTGACAATCAATACACAACTTTCACTTTCAAGCAATTTTAAAAGAAAAATTTCAAAAACTCTCGACTTCTAGCGCCAAGACAGGGATGACAGCAATAAACATCAACCTGAATTTTTTTAGTCTATATTGTTAATCGTCTTAAAAATTTTTAAAATTCTTGTGGTTATTTTGTAAAAGGTTTCTAATCTATGTCAACAGAACTGTTGTAAGATCATTTGAAGACTACATAAAGTTAATTTATTTTTCACTATACATGGACTACACTGTGTAATCAGCACTTTTTACCTACTCTTCTCTGATTTCCAACTGCCAAAGACTTGTTTTCTTGTTACATGTCATCCAGAAAATCATTGTATGTTCGCCACAACAAGTTATCGCCTGGGTTCATTTAACATAAAAAGTGCCTGTGACACGGTCTAATTTCATAGATTTTCTTGTCCTTATGGCCGAATGGTATCAAATATTTGCTCCGGTCCTTTTAAAATCACAATTAACCAGACTGTTTGTACTATAAGACTGCATGTATATAAACTTTTAGTATATGGACAGCGTATATATATTGTGTTCACTCAATTGACACAGCAATGTAACTAATCTATTAAGAGTGTATCCGCGAGAAGTAAATGAAATGAAATGAAATGGGGTTTAACTTCCTACTGTTCTGCTCCTAACCTGGGCTAATGAAGACGGGCATACGCCATACAGTGTGCTATGAGGGAAATTTTGCCCGGGCAGCGGCGCTACGGCCTATTCTTATATCGAATTCCAACTGCCAAGGGATCTTTTACGTGCACGCCAATGACAATGTGTACACGGGACCTCGGTTTTTCGTCCTTGTCAGGCCCTCCGTCCTGCATCACTAATAAGGGGAAACCACACCAGAAAATCGGGATGAACTTTCTCGGCCAATGCAGGGATCGAACACCCGACCTCCAGGCTAGCGAGCCAGCGACTTACCCACTTAGCCACGTGATCCCCATCCGCGAGAAGACCAGGCAAAAATCGCAAAAGGTGCTAAGATGGGGGGGCACAAGTTTTTGATTAAACTTATGGTATGACACCCCCTAGGGGCAAGAAGTGAAATGCTGAAGTGGTTACAACCTGATGTCCCTATAAAGGACTGTACTGGAAATAGTCATTTTCTGGGTAAAATTTGGGTTTTCACATGTGTATTTATCGCCATTTTTAAGCACAGATTGCATTCTATAGTGCAATAGCAACCTTCTAGTTTTGACCCTGTCTGATAAAGTGGGTAGTCGACTTCCAACCCAGCACTAATTTGAAAAAAAAAAAAAAAATCAGTCCCTACTAATTGTTTTGGGACTTCTTTCAGGGTACCATGTTCACATTGTCCGTGTAGTACAGAAAAGGATACACTGTAACTTTTTCTTTCAGGGTCGCAAGCAGAATTTCATTGGATGGTTTTGAAGTGCTAAGCACATAGTATCAATAGGTGTACAAAAAATGACCGGAATGCAACATACTTAAAATATAGAGCTTATTGAAAAGTGCTAAAAATAAGCTGTTGTGATACATTTTTTTGCAAATTTCATTAGAGGAATAAAATTTTTGACTTGTATACGTTTCCATCACATCCATAGCCATCATTTGTACCATGTGGTACTGTATATAAGTGTATATTTGTATTTATTGTATATTTTGTATTATCGTTTTGTCCCTACTTTAACATATTTGTTCTATTGTCTCTTTAAGGTTTCATTTTCCAACAGGTCACCGAAAATGGCTACAAAATGTTCTATTTCAGCGCATGTTTCCACTATTCATTTTTGGACACATCCACTGATTTCTACAATACAGAAATGTGGAAGCTTAAATTTTAACGTCAACGCAGCCTTGTGTTGAAGTGGGCGACGTTGAACAGTGTAGCATGGTAGCAACGGCTCTCGAGCGCCGTCAGCTACACCTTCAGGGCGGGATTAAGAATAAGGAATGAGAGGCCCTAGGCAATCCCCTTGAACAGCGCCCGCGCCATAGACCTTGGGGACCTGGGATAAGCAACTCGGTGAGGGGGTTGGTCGAGGGCAATCATGCAGTTGGTGGTTCGAATTTTTCATTTTTGTTTGGATTATTTTATTTAAAATAATGTCTATTTGAGAGTAATGGATATGTTTTGTTAAGATCTTTTCATTGAGCACGTCGATACTCCAATGGAAGCTCGTGGACAACTGCGGAAGCCAATTCCCGTTGGCGCCAGATGGATCATGAACGATTACAGGCCTTTTAAAGTATATTTATAAAACAGATACTAATATATATTAGGGCTGGTAGTGGACACCATATGAATGAAAAAAAAAAAAAATTGTTAGGTTTTTTTTTTATCTACTACGGTCAATTTAAGGGGTTATTGTTTGTTTTACCTAGTTTTAGTCACGTCGATTCCGGTCAGTTTTATTTTTTGTATCAAATGTTGCTTGGGAGGTTGCTTGTTTACGTGAGCATAAATTTTTGAAACCCACCCCATGAAAGAAGTAGCTATAAGGTGGCAAACTTTGCTTGACGAAAAATGGGGAATTTAGATAGGCTTTGATATCCAGTCTGTATACAGATCTCATTCGCCAGAATTATCTGCAATTAACTTTGGATTAACAGCACTAGGTCATCTACAAACTGTGTGAGTTTGGTCTTTTTGCTACGTATAGTAAAGGTGTGAGGACTTGTCAAAGTTGGTATTAGAGAAAAGACGGATTTGGGCAATTTCACCACATGAAAAATGTTTTTTTCAATTTTCTCAGTCAGGAATTGAAAGATTTATCTGATATTGCATATTTATGTGTTTTGGGATTATCCAAACTTATAAACCAAACTTGGTCAAAATCTGTGATTGAAGCCTTAGCACCTTCTGCATGGTTTTCTCGTGGACACGCTCTTAACAGCTCTGAAACCTATTCATATTATACATCATTAAACCTGGTTCATATAAGCATTATTAAACACAAATGATAATATACATCATAAATATGAAGATGAGGCAGTTACAACATTTGTGCTTGATAACGATAAGAGGACACCTGTCCAAATAAAAGTCGTGCTATATGTGTACAAACGAGTATCAATTGTGTTGTGTTTTTTTTATTGTGCTCAACAGGTAATAGGTGCTCAATAAGGATTACAACAGTGACTACGTTACACAAATCCTTGCCTAGCTTTACCTCATGATATATGGGAAGATCAAAATAATACATTTCCTACCATCACTGTCTTCTCCATCATTCTTTTCTTCTTCTTTTACCTTTTTCTTCTTTCTATCTTTAGCCGATCCTTTCTTTTTAGGGTCACCTTCTTCTGCAAATAAATATCAATACTAAAATAAACTTTTGGGGTACAGTAATAGTTAAAGCATGGAGCCAGATATCAGGACTAGAAATTAGTCATTTTTTGCGAGAATCTAAGAGGATTCTCATATATGGAATCTGCACGAATCCTCTGAATCTTAATTAATAATACTGTCTAAAAAAACAAAATTGTGTTTATTACTGTTTATTGTGTTAATCTAAAACACCAAAATACAACAACAATGATAAAAATAAAACAATCAGATGGAGTTTTTGGTAAACACTTAAATTGTGCTAAAAGTAATATCCAGAAAATGCTGTAGTCAAAATCAGCTGATACAGCACCATGGCATTTCTTCATAGCACAATAAGTAGTCTTTTTTCCATCACGTAACTTGTCACGTAACTTGCAAAAGTTTTTATTCATTCGTCAATGATCACGTAACTTGTCACGTAACTTGCAAAAGTTTTTATTCATTCGTCAATGATAGACAAACGGCATAATGATCACGTGACAACCATAACTAATGTTGCTATAAAATAAAATTGTGTACGACTATGATATAGCCATCAATAATATTTTTAAAATTAAGTCTCTGTCCGCATGTGTATAAATTAGAAAATCATAACCGTAAACGCTATTTAGAACTGGTTTATTGACCTAATTCCAACCAATATGTCACGTGTCATTGGAATTTGGCATTCGAGATTCTGTTGGGAAAACATCCACTGTTTTTCTCTCTCTGTGTATTCGGTGTTCGATCAGGGGATTATATTCAATGAAGATTTAAATTTACCTAACAACTGGTCATAGAAAGGCGGGGGACAATTAAGTAAAATATTATACTCACTAAGAGGTTGTGATAGATATCTATGATCAACACCTTCTGATATATCATACAAAGCTTTACGTAATTCTTTTACTTTACAACCTTCCACAGTTTCAGAACTGAAAATATACATTTTATTAGCATACGTGTAGTCATTACACTTATGTCCAATTTATTCTTATTCAAAATATATATGGTTTGAACGAGAAAAAAAACGCCGTTTGATCTATTGATATTTCATTGGACTGATGCCAGACGAAATAGTTCTTTAGATACAGAGCATACAATATTATATCAATATGTACTTACTCTTCATTATTAGTATTATCACCATTAATTAACCCGTGTTTAAATTCAGTAGACTGTATCTGACTTCTCCATGCAAATCTATCAGCAACCTGATAATTTAAATAACATGTGGGTATTGTTAGTTGGTTATTATTTGATATCAATTTGTGCTAAAATACAATATTTTAAAATATCAGTTTCCCATCCCATCTAAGCCTTTGTTGTCATCTTAAACATGATCTACATCTTTGATCTCATGGAGATCTTTGATATTCTGTAAATTGATAATTTTTAATTTGATATTAATTGACTACACAGATAAACCAGAAATTTGATGGTATGCAAAATTAAGACAAATCTGACAATCCATTTCTAAGATACAGGCCTTCTGAGTCATACATATTTCTTGTTTTTATTCAAAATTAATTAACTATTTCAAACTTTAGTTATAAATGATCCAAATTATCAAAACAAATTCTAAATGAAATTGGTTATTTGTATTAAATCTGTATGCTCGCTTTATAGTATCACATTCTGACTGTGACTTGGGTTGTCAGTATGCAATCATTCACAAATTTCAGTTTTTAGCTCTGGGTAGGTACAATAAAAGCTAAAAACCCATCTTCAACTAAGTTTCACAACAATATACAAACCTTCACAAAACCTAAACTACCACAAAACATTCTCTCTTCTAGGTCCAATATGGCATCTCGAAGATTTAGTTCAATTTCCATTTCTGCCGTTTCTCTTTTGACTGTGTCTTGAGCTGCCTTTTTACTGGCGATACCACGTGTTAATGATAACGCTTTTAATCTGGCCTCTTCTACATTTTCACTGGATAAACACAACTCATCGGTGGGACAACTGTCTAATGATTTACTTATAACTGGTTTCAATTCCATGATATTTTGTTTAAGACCACTTTCTCGAACCCCCCGTGAATTTAAGCAGTCTAATAGTTGGTCCAATTTACCTGGAGCCACAAATGCCCAGGGACATTTTGGCCGTTCCATGATTTGTTTAGCTGCCACACTATCTATGACGGGAGGTGCATCTAAAATAACGGCATCACTAGATTTACTTTCATCATCACTGATAACAATACAGTTTTCTCCCTTGCCATTGGCTGCGTTTTCGGGACACAAGTCATTTTCTTTATCACTACTAGTGTTATTTTTATCGCCCTCAAGTTCCAGACATGGAATTTTGTCGTCACTGATATTTGGGTCAAACCCATTTGGATTCTGATATCCTGGAATGATCTCTGCATCCCCTAGATATAATTCACTATCTTCTACAAATATCCCTGAAAATTTAAATGATTTGTTTAGATTTGCAAACAAATATTTGTTTCAGTTGCATATGATAACATAATTAGAGGGTGACTGTCTTGGAATTTGCAGAATTAACAAACAATTTATCTAAATTTTATTGGGAGTGAGGCAAATCTCGCAATTTTTACGACTTAAGCAGGCAAAGTGAAAAGACTTGTTGCCACAGCAGCGAAATCGTCACATATTTAATCTGTTGTAGGCAATGGAAGCATTTACAAGACACTGATATCAGTTTCATACAGATAAGATGACAATCTTTGTTGTTTAAGCTTTTCAAAGGTTCTACAGAGTGAAACAAAGGACATAACTATAGATGTAATTAGTGTAAATCGTTAAAATTCAATAGGCTTCTCCATTTTACTAATATAAAAAATGCACATGAATTTCATACAGATCAAATGATTACTTTGTTGTTAGATCGTTCACAAGGTTCTACAAAGTGAAACAAGGGTGATAAGACTAGAAGTAATTAACAGAAATGATAATTGGATGATAAATTTAGTCTGTCAAGTGTTCAAAAGAAATTGTGGACGATTGAACAACATCAATATACGACCATATTTCCATGTGGGAATGTAAAAATCAATCAACTCTAACGGAAAATATAGGTTGCCAGGTTACGAAACATACACCCATAGCAGCTAAGTCGCTCGGGCAGTCAACAAATGTTGTCGCATATTTGTTTCTTTTGTTTGTCTCATGACCTTAAACAATTTATATTAATTTTAGCCTCTAGAGCGTCCACAAGATTTTACAAAGTGATCAAAGGCCTTAACTCTGACAGTAATTATTAGAAATAGTTGAAAATGAATAGGATTCTTTGTCTCATAACTTTAAACACTGTGTATAAATTTAAAGTCAATCGGATATCTACTTTAGCCTCTAGAGAATCCACAAGATGTTTCAAAGTGTTCAAAGGCCAGAACTCCGGTAGTAATTATAAGTGGTATAAATTTAAAGTAAATCAGATATTAACTTTAGCCTCAAGAGCTCCAACAAGATTTTTCAAAGAGGTCAAGGGCTATAACTCCAGCGGTAATTATCTAAAATAGTTGAAAATCAATAGGCTTCTTTGTCTTATGACCATAAACACTGTGTATAAATTTAAAATCAACCGGATATTAAATTTAGCCTCTAGAGCGTCCACAAGAGTTTTCAAAGTGTTAAAGGGTCAAAACTGTGGTAGTAATTATCAGAAATCGCTGAATATCAATAGGCTTCTTTGTCACCTGACCTTAAACACTGTGTATAAATTTAAAGTCAATCAGATGTTACCATTATCCTCTAGAGCATCCACGAATAATTGTGGACACCAGTTTGACGGAGGAGACATCAATATACAACCACTTTTCAATGTGGGTGTATAAAATCATCATGTAAGTACATTAAATGAACACACCTTGCATACTTCTAAATATCCAATATCGCCTGTACATTCTATCTCTACCTAATGGATATATAGCATTCATCTGTTGTACTTCTAATAAATTACTCATAAAATCAGCTTCCTTCTTATAAAATTCTGCCTTCTTTTTAGCTTCTTTTTCTTGTTCCTTTATTCTTTGAGCCTCTTTTTCTTCCTCAGTCACTTCATCTTCCATTTTGTTTTCATTTTGGTCGGTAATATTTCCTTCTTCACTGGTCCTAGAGAAATACCAAAGTAGAACTAAAACATTAAGATATTAGAACTAGAAGTTAGATCTGAAATGTGAACGACAGACAAAGCTTCATAACAAAGGGACATCAATATGGAATTTATTAACAAAAACCAATAAAGTTCTTTTATGACTGATGGAGAAAAATATGTTATCACTGTCAAAATTCCTCTTCTTACCCTTTAGCTTTTAAATTTTGTTCTTTCTCCAAAAGCATCTTCATTCTTTTTTCTCTTTCCTTCATTCTTTCTTCTTGTTTCTGTCTATATCTGGGAGAAAAATTATTAAAAATTCTCTGAGTATCATATGCCCATCATAAACTACTCATATTAACACATTTAGCAAATACATTGGAATGATGTATATAAAATCATTTGTCTTTGTTTTCATATAAAGAAGGACTCTCTATAAATTTCTCTCAGTGTACACAAACATCAACCTTATAGTAAACAAGAGCATTGCTACTGCTGAAATATTTGTCCACATTCCTGCTTTGATTGATATATTTTTTAAAATGAAAAGAATGAAATATGAAAAGGCTGCAACGACTGTAATATGACAAGAGGCAAAGAAAGCTAGGTGTTTTGCCAAATTTGCTGACTAAATATTAACAAAAAAATGGGTGTGACACTGCCCCATGGGTTGGGGCATGCACCAAAATAAAGAGTTGCGGTCTTTACGGTATAAGGAATAAAAATTTGTAAATTGGACACTCATTATCATCAAAATTGAATGGTCAGCTTTAAACTGGACAGAAGTACAAATTAAACGATTTATATTGATTTTAAACAGTTTTTACAAATATTTAAACAAAGATTGGATATTAAACAAATGTGAAAGAAATTAGTGCTAGATACACAAGATTAAATGATACCTGGGTTACAGTGATAATACGTCCACATTACGAATGTGAAGTATAAAAAAATTATTATGATGTCTGATGTAAAAAGAAAAGAAGGTATGCAACTTTGGAGGTGGGAATTCATTTTCGTAATTTTGGGATAATTATTAGTTGAATATGGTGGTTATAAATAAAGTATAATATTAACTTACCTGGCACCAGCTTCTTCTCGCTCTCTTCGTTGTTCAGCCCACTGTAGTTGTTTTAAATCATATCTCATTGTTCTTAACTTTTCCTGACTTTCATCAATTAAATCACGAATAGCAGCGTATGATAATATCTGTTGCAGCAATGTGTTTATCAGTTTTAATTTCTGGACTGAAAACAATAGGAAAGATTTAAATAACTTATTATAATAAAAATTAGTTCAATAAGTTTAAAATTAATTGACAGCTCTAGCTGCTGGTTTCCACAATAAACAAAGGATATCTTTAAATAATAATACTAAACAAGTATGTGGGCTGTCACAGATGCATTTACTGTCATAATATTATTTCAATGTTCACGGTGCAAACTGCATACTATCTCAGCAGTTCAAAAAAAGTATTTTAGTTTTAAAATTTGCAATTTCCATTGCCCCACAATATCGATGTCACAGTGTTTAAATACAGAATACATTATTCTGTATTTTGTATTATTGAAAAGTGTATTCTGTATTTCAACACTGTGACATTGGTATTGTGGAGCAAAGGGAATTGAAAATTGTAAAACTAAATTACATATTTTTAACTGTTGACATATATGCAGTTTGCACCGTGAACATTGAATTAATATTGGCAACGTTATCCTTCCATACGGTCACAGATAATATTATAATAATAACAAGAAAGTATAACTCTCTGGCTACAACCACTGTACTAAATCCCACCATATTTTTTTTCCATATAACCAAAATTCTTTGGCAGAAGAGTAATATATAATCAATCCATCCTTCCAAATTAAAAAAACAACTACCTGGAAGAAGATCATAGACATTTTCTACAGACAATGATTTTAATAAATCTAAATCTGATATCTTCAGATCTAACCCAGGATCATCTTGCGATGTGTAACCACCCCGTTGTTGATAACGGAATCTAGCATTTTTAACGGTTGTTTTTGATCCTGCAGACATCAAGTGTAGTCGTAATATCTCAGATAGAGTGAATTGATCCAGCACCATTTTCTTTAGAGGCATACCTAGAAAACATTTTGATGAAATTAAATAATATCTAATATTCAAACTACTCAACAAAGATTTATTTAAACACATTTTACATGCATGTCCTAATTTGAAGAATACAAAGATGGATTTTAAATAAAAAATTTTTTTCAGGAACAAAGTTTATAATCAATTTTAGCTTCAGTCAAAAGAATAACCAGAATATTTTTTTCAAAATAATAATTTAAAATCTGGCAGAATAAATAATCATGTGGCATTTTGCTTAGTACTCTGTGTTGTGGAGAATGGAATTGTTGTGTTTTTGTTGAAGGTATACCTTTTTATTTACGTCTTGAGAAGCTATTTCATCAACACTGTAAGATGATGAGCTCCAGAAAATGTGTTATTGAATATGGTGTAATGTAGTGATTAATTTTGTGAAGTGTAGTAACTTCCCTTGAAATGGATGATAATTTCAATGCATGGGTTAACTGACATCGGAAAAAATATCCATTGAATTTAATAACATCATCTCAATTGATGGGATAGACAGAAATGTGACAGAACCTAATTTCATTTCCCTTGATTGTCATTCTGTCTACTTGGAAAGTTCAAGACTGACATTCGAGCATCCCTACTCAGATTACAATCTATCTATATAAAAATAGAATGTTTACTATAGGAAACCAAACAGTTCAACTTACAAATTTTAATGACACTATTTCTTTTGTATTTGCTTATTAATGATTATTGAATTATTAAGGATGTTACAAAAATGGAAATTAACTCTACCAATGTAACGTTGGGTAAAACAGTTAGTCTGGGTTTTGGGTGTTACTTGTAAATTGTAAAGGAAACTTGTAAATAATAGATTCTGATGTTTCTTATAATTATATAAACTTTACAGAAGATGGATAACAATATATAATTTAGATCAATAGTCATTATATTATAATAATACAAAATGTTGTATTTTAAAGATACATACCATGTGTTTGTTGAGGTATTTTAGCTATAACTGTAGCTTGGTCTATTAGTTGATTAGATAATGATTCAGCTATTCTATCTTCTTCTCTAGCATCTATAAAACAAAAACAATAAAATTATACCTATATGAAATAATCACTGGCAAAGCTTCTACACATACTAAAGTGTTACGTCAAAAAACTACATTGTTAAAAAATTTTGAGCTTACAGCTTTCAATTTTATTTTATTTTTATTTGTGCAGGCTGTTATATTAGACAAGATGTAATTCTTTTGATATCTCTATTCATTAATATTTTAGACAGTTATTAGCCAGTAAATATTTATGCTATATGATTGGTCATTTTTGATAGAGATGTGCTGTTGAAATTTGCTATTATTTACCATGCTGATATGTATTTTCGAATTTATGTATAAATATTGAATTCTTACTAGAACTAAGTTGATTCTCGAGTTCAGAAACTTCTTCGGCTTCTTCTTCTTGTAGAGTAAATATAGCTACTAATAACATCTGTAGTAAATCACATAGCGGTCCATCAGTATCATTATCTAACAGTGCTGATTCTAACATTACTGAAAAAACAGCAACAAAATATTCTTGTAACTGATAGTGGTTAAAGAGCACATAAAACAACCACACAACAGTGATGTATACATGGAAGCTATTTTGATTACATACATTATACACATATTCTACACAGATATGTGTTACACGCTCACAAAATTTTTCAATTAAGTAACACTATACAATAAGAGAGGTATACCTACCATATGTAAAACCTTTAGGAAAGAATTGTTTGAAGTCAAACATGCTTTTAAAACAATGAGTAAATTCCAAAACATGTATGGCTTCACCAAATAGTTCACTTGATAATCTAGTTGATATTGGTGTAAACTCTGGCATCAGCTAGAAAAATAAAATAAAATACATCAAGAACTAACTACTATAATATTGATCCAGATCTATACTCTATAATTATACCAATGCAACTAAAAAAGGAGACTGGATATACCCTCACAGAAACGGTCATTTGAGCAGTCCATAAAAACTGCATGGCCTTTATATATTAATAAATAATTAACTTACCTTTAGATCATCACATTCCAGATCTTCTCTAACTCGGTTATATTCTCTCATAATTTCTAATTGCTGTAATTTCTCCTTCCTTTGTTCTTCTCTTTCCTACATACAAAATGTTTTAATCTAATTAATACCAGACCAAATATTAAGGAGCTGCTTCACTTTTGACAAGTTCTAATCAGTCCATCTCTCTAACGGGTTACTTACATGTAGGATAGTTACTGAAAATCCTAAGATAAATAGCAGTGTCTGTTGTAATATACTAAATAGACAGAGCCCAACACATAAAATTCAATACTGGCACATTATCATATGTACACAGGCTTACTGCAAGAAGTCTACTCAATAGCATTTTGTAGGAATATGCAATGCAAGTTGCTGAAATAATATGACTATAAATGTCGATATTATAGCGATGTATGAATGCAAGTATGCAATTACTAAGGTCTTGTTTATACAGAGTTTCGGCTATTAATATCCCAAATACATTATGCAATTAGTGAATTATGCAATTACTGATGTGAATAGAGTATGCATAAACTAACATGTTTGTTGTTGAAAAGACGACTATTCGCTAGGCCTAACCGTGGCCGGTTCATTTCAAAATGGATTAAGAACCCTGGGGCACATTAAAGATGCATCGTGTAACATTAAGATAAAGGAGGTGGACATTTTTGCTATAACAGTTCAAATTTAGATAATGAGAAATGAATATACTGAAAATTTCAGTCAAATTACTTTATTCTGAACGAAGTTATGACTCTTTGAAGTTTTGACAAAAGTACCTTTGCTACGATAATATACATTAAATTATGTGTTTGAATCCATTCAATATCACTGCCATCCAATGGTGTAGCTGTGTGATTATGAGCTTGTCATGTGAATAAATGCATACTTAATAATTTATATAACATTTGAAGCCCCCCAAACAATAACTGCAATAGGCAAATTTAGCTGTTACATACATGTAGAGCATCTTTAAACCTCCCATTGTGTGACTTTTATTAACACAATTATGCTACTCAAACTACTGAAATACCTCACCATTATTTAAAAAAATACTGGACAAATAAAAGGTGCCAACTGACCAGAAAAGGGAGAATACTTGTATTTTCAGTTTTATTTTAATATTCGTTTACCTTGGCCTTTTCTTCCTTTCTTTTATTTCTTATTTCTTCCATTTTCTTTCTCATTTCTTCCTTCTTGGCCATCTTCTCAGCCAACTTCTCTTCTTTAACCTTTTCTTTTAACTCAACTCTCTCTTCTGGGGTTAAGTTCATAAATGTTGCTTGATCTACTCCAAATTCAGCCAGGAATGGATTTGCTAAATAGTAAGAAAAAGGTTTTAATTTCCTCGAAGCCTGTCCAAGTACAAGAGTTACCTCTATCTCAAATGTAACTATACAGTTAAATTTATAATATAAATTCTTAACTCGAAGCAAACATAAACTAGCTACATAGAATTTAAAAAGAGAAGGACAATTTAGAAATCATTTTTAACATAGGCATCCAAAAAATCAAATGAAGGCCTAAATCAACTATTTTACTTTTACAGGATAAAATTAGAACTTACGTTTAGGTGCAAGATCTTTTGAAATATCTTTTGATTTAGATTTGGACCTCTTGGGTGCTGGTCCCTCATTTTTACTAGATTCAGATCTTTTCAATGCAGCCTTCTTTTTGAGGACAGTTGAAGCAAAGCATGGCAAAGGTCCAGCAAAGAAATCCCCAAAACTATAGCTTTGTAATTTAAATTTCTGTATAGCTTCCTCCTGTTAAAATACAATCAATTATTATATTATTATATACACTGCCTGACTCTGCACGGCATATTTAAACTACTGGTAAATATAAACTAGAAAGGCAGGTTAAAATTCTGCTTTTGCTTTTAAAGGAAACTGGATTCTTTAAACATAACGAATGGAAGAAAAATTCCATATATATAATAAAGTTACTTGACAGAGCAGTATTTTCAAATCCTTATTCAGAAATGATGTGAAACTACATTGAATTTGATGAAACATAATTATAGTTAATCATGTGAATACATAACTCAAGAGGACATTTCAGGCTAGATTTACCTCCCCTATTACCTACCTTGACTTTCCACATGCCATCAACAGGTTCACAGTGTAGTTTTAAAAACAACTTGTTCTTATCTCTTGTATACAAACTTCTTTTTCGACTAAAAATTAAAAACAAAACCATTTCATGTCATTTTAGCATAATTTAATGTTAAATTCCATAGCTAATAATATGTCAATATTTACCTCAGTGGAATAGCAGTAATCCTTTGAAGGAATTACAGATGCATTATGCTTATTGGAAATCTTTCCTTTGGTCTCAGTGTTATATAAATTATTACTATAGACATTTATTCACATGACAAGCCATTATTCAACTCTCTAAAGCATCGGGTGGTTGTGATTGAAACATGATAGCAATTTAATAATTCAATTTAAAAATGGGTAATAGAGACTTTATTTTTTAACAAAGGTAGCAATGAAAATTGAGATTTCACTATTCTTCAGTCAAATCTTCACTCAGATGAAGCAATTTAATTGAAATTTTCAAGATATTCCTCTTTCATCATCCATTTTTAAACCATTATAGCGAGAACGGTCAGCTCTTTACCTAAATCCTACATAATGCATCTTTAAAAAGAAGAGTCCACTAAATCTATGCCTGGGTTTTAGCAAGACTACTATGTTTACCAGGTTGAAAGTCATATAACGGAAGCTGAATTGAAACAAACAGTGAACAAGCTAACGATGTTGTCCTTAGAACTTTCAATCAGCTTTCTTTTCATAATCGATTATCGCTAAGGCATAGCATGACTATCCCAATCCAAATTTAATCATTTAGAATCAATCGTGTGGATAATAGATTTTAAGCATATTTACTGATTTGGGTAATTATTGCTGTGAACAATTTTTTTTTTCCACATCCCTTTTTGTAGTTCAATGAAAATAATGAAGTCTAAATGGATTAGGATTGCCTTAAAAATATCTGTTTCACCTAACCTGAACGGCCAGCTAAAACCACCCCTGACTTAAATTATTTTATTGCACTTTTCTGTGATCTTTTTATTTTATTTTGTTTGTCAACTTGAAATATCACAAGAGTGATTTCCCTTTACTATGGCTATGGTTTGATTCATTATCGAAACTGGTTAATCAAGGCGAAAGCACCACAGATGTCGCTTCTCAACAAATGGTTGCAGACGAAAGCATGACCATTCCCATGAAATGATCTGCCTCAATACCTGTGGAGCATCGTTTTAATGAGAGAGAGAAATGGGGTTAAACGTAAATTTGACACAAACTAGGTCATTTCGGCACTAACATTTGAATCAATTGTTTTTCAACAATTCGCTTGCGCATAGTGGTCTTTAGCAGTGAGGAAACCGGAGGACCCAGAGAAGTTGACTCAATGACAGACCTTATGATACAGCGCACACACGCTAATCATTCGGCCATCCAACCCCCCTATTCATGTCGTGCTTCACTAAAATTCCTGATGTCATCAGTACCTATTGATTGGCGTGCCCACAAGTAAAGCAGAAGAATGTTTCTACCCGGAAAAAGATCAAGCTGTCAAATTAGCTCTTAGAATTTGATTTTAAAGAGAAAAAAAAATCTTTAAATAAAAACCGACCTACCAACCGTTCTCCATGATTGTGGGTCGGGTTTGGTGAAACAAAGATATTTTTCAGATCAACCTTACCTGACTTGAGCTGCTTTAACAGTTGAAGTAGCTCCTCCTGTCTTTTCTTTAACAACATATTTAAACCTCTGAGCATTTGGACCCATATTTGGTTTATCGACTGGCTCACTAGACAAAATAACATATCAATATTTTAGTGTTCAGAATCAAATATTGTTAAGTTAAACATGATGTAATCTAAAGATTTTAAATTCACATAGTTCAATACCAACACAGAGGAGGGTTCTTTTTATGTGCACGCTAATTTGTACACAGGACCTCTGGTTTCCATCCCATTAGAACAACTAGACACTAGCTGCCAGGCCCTCTGTCCTGCACCACGGACAAAGGGAAACCACGCTGGAAATCCCATGGAACTTGATCAACAAAGGAAAGAACCCAAGACATACTGACTAAGCCACCGTGGCTTCCCCCCTTCAAAGAAAATATGTCAGATGTTAAATCTGATCTTTATTATAGATTAATTGCTCTTTCTGTAATTTTAAAGATGTGTAAACAACAGCCGATAAATTATTTGTCTTATTTTGACAATATCATACCTGTCATTACTTTCGTCATCTTCGCCATCAATGACAATAACATCTCCATTCTTTCTACTATTGACTGGTGGTGGAATAACTTTAATAATTTCACATGTACGTCTGAAATATATACAAATTATAAGTTAATAAATATACAGTTGAAAGGAAACTTAAATCAAATCAATGATTAAGGGAGGAATCTCAACTATATTTTAGAGAATAAAACTTTTTAATTTTGTGTAGAAGGTTCTTTGAAGCTATCATTCTGGTCCCATGTCTGTTCTATCTGAAGCTCTGCGATAGTGTTTCATAGGAATAGCAATAAACAATTGTCTGATGGTGACAAATGTATCAATCTCAAAAACTGAAAATCATAACACTTTGTCCTAAAGTAATCTGAAAGTTACTCTGAAAACTAGTAAGATTAATTTTAAGGATAGATTACCTAATTTGTTGCATAACAACATCAACCACTTCACTAACAAAATATCTGTCTTTAGTAAAAATAAAGATGTCATCATTTAGATCGTTAAGTCGACTGCGATGTGTTTTAGTGGCCAAAAACAGAACTGGTTTCTGCAGATGACGAGGAAACGATGATAAGTTTTTTCTGGCCTTCTCTTCACACTCAACCGCTTCCTGGTATGTTAATCCAGATCGTCCAGTAATAGAACAAGACCATACCAAACTGTTACACAGAATTATTCTTTCAAAAAAATTCCTGAAAAATAGACATAAAAAAATCTGTCTTTAGTTTGTCCATATTCTCAAGTCAATGTTAGTGTGTCGGGGGTTACATCCTCTGACCAATAACTGGAAACTGACAATTTTAAGACAAAATTCTACTTGGGAACTCCTGCTGTAAAACTAGTAAACTACTATAAAAAATAACACGTGAATCACTTGGGAAGTGCTTTTTACGATCTTCAGAGTTTTTGGGTACAGGTCAACGCGGCGAGAATAACTATTCACTTGATACACTCACTCCGTTCGTTTGACACCACCCTCTCTATTCGGATTAGCTGGTGATTTGGCGACGAACAGTATCTGGTCAGCTCTATTTATCTCGACGACCAGTGTCTGAAATGCTTGCACCTGGTTGCATTTCCGGCAGTCTATGTCACAAAATATTGTGGCGAAAATATTCATTCACTTTGAGTTACTCACTCCGTCCGTTTGACACTTTCCTGTCTGGTCAGATAAACTAGTGATTTGGCGACAGGCGGTATCTGGTAAGCTTTATTTATCTTGACGATCAATGCCTGAAATACTGCCAGGCTGCATTTCTGACAGTCAATTTTTCAAAATTTTCAGTGGCTTCGTTGAGGTTCGCAAGTCTGTTCATTTGACACTTTCCTCTCTGGGGTCGGATAGACTAGCGATCAGGCGACAGACTGCATATGATCAGCTCTATTTATCTCTACAATCGGTGCCTGAATACTGTCAGACAGCATTTCCGACAGTCTATTTTTCAAAATTTTCTTGGGGAGGTCCCCACTACCCCCACAAGGACTTGCTACTTTGGCGCTCACAAGGGGACTTCCTTGAGGTTCCAATTCCGTTCGTTTGACATTTTGTTCTCTGGTCGGATAAACTAGTGATCAGGCAACGGACGGTATCTGGTCATATCTATTTATCACGACGATCGGTGCCTGACTGAATACTGTCAGACAGCATTTCCCGCAGACTATTTTTCAAAATTTTCTGAGGAAGGTCTCCCATTTGGCGGTCGTGATTTGGCTTTGTCACAGTTCGCAAGTCTGTTAGTTTGACACTTTACCTCAACGATCAGTGCCTGAAATACTGCCAGGCTGCATTTCCGGCTACCTGTTTTTCAAAATTGTCTGGAGGAGACCTCCCTACCCCTAGTTGAAGCTGGTGCCTAAAGTTGCCCCCTTAACCTTGGACTTTGCCCCAGCTTTGCCCTTCCAACCACTGATTATAATAATGCTAAACAAATCAATAGTGACTGGTTGCAAATTTAAAGACTAAAAATCATATACAGGAGGAATTTTCAGCTTCTCTTAGAGTAGTCCTAGTCTTGTCTGTGATATCACTATTATGGAATCAGACATTTTAATCCCCAGCAAGAGAGGCGAGTTAATTTATCACAGTTTATATACCAATTTACCATGCAATAGATGTTTTTCTAGATCTTTCAAATTAATCATTTTATGTGAGTTACCAAGTAGCCTATACACGTAACCGTAGGCTTATGGCTAATCTGATTTTAACATAGTTACAAATGTTGAGATAAATACGGTACTGATGTGTTTGTTTTTAGCTACGATTGGATGCCTTAGTTTCACCTGACAATCTTTATTTCTTTATTAATGCATGTAACATCTTAAAAATAAGTTAATTTTATACTATTAGGACTAATTAAACATACACAGCCCAATGTAGTGAATATTATAAGCAAAGGTAATCAAGCTGTGTTTTTATCAAAATAGATATGGACATTCATAATTACGGTGCATTAGTCATGCGTGACTCGTAATGGTTCTCTACTTCTTGGGAGGTTGGACAGCCGAATGGTTAGCACGAGCGCGCTGTATCATACTGGCGGGGTTTCGATTCCCCGGTTGTACGTAACAAGGAGTAGGGTCCCCTGTCCAACCTCGTGGGTTTTCTCCGGGTCCTCCCACTGCTAAAGACCCCTAGGCCTACTCGCAAACAAATTATTGAAATAAAATTGAACCATGTGTTAGTCCCGAAATGACCTAGTTTGTGCGAGTTAAACCACATTTTTCTCTCTCTCTCTACTTCTCACATATTTTGCCACACCTTCATTTGGTAAAGACGTATAACCTATTCCGTTCTATTATGTCGGGAAAAGCCAGCTATTATCGCTTCAAACTTCAAGTTAAAAGGTGATTTGTACCCAAATCAGGTAAGATTATACGCTTAGTTGTAGTTGAATGTAGCAGAAGTGTAATAATTAATTGTTGTTTTGAAGAAAAAATTGACAGTTTTGCTTATTTAATTACGATGTGATCCGCACTGCAGTTTGCCAGATGGAACAATACATGTAGTTCGATACATGCAGGGTCGAGAGATGAGGTTTCTTATCTAATTTTAATTATGAAAGCAATTCAGTTAAATGGCAAAGTAGATAATAAAACTGAACAGATCGTTTACCATTTATATTATATATTTAAATTATGCAAAAACAGAGACCTCAGAGTCAAAAGTACTTCTACATAATAATACTGGTAGCTTTTTAGATCTAACAATAAAAATTAATATTATCATCCAACTTTTTAACACACTATTATTATCTCGTCTAAAACTTGAGTAATTGGGAAAATTAATCAACAATACTGTGCATAACTTGAACTATAGAATGTGAAAATGGGTTAGCAAATCAACATAACATCGGAAATTACACAACATGAAAATTTTCATTGATGAATATGAAGCAGGCGTGCGTCTGACTATAAATTTGCGCCTGTATTGCGGTAACATCGACTATACGGATTATTTTTTACAGTTTACTTACTCATAATCTGTGAAAACTTCTTTGGTAATTCGACAATAAAATACTTCGGCATCAGGCTCAAGATCCGGTGGTGGATTTTCTCTTATGAAAGGCTGTCTTCGTAGAAGCGGCATGTTGAATGTTGAATTTTGGAGGGAAAAACAAAGAGTCTTTTGACTGGTCAAAAGTACCACTTACGCGTCCTAAAACGCGATTTTCTTTCTCAGAAATTTAACAAAATTGTTTCAGCAAACTCTTTACCGTGAAATCTTTCATTAGAATAACATATTTCTTTGTCTATTCTCAGTCGGTCAGCTATGGCGTTCACACAAAAAGGTCATGTATTAGCCTCAGCTCTTTTCTGAAATGAACGAATTTCGGCTAGACTATTTCGACAGCATGGAAATAAAAATTTCTTTGGTGGTAAAGAAAGAAGATGAATACAATGAAATTTGGATAAAACGGTAGTATATGAATTACGTTTTCTATTTAGCGTTATATTTTAATTTATAAAAATAATGAACATTCTTTATTTCCCGTTAAAAATAACTTATTATTTTTGGAATCATGCTTTATTTATCCTACAACAGGAAAACTCTTCAGCGTTGAAGTTTACTTGTAGCTCTTACATCCAGACTGAATAATAGTCATTTGTTTTCGCGGAAAAAAAACCTTTGACCTCAGGGTGTGTAACAGATGTTTCGTCACATTGAAAATTGGATGTGAGTCATTTCGAGTAAACTATGTATGACCCACAAGCAAATTAATTAAACATTTGTAAATGTTTAGTATTTATACGAGATATGGGTCTATGCAGTGTGGTAAATCATATTTGATGACGACCAAACAATAATAATTTATTGAAAAACAATATATTTTTGATCAAACATTACTCACTATTGTTAAAACTAACAACTGAGAAAAATAACTAATCATCCTATCTAATTAAATTAAATTGTTCTTTCATAATCTCCTTGAGATGGATACATAGGATTAGTTGTGATTAACAAGTAACTTTGGCTTCACCAGAAACCAGAATATGTATAAATAACCATCCCAGATATATCTATTCGTACGTAACTAACGTACGAAAATTAATTGGTGGCTAGCTTTTTTTCCGCACGTATACAGTGAATGGCCATTTTGCTCAGTAATCCCAGCCAGAATTTGTCTATTTTCTAAATTTGCGTTAAAGTTTAAAATATTTGTTTTAGAGCTGAAATAAATTAACTATTAGTCAATCCCAACGCTAAAAACATCAACAGAATTGATTGTGTATATCTGAAATAGACACGACTGACGCACAAAATAGTGCCGAGATGGCAGCCTCTATGAACAACCATTCGCAGACGCTGTCATTGAAGACGACGTCAATTCTATGAGTTGTAGATGTTATTTTTGTGAAAAATCATTGGAAGAAGAGAGAACATTTTCGGACTGGACGAATTATATAGTCTTTATGGGTGCAAAGGAAACAATGCTGAAGATAAACCTATTGTTTACAATGTAACGTGTTGTTGACCTCATGACCCATTGATGTCAACGTCATGACCTGTGATGCGTAGATCACGTGATATGGATATCATAGCTATTGACTGTGTCTGAGATACTTCTCCGCAGGTAGCGTGTCTCGGGTGTTCAGAATGATATCTATTATCACTAGCCTACCCCTTTACAGTCAACAAGATACGTGATTTCGCAGGATTTCTGTGCGAGTTTTTCCCACCGAAATAGTCGGTCTAATGCAAATGTAATGGAATCATTATCCAAGTAAACGACGAAAACGCGTACATGAAAAACATGCTTTGGTGTTTGTCGCTTTGAACATGTTTTGATAATATGTTGATGTGTACAAAGACAAAATGTATATAATGTAACTTCATAAATATTGAACGAAAGCTTCATTTAGCACAAAAAGGGAACGTCTATTAATTGCAAGAAGTAGGTGAAATGTCTTTCGAATTGAGGCGCAACGTACTAATATTGAGATACTGGACTAAGATACAATATCCAATATCTTGGGGACAGCTGTCCAACATTTAAGTGTACAAAAACACCAAGAAAAAAATTCAAAAGAGATGTTAAATTAAAATACAGATCTATATTTCGTTTCGATTTTTTTTTATACTTTCGATGGCCTACACTACACACGAGCGGCTGTTTCATTGGCTTATCCCTCACTTATCTAAATTGACTAATTGCTTTAAAGTGGATAAGTTAATCTTTACTCCGAACCCTGATCGTTCTAATCTGATCGCACTGTCTTATCTGTTTCCCCTTTCTGAACATCTATCTTAAAATAATTGAATATTACTTAACATGCATCTTAGTCATTGATTTAGTATGTACCTATATTTGAGTTAGGTCTCAGTAATGTAAATATGTTAATTTATATCACATTTTGTATTATATGTTTCACTCTTATCATGTATACGTTCAAATATTTCTAGTTTAATTATTATAAAGATATTAAGTTGGCGATAGCGTCTGGATATAAATATAAGAGACGAAATACGGACAATTATGTTCATTTGTTAATAAACCCAATTCGACGTCAAATAATTAGTACTTATGTTTCTTATAGGTGAGTTAGTTTATAATTCTGTCGCCTAATAATTCATTTAGTATATATGTTTATTTTATGTATAATATTGAACGAAAAATGGTCATCTCATGTAAAAATAAAAATAAACACGGACGGATCTCACGATCCAAGCACAACCCAAATTGCATTAGTTGTAGTCATCCCTGAATTTAATGTTAATACATCAAAAAGGCTACCTGGCGGATGTTCCATCTATTAAAGCAGAATTAAAGGCACTATCCACAGCTCTTGAGTGGCTTGTGTCATCCACCGTTCAAAGAGCAGACATTGTGACAGACTCCCTTAGCAGCATAAAAGCAATAATACATGACAAAACAACACCTAGACCAGGAATTGTTCAGAATATTCGAAAAGTGTTTATTCCCTCCAAAACAAAAATAAAACCGTAGAATTTACATGGATAGCATCCCATATTGGCATAGTAGGCAATGGATCGCAAAGGACTCAGCTTCTGCGAGACCGAAGACTTAAAATACAGCGTTCAGGGATTTAATAGCATCGTTAAAACTAAAATTAAATCAGAGTGGAAAACTGACTTGGCCAGAGCAAAATACTTTTTATATTTCAAATTAAATAACGATCTGGTTGTAAAGACGGAGGTCAATCACCCATCGCGCAGAAGAACTATAGATTTACTTACCGACAATAAATATAAACCAGTGAAGTGCGAAAGCGGCCACATTTTAACGTATCATGCCGTTATTGCGTGCAATAAATTGGAAGAGAAAAGACTCCCTGTAAGAAGTTTAATTGAAGATGCCACTCTTCAATATAACCCCCAAAATGTACCCCCCCCCCCCCTAGGAATATGTCATATAAAATTCATAACAGAATCGGGAATTAACTGTTAAATTAGTTACGAAAAAAAGAGTACTAGTCACGGAAAGATAACTGGTTGTGTAGACCTGATTGGCGGCTAAGCCAGCTGGATGCTTTAATAATATCAGGATAAACTGACATTAAGAAAGGGACCTACATATCTAGTTACAAAGGAAGGAACAATAAGTTGTAGGACAGTATGGCGGTTCAGTCTACTGTATGATTTAATAATATGGACCCACATAACCATTATTAACAATGACAGTGCATATTAATCAATATAATTTAATTTGGGTTTAAAAATTTAATGCCATATATTCGTCTCCATAAAATGTTTTAACTGTTCTGTTTAGAGTTTCTGCTGGCTCTTCTTTTTCTTTTCAGCTAACTTTTCAATCTATTTCACATAGATCTTCTAATATCTCTGTAACAGATGACTGTTTCGACACGTGACGTCACATCACGCGGCGTCAATCAGTGGCTCAATAGAGCGTGCATTGTTTACATAAGACGTTACTGATTCGGGCTAAATGGTGAATTTTACTTATTTTAATACCCATTTACACTAAATAGGAAATGATTTTTACCTACAAATAATTCAAACGTCTTTATTTATTTTTCGAATAAATGAAAAAAATGTTTTAGAATTTAATTTGACGGAAGAAAAAAGTTAATATTTGGGACTCATTAAGTTGCATCGATGTCATCCTTATCAGTGATTGTAGCGGCCTAGCGAAAATTCACTGCTGATCAGTGTGGTAACTTTTATCTGGGAAGGGTCATACGCAAGAAAAACCCGAATGAACTGCAAACTATAAATTTTAAACGCTGCTGTTGTGAACCATTTTAGAGGACTTTTTACTAACTTTTAACTATATGGAACCTTTTTGGACGAACAGTTTTTAATATGTAAATAATCTACGAGTCCAGCTATGTGGTTTTTACTGCGAGAACTTGGCTTTTCCACATATAGCAAGCAGATTCTTTTTCCCCGTGGAGTTTTTCTATCCGCCCTCATTACGCCAAACATCAATCAGCTGGACCTCATGCATTAACTTATTTTTATTATCATAAAGAGGGGGGTTGGGTGGCCGAATGGTTAGCACGTGCGTGCTGTATTATACGGCCTGTCATTGAGTCTACTGGCGTGGTTTCGAATCCCCGGTTGTACGTGACAAGGAGTAGGGTCGCCTGTCCAACTTCGTGGGTTTTCTCCGGGCCCCCGGTTTCCTCCCACTGCTAAAGACCCCTACGCACAAGCGAATTATAGAAATAAAATTAAACCATATGTTAGTCCCGAAATGACCTAGTTTGTGTCGAGTGGACTTTAAACTCTCTCTGTTTTTTAAAATGTTACCTTTTTTATGTTTTTACCAATTTTTAACCATTTAAGTGTAATAATAGAAACAGATTTTAGATGTGTAACTTCGTAAAGGGTTTGATCTAGACTATGAGCTTTTATCACGAAAAAAAATAATAATCTGAATAAATCAATTCAAATATAAGGCTTGTATTGTTCACAAAATAAACATGTCCAAAAAATAAAATTTACCCAAATCTTACGGTTATGATTCTCATCAATTTTCTTAGCCAGGTATTGTCATCCATGAATAGGCCTCTAGCCTATGTATTTGTGTGACACTACGGGGTAGATGTGACTTTCCCGGTCACGGACTCCAAATAAGAGATAGGCTGTGACAGTATCGTCTATGACTTTTTTCGACTTCACGTTGTGGGATCAATTATTTCAATCATCAATTAACTAACTCTGGAACACCATTTATGTTGTTACTAAGTTTATATAATTTAACAAATACAGCAAACTACAAAGTTATGATAGTACTTTTCGAGTTATTAAATTATCCACGGTCTGAGTTTAATACCCTTTCTATCTCAGACCTACCGGCCTAAACGTGGCAAGAGCCACATACTTCTTGTTAGTTCTACATAAGGTTCGCGCTAGGATGATGTGTTCACCCTAGCCTCTAAGCCGAGGAGGCTATGGGTATGTTCCCCTCAGCTCTAAATGGTAATCTTCCCTACGGTCTCATCATGATATCTGAGGGTAAATCAAACAAGCTCTCTCCTATACATAGAATACAATGCGTCATCTATTAGGGCGGGATAATTACCATTTTTGGGCACCTTTGGTGTTTCGTATAGGCACCGTTTTACGTCAACACTATTGTAGTTAATTGTACTAATCCGTGCACGAGATGACTGGACTATGGTACCCTACTTCCAGCAATGGATACTGACATAACTGTCGGTGAGTTAGTCTCAGATAGTAGTATAGAATAATGCAAGCTACTTGATTACCCTAGTTTTGGTCACACATCTTCAAGTAGGTAAAGAATTTTTATATTAAACAGAACATCTTTCTTATAACTAAAATAAACCCTATAGTATTACATTTATTTAAAAAGTACTTTATTTTTAAAATAAAACGATTAGTATTTACAATTGATCATTTTGAAAAATAAAAGTGAATAGGATGCAGTAACAAGCAAAAGTGTTTATATAAAACATATATGTATTGGTTATTCTGTCTGATATCGGATTATTTATTGGATTAGTAGTTAAAGATACATTATATAAGAGCTAAATCTTCCTATTGCGCGTTTTTATTTTGGCTTCAAATGTTAAATAAATTATTATTTAGATATTTATTCACATGATAAGCCTATAACCAACTCTCTAAACCATCGGGTGATAAATGGCAAATGGCGATCAGCGGCTTTAACACAGTGGCGGATTATAGCGAAGGCGCCAATCTCCGACCCGAAAAGAATGTGAAAATCCCCAAAAATCAAACTGAAACAAAACACTGAATTTGATATGAACCCCCTGAGGCAGAACCCATAAGCCATTTAATACACGCCTAAAATGCACCCTTTTATCGAAGCATTTCAATAATTTTATTTTATATACACCAAACGATTTTACAATATAACTTATATATAGCTGAGATATTTATCTAATATTCTCTTTTTGTCTTGTGTTATAATAATTTATCTTACTCATGTTTTAATAATTTTATTTATTTTACACACCTGTTTATGTCGGTGATCTTTTAGGTGTTTTAAATGTACATACCTTCCTATTTTATGCTGTGTCGTACTTTTATATTTTTTTTCTGTGTTTTTATTTTTCTATTTTCATATTTGCTTTTGTCTCTACAGCACAGTACTGTGGAAGTAGCGCTATATAATTGCATAATAACAAAATAATAATAAAAAAAATACAAGAAAAGGGACCCCAAGACCAAGAAAAAGATCCAGTTAGAAAGTGTCCAATATAAATATCGCTCTCTAAGAGACTTCCCCCCATCCCATACTGTATTCATTAACCCAGTTGGAGAGGAACAGTACGCTAATAAACCCCATTTCATTCATTCAATGCATTCCACTATCAGATCCGAACTAAGATTTTGACGGCCTCCTGGCTACAGGAAATATTTTCTATAATGTTTATTTTTACCAGGTGAACAACAATTAAAATTCAAACATTTCCGTTAAGAATGTTGTTTCGAAAAAATTTCTCTAAATGCTCTAATTCAGCATTTACAATTGAAATAACTTTTCTCTTTGTCAGATCCCCCCCCCCCCCCCGGGATTTCGAAGAAGAGTATAACCGTTGATGTCCGGGCAAAAGGACTCGTCTTGGCACGTTGTATGACGTATGCCCGTCTTATTAAATTGGTGCAAAAGAGCAGAACGTTAAACCCAATATCATTTATTTTTCAGCAGATTTGGGCAACGAATCATCGGTTCCATTTTATATCTAAATCGACAGCAAAGTACTCTAAATCTCATCTACGGCGATGTTATTTTCAAAATGTTGTTAGGGAGAACCCTCAAACTGGGACCCTTCGGAGCGATCCGCCCCTGCTTTAAAACATTTTGTTTTAATCAATATACACATGTATCCATTTTACAGATATAGACCTACTGACGTTTGTGTATTTCCTTCATTTTTTTATAATACACAATGTGTATTAATAATCCCCACTCAAACTGAACAGAAATTCTTAACTCATACTTCTAATTCTAGCCCTTCCTGTCCTAGTTCTGATTCTTTCCACAATTCTAATTCTGGTTCTTCCCATCATTCTAAGTCTGGTTCTTCCCGTCCTTCTAATTCTGCTTCTTGCTGTCCTAGTTCTGTTTCTTGCTCTCCTTGTTCTGGTTCTCCCTGTTCTGGTTCTTCCCGTCCGCCCAGTTCTGTTTCTTCCAATCCTTTTAGTTATGGTTCTTCCCGTCTTTCTTCAAGCATTTTGGAGATCACTTTGTCTTTGTCTGTTTCTGCTTCTGACCTTCGTTTTACAGGTTCAGCATTTAGTTCTAGCTTAAAATATTTTTTTATACGTCCACATTGCCGTCGCCCCTTTCCATCTGCCCACAATTTGCTTGTGGACACTCTACTGGGTTGACACTCTATATGGTCACAATTCTTATCCGATTTTGACGAAACTTGAAATAATAGGTTTATCTTCAAAAGGTTTTGGTTCCTTTAGATATTGGCATGTATCAGATCACAATTTTTATTCGATTTATTTGAAACTTGAAATGTATGTTTATAACCCAAAGATCTTGGGGTCTTTCGATATTCGCGCATATCTGATCGCAACTTCCTGGATAATATTATATAGCCCTTGATTGTGGACCCATAAGTCACAATTTTTATCCGATTTTAAATATATCACCGTTACACCCTGATGATGATTTTTTCGAATTTCGTAAAAAATCGGACCGACACTGCCCGTCAAAATGACCGCTCCTTAAACGCAAATAGTTTTAAAGTATGTAATACCAAGATTGTGGACCCGCTGGAGGTCACAATTTTTGTCCGATCGAGATCAAACTTAAAATATGGTTATATCTCAAAGATCTTGGTTACTTTCGACTTTCGATATTCACGCGGACAGGGCCCCTTCACATAGGTGTGTGTGGGGGGGGGGGCGGGGGGACGGCAAATTATCTAAGTGCATACCAGAAATCCCCTTTGAATATTTATGGACTAGAATCATGGAGGGTGAGATAGCAAATCACTGGCCTTCGCTTCCTCTAAACCTATGTAAACCAGTTCATATATTCAGCAACTAGAGAGGGTAGAGGGGTGATTTTTCCAAGATATATTATAAGTTTTTTTTTCGATCAAATAGAGGGGTAAAGGGGAAATAAACATAAACTGTTTACAGATAAATTGATTTAATAAATAGTTATTTAGATAAAGTATTACAAGTATAAAAAATAGTATATTAAATTTTCTTTAATCATAAGAAGTCAACTGAGGGCAGGCACTGGACAAAGCAGTTACAGTATGCAGGGGCGGGGGCGTCATTGAAACTTTTGCCCTGGGGCGCCACATAGGCTTGTGAGAGCCCTGATATCGGATCGTAACTTCCTGGATTATGACCTCTGATTGTTCAAAAAATCCAGTTTTTAGCTCGTGGGCCCTCTAGAGGTCATAATTTTTAACCGATGTTAAAAACCGTTTAAATATATCAGTGTTACAACCTATAATGACGGTTGAGTTCGGATTTCGTAAAAACTAGACCGAAACTGACTGACAAAATAGCCGCTCCTTGTACGCAAATAGTGTATAAGTATGTATGAAACTTAAAATATATGATAATGATTATGTTTATATCCCAGAGATTTTGATTTCTTTACATTCGCGCATATCGGGAGGTTGGGTGGCCGAATGGTTAGCACGTGCGCGCAGTATCATACGGACTGTCATTAAGTCAACTGGCGTGGTTCTGATTCCCCATTTGTACGTGACAAGGAGAAGGGCCTGTCCAACCTCGTGTGTTTTCTCTGGATACTCCAGTTTCCTCCCACTGCTAAAATCCCATACGCGCAAGCGAATTGGTGAAATAAAATTTAACCATATATGTTAGTCCCGAAACGACCTAGTTTGTGTCGAGTGGACGTTAAACCCCATTTTTCTCTCTCTCTCGTTTTAGAAACCGCGCTAGCACAAATTGTGTGCGAAACTACTCTTTATTTGAATGTTGTGCTGCGAAACGTCTTCCAATATGCTCTGGTTAATCGTGTCAAAATTAGGACGATAGCCTAAACCAAAATGGCGACAGGGAAGATGATAATTTTACAGTCGATCTATGGAAATACTATTTACCAATGAATTACAGACTGTTAATTTTTAGTAGTTTTGCACACATGCAAACATATTTTCGCTAAATCGAATGTTCATCTAATTCAGAAATTTATGTAAGAGGACTTTATCTACATTCATTCACAACAAGCGACAGTTCCAACCTTCCGTTTTTGATAGCCAAATTATAATTTTATATCTCGTTACGGGTGGTGTTTGATAATCGAAATTAATCATCGGTCTGGTAATAACTCTTATTTAATGACAAAGTCAATGTAAAATCAAACTATAATGCAATGCCTTGATTTATTTCTTATTTATACTTTGAGATAGATTTGATTTGATGTGTTTTCAAGCGAATAATAATTTGACATTTTTGTGCGGCTAGTTGGTTGAGGGCGAAAATAACCTTACTCTTTTTATTCCAGCTAATTTGTTACTCCGTGTCAAAACTACTACACCTCATCATTTTATCATCATTAGATTCACTGGAGCGTGAAGTTGACTATTAAATTATTTAACCATGAGGTAAGTATGGGGTTTACGTTTCATTTCCTCTCTTTATTTAGGTTAAAAATAGACTAATACTTAGATCTGTTTATTTAATAATTGTAAAAAAATTAGATAAAAAATGTCTTGTAGCTAATTCTTTGGGAATAAATGATTCTAAAGGTATTACTCTAATAAATTTGATTAAAAATAATCAATACATACGTAACATCAATAATATCACCCCGTTTTATAATCCAATTAACTTCCAAAGTCTAATGATTACTTAAAGTAGCTAAGTCTCTAACTCAATATCATCCAAAATCTTCAACATTGAAAACACGATTTATTTGTCAAATTAAATCAACATTGATGTTGTGATCTTACCGGAAAAAGATGGGCTTTTGATATCCAATATTTAAGACAAAATAAACATTTTACCATTGGTACACGAATCGTGTACCATAATGCGCTTCAGCCCCAGTTGTATCAAGAGACTCGAGGGACAAGGCTAGACACATTGCACCAAATCAAACGGCGTATAGTAGACTGGAATAACCAGACGCTAGAAATTTGCACTCGCTTGAGTCTGCTGGCTTATTTCGCCGAACATAACTGATTTGAAATTGGAGTAAAAACGGAAACCATTGAATGTAAATCAGTTTATATACATTCATATTACAGTATTATATGCGTTGCGACCCACTTTTGTCAATTTCTAGGTCCCAAATGTTAGCGATTTAGCTCCTTTAAACTATATTGAAACAAAAATGCACATTAAAGGGGGGGGGGGGGCACAGAGGTGTCATAAATAAGTTTATTACCGGTAATGTAAAAAAGCTAAATATTTTTATTCTCTAAAAATTTCGGGGAGTTGACCTCTTGCACAATTTGACATTTTAATTAACATCTATTATTATAGGTATTCTGAATTAGATTGCAAATAATTTTATTTTTTATGCCGCCATTGAAATGTGGTTGTATATTGCTGTCACTCCCGTCTGTCTGTTCTAGAGGCTAAAGTTAATGTATATAATTGACTTTAAATTTATACACAGTGTTTAAGGTCATGAGATGAAGATTCCTATTGATTTTCAACAATTTCGGATAATTATATACTTATATAGCGATTGAAAACTTCACCTGTAACTATTTCAGAAGTTATAAATGGTCATATTCATTGATGTTAGGATTTATTGCATGGATTTATTACATAATTAGTACATTATGTTTCCTAAATAATGATTTAGATCAGTTTTCAATTTCAACATGGACTGTAGAGTGTTGTTACTGTATATTCCCATCATAAATTGTGTCCTAGAATCCATTAACACAACAGACATGTTTTACCTGAACATAAACATTGTATTTGTTGGGTTGTATTAATCCCATACATCTATGTACATGTATCTAAGATTAATGACTCAACTTAACAACAGCCACACCTTTGACCCAACTTCTTTAGTACAGTTTAATCTGTTCAACGTTTATTCTTTTATCAATTGTCAGTTAGTTTTTCCATATTAAAGATAATAAGCTTGCGCTTATTAGAGTTTCACACTATTTTTTTTGTTCGGATTGTTGTTGTTATTATTATTTTTTTTTTTTCCACTTGAGCATATCTCAGAAACTAATTGTCAGATCAATTCGATGTCTTCGGTTTTCCTAGAGGCTAAAGTTAATATCCGATTGACTTTAAATTTATATACAGTGTTTAAGGCCATGAGACGAAGAAGCGTATTGATTTTCAGCGATTTCCGATAATTACTGCCAGAGTAATGGCCCTTGATCACTTCAAAAAATCTTGTGGACGCTCTAGAGGCTAAAGTTAATATCCGGTTGACTTTAAATTTATACACAGTGTTTAATGTCATGAGGCGAAGAAGCCTATTGATTTTCAGCGATTTCCGATAATAACTGCCAGAGTTATGGCCCTTGATCACTTCAAAAAATCTTGTGGACACGCTAGAGGCTAAAGTTAATATCCGATTGACTTTAAATTTATACACAGTGTTTAAGGTCATGAGATGAAGAAGCCTATTGATTTTCAGCGATTTCCGATAATTATTGCCAGAGTAATGGCCCTTGATCACTTCAAAAAATCTTGTGGACGCTCTAGAGGGTAAAGTTAATATCCGATTGACTTTAAATTTATACACAGTGTTTAAGGTCATGAGACGAAGAAGTCTAATCATTTTCAGCGATTTTCGATAATTACTTCCAGAGTTATGGCTCTTGATTACTTTGAAAAATCTTGTGGACGCTTTAAAGGTCAAAGTTAATATCCGATCGACTTTAAATTTATACACAGTGTTTAAGGTCATGAGACGAAGAAGCCTATTGATTTTCAACAATTTTTGATAATTACTGCCAGAGTTATGGCCCTTGATCACTTTGAAAAATCTTGTGGAAACTCTAGAGGTCAAAGTTAATATCCGATTGACTTTAGATTTATACACAGTGTTTAAGGTCATGAGACGAAGAAGCCTATTGATTTTCAGCAATTTCTGATAATTACAGTTAGAGTTATAGCCCTTGATCACTTTGAAAAATCTTGTGGACGCTCTAGAGGCTAAAGTTAATATCCGATTGACTTTAAATTTATACACAGTGTTTAAGGTCATGAGACGAAGAATCCTATTGATTTTCAATTTTCAGCGATTTCCGATAATTTTTGCCAGAGTTATGGCCCTTGATCACTTTGAAAAATCTTGTGGAAGCTCTAGAGGCTAAAGTTAATATCCGATTGACTTTAAATTTATACACAGTGTTTAAGGTCTTGAGACGAACAAGTATATTAATTTTCAATGAATCTTTATGACTTGAACAGCTAAATCCATGATGTTAAAAGTTTCATATGCTAAACGTTAGCATGGCGCAGAACTTTATAAAAAACGAACAAATTCTAATGGTTTTCTGATAATTACTCAATGAGTTGTTACTCTTAATCAGATTTTAATGTATTATAAATGTTTCATTACCGAAAAAAGTAAAAACATGCGACAACTCTTGTTGACTGCCCGGACGATATAGCTGCTGTGGGCGTATGTTTCGTTGCCTGGCAACCTATCTTTTGAAATATTGCTGTAATATTAACAATAATCGTTTGATTTTAACATTTTGACATAGCCATAGATAAGGCAGATAGCTACGGTTCTTTATATTTTTGATTTTCAACGAATCTTTGGAGATATTAGGCGCTAAAATTTGAAATTTTGACAAAAAACTTTTTTATTAATGAATATTTTTTTATGGCATTTTATGGCATTTTATTTTTTGTCTTTATAATTTTTCATGGCCTCTATTGGCTATTTCAGTTTATCGGCTCAAGGTTAATTATTTATTGCCCGATTGTTATAAAACAAAGTTCATATGCTCCACTGTGCAAATTCTCGATTTGTTTATTACCGGTAAAGTTTACTATCGGCACCGGAAATGACGCAATTTTACCAAAAACACAACAACTTTTGGTCTTGGAAGGAATTATTAGTGAGCAGAAATTGCTCATGTATCTGTTATCACTCGTCACTTCAGTCAGTTAAATAGGGGGATGGCTCGTGTTTTCCTTTGGCGTTCTTCACTTCCGATTCAGGAAACCTGTATTACTCAGCTATCGCAGCAATGATCTCTGTGATAAAATTATATTTGGAACGTATTTAATTAGTTCTATCACATATGTGATAATGACTGACACCAATATTGTCCTTTAAGGGTGAAAAGGGCTGTACAAATGAGGTATTTACCATTAATTCAGGCTTTTCATATTTTGATGTATTTCTTGACAACTTTCATGAACCTGTAGCATTAATCCATACGATGACAACTTATGTCAAAATTAGTTTGTAATATTGGCTGTTGCCGAGAAATAGGCAGTTTTACATGAGTTACTTTTCACGTTATTTTGCCTGTAAACGAGTTAATTATTATCTGATTTTCTATTTTTTTTTTCACCATGTGATGCAAAATACTATTTTTGACTGGGCGGATCCAATTTTACATTTTCACTGTCACCGGAAATGGCGTCAAATGGGCAAAAACTGTATTTTTAGCCTTCAAAACAAATATTTTATTTAACTGCGTCGTATTTGTAGGAGAGACGGTGGCTAGGTGGTTAAGACGCTGGCTCGCTAGCCTGGAGGTCGGGTGTTCGATCCCTGCATTGGCCGAGAAAGTTCATCTGGATTTTCCGACGTGGTTTCCCCTTGTCAGTGGTGCATAATGGAGGGCCCGTGTATACATTAGAATGCACGTAAGATCCCTTGGCAGTTGGAATTCGATATAAGAGTAGGCGATAATGCCGCTGCCCTTGCAAAATTTCCCTCATGGCACACTGTATGGCGTATGCCCGTCTTCATTAGCCCGGTATAGGAGCAGAACAGTAGGACGTTAAACCCCATTTCATTTCATTTGTCGTATTTGTAATTTTTTTATAATTAAGTTATGTGCTTCCAATCAACAAATAGATTGAACCCATGCGATGATATAGATATCAAAAAATGGTTTCTAACTTCTTCAGTTGTGGAGAAATAAACGATTTTCTACAAGTCAATTTTCAAGGTTTTTGGTCAATAAAAGTGTCAATTATTAATAAATTTTTCAGCATGTGATGCCTAATGCCATTTACGATTTCCTAAAACTGATATAACATTTTCATTATCACCGGAAGTAATGTCTTTTTGGCAAAAACTGTATTTTTAGCCTCAAAACAAATATTTGTTTCAAGTAAGTGATATTCATTAATCGTATAAAATTATGATATTTGATTTCAATGGACAAATAACATGAACAAATAAGATCATACAAGTCAAAAAAAGTGATTCTTACATATTCTCGCTCCAAGAAATAACCAATTTTGTCAGTTAAAAAGGATTAATTCTGTTCAAATTTTAATCAATTGTCTGTCATGCAAAGGAGAATCAGAGTGGTTTTTTCTGTAATCCAATTTAAATATTTTGTTAAAAATGGAAGTGATGTCATCGTGTCGAGTCTTCGTTGTATAGATGGAACTGATATTGTTGGATTTAGTGGCTTATTCTGCG